AAGAAGAAGAAAGAAAGAAAATTTATTGAACTGAATAAAAATGAAAATGCAGCATATCAACTTGAATTATAACAAAAGAGTAGAAAAACAATAGAGAAAATCAACCTAACCAAAGCTGGTTCTTTGAAAAGATCAACAAAACTAACAGTTTTAGCTAAGCTCTTTACGAAAAAAGAGAAGACTCAAATTGCTAAAATCACAAATGAAAGAGGAGACATTATTTTCAATATTCAATAAGGGGAAGGATTATAGGGGAATACTAAGGGATCATCTCCTAAGATTCAGTTTGGTCTCTCTCACTTTATCCTTTAAACCTACAAGCCAGAACCTAAGTGTCACTCTAAGTGAAGGCCATCAAAGGCCTAATTACTAAGGAGGTCTTTAGAAATCATTGTAAGAGAGAATTAGGAGGAATTCAAGCTCCTGCATTGAGTTACACAGAGCTGGGAAGACAATTCTGATAATAGCTCACTGTCTGGCCTTCTGACTTTCCTTGGACTCAGCGTCAATAGACTCATGCTTGAGTCCCATGAAACCCTAATAACAGCCTGGCTAAAAATGCACAAATCTTCAAAGGGCATTAAGAGACAAGACCTCAGTAGTATGGTTTTTAATTGGTTACAGTGGTGATTAGCATTAACAATGACAAGACAGTCAATCATATATCCTAAAACTGGAAAAAAAGAAAAAATGACAAGGGCCAGGACCTCCTGGTTCAGGAGACTCCTCCCGCAGTACAACAAAAGCACCCCAGCCATCAGGTACTTATTTACACCCTCAGCACATACCTTGTGCATTCTGGCAATAGAGCAGTGTCTTCGGTGGTCAAAACAGCGTGGCAGTCATGGTGATGGGCTGCTCAGATTTCCCATGAGTAATGAACTTGCCATCAGTTGCAAGGGGTATATTCACTGACAGCCTCCAACTATTAATGCCTTCAAGCCCTACCTTAGCTTTTAAGCTGAGGCCACATTCTTTTCAGAAACCCTCAGTTCAGTTCAGTTCAGTTCAGTCGCTCAGTCATGTCTGACTCTTTGTGACCCCATGGACTGCAGCACACCAAACTTCCCTGTCCATCACAAACTCCCAGAGCTTGCTCAAACTCATGTCCATCGAGTTGGTGATGCTATCCAACCATCTCATCCTCTGTCATCCCCTTCTCCCCCTGTCTTCAATCTTTCCCAGCATCAGGGTCTTTTCCAATGAGTCAGTTCTTTGAAATCAGGAGGCCAAATTATTGCAGGTTCAGCTTCAGCCTCAGTCCTTCCAATGAATATCCAGGACTGATTTCCTTTAGGATTGACTGGTTTGATCTCCTTCCAGTCCAAGGGACTTTTAAGAGCCTTCTCCAACACCACAATTCAAAAGCATCAATTCTTCAGCACTCAGCTTTCTTTATGGTCCAACTCTCACATCCATACATGACTACTGGAAAAACTGTAGCTTTGACTAGACAGACCTTTGTCAGCAAAGTAATGTCCCTGCTTTTTAATATGCTGTCTAGGTTGGTCATAGATTTTCTTCCAAGGAGCAAGTGTCTTTTAATTTCATCTGCAGTGATTTTGGAGCCCAAGAAAGTAAAGTCTCTCACTGTTTCCATTGTTTCCCCATATATTTGCCATGATGGGACCAGATGCCATAATCTTAGTTTTTTGTATGATAAGTTTTAAGCCAGGTTGTTCACTCCCCTCTTTCAGTTTCATCAAGAGGCTCTTTAGTTCTTCGCTTTCTGCCATAAGGGTGGTGTCATCTGCATATCTGATGTTATTGTTATTCCTCCTGGCAATCTTGATTCCAGTTTGTGCTTCATCCAGCCTGGCATTTTGCATGACGCACTCTGCATATAAGTTAAACAAGCAGGGTGACAATATAAAGCTTTGAAGTACTCCTTTCCCAATTTGGAACCAGTCCATGTCTGGTTCTACCTGTTGCTTCTTGACCTGCATACAGATTTCTCAGGAGGCAGGAAAGGTGGTCTGGTATTACCATCTCTTGAAGAATTTCCCACAGTTTGTTGTGATCCACACAGTCAAGGGCTTTAGTGTAGTCTATGAAGCAGACGTAGATGTTTTTCTGGAACTCTCTTGCTTTTTTGATGATCCAACAGATGTTGGCAATTTGTTCTCTGGTTCCTCTGACTTTTCTAGATCCAGCTTGAACATCTAGAAGTTCTCGGTTCACATACTGCTGAAGCCTGGCTTGGAGAATTTTGAGCATTACTTTGCCAGCATGTGAGATGAGTGCAACTGTGTAATAGTTTGAACATTCTTTGGCATTGCCTTTCTTTGGGATTGGAATGAAAACTGACCTTTTCCAGTCCTGTGGCCACTGCTGAGTTTTCCAAATTTGCTGGCATATTGAGTGCAACACTTTCACAGCATCATCTTTTAGGATTTGAAATAGCTTAACTGGAATTCCATCACCTCCGCTAGCTTTGTTCGTAGTGACGCTTCCTAAGGCCCACTTAATTTCACATTCCAGGATGTCTGGCTCTAGGTGAGTGATATACCATCGTGGTTATCTGGGTCATGAAGATCTTTTTTGTATAGTTCTGCTGTGTATTCTTGCCACCTCTTGTTAATACCTTCTGCTTCTCTTAGTCCATATCATTTCTGTCTTTTATTGTGCCCATCTTTGCATGAAATATTCCCGTGGTATCTCTGATTTTCTTGAAGAGATTTTTAGTCTTTCCCATTGTATTGTTTTCCTCTGTTTCTTTGCATTGATCACCAAGGGAGGCTTTCTTAGCTCTCCTTGCGATTCTTTGGAACTCTGCATTCAGATGGGTATATCTTTCCTTTTCTCCTTTGCCTTTTGCTTCCTTTTTCATCTACTTGTAAGTCCTTCTCAGACAACCATTTTGCCTTTTTGCATTTCTTTTTTGGGGGGATGGTCTTGATCACTGCCTCTTGTACAACGTCTTGAACCTCCACCCACAGTTTTTCAGGCACTCTGTGTACCAGATCTAACCCCTTGAATCTATTTGTCACTTCAGGATTTGATTTAGGTCATACCTGAATGGTCTAGTGGTTTTCCCTACTTTCTTCAATTTAAGTCTGAATTTGGCAATAAGGAGTCATGATCTGAGCCACAGTCAGCTCCCAGTCTTGGTTTTGCTGACTGTGTAGAGCTTCTCCCTCTTCGGCTGCAAAGAATATAATCAATCTGATTTTGTTATTGACCATCTGGTGGTGTCATGTGTAGAGTCTTCTCCTGTGTTGTTGAAAGAGGGTGTTTGCTATGACAGGTGCGTTCTCTTGGCAAAACTCTGTTAGCCTTTGCCCTGCTTCAGCCAATGACTAAACATTAGAGCCTTATCATTTCTAAACTGTAAACTGAAGTTTAGCTAGGTAATACAACTGAACCTGAGATTCCCTCTATTTCTCTCTTTCCATAAACCTATTGAAAAGAATCTGGGGAAGTTTTATATGGACACTCAGTCCTTTGGTTTTGGACACTGGTTCTCCAAATTTTGGCCACCTGATGCGAAAAGACCCTGATGTTGGGAAATACTGAAGGCAGGAGGAGAAGGGGATGCCAGAGAATGAGATGGTTGGATGGCATTATTGACTCAATGGACATGAGTTTGAGTAAACTCCGGGAATTGGTGAAGGACAGGGAGGCATGGTGTGCTGCATTCCACAGGGTCACAAAGAGTCGGACATGACTGAGCGACTGAACTGACTGACTGACCATTCTCTGGACTTTGTGTATATTTTCTACAGCTACTTATTAGATTGATAATGAACTACACCAGCATACCATGATTTGATAATGGATCCTACCTGAATATCATTACAGACTTTACGGGGTATAGCAGTGAAGTGACACAATAAATATAATTCTCTGTCGGAAAGGAGAAGAAAAAAAAAGTGTCAGAACAAAACAACAAAAAATAATAGAACTGACAGTCAGCATTGTACACATTCCAAACTAATATCATCTGAGCTTAGAATTTTTTTTAAAAAAAGGATAGATCTTCCTTTCAATTTAAAATGTGGGGCTTTTCATGAACTTTGACTTTTCTAGAGCTCAAAGGGTCTCCTGTGTTGCTTAAATACTAGTGGGGGAAAAAGAAGCATCATTCACTTAAACGTGAATGTGAATGGCGCCCCCTGTTGACAACTACCTGAACTTCTGATTTCTGAATCCATCTCTGCCTTTCAGAAAAATTATAAGTGCTTAAGATGGTTCATAAGGCGGCCCCTCTTCTTGCTTTAGCTTCTGCACTCCAGATTTTTGGCTGCCATCCTGATTTATTTAACGTCAGCTCATTGCCAAGTTCCTTATCCCCATTCCTCCTGGGGTTTGCACAAGTTGCTCCCTTTGCCAAGCAAATTTTTCCCCACTCCCATAATCCTTGACTAAGTTCTTTGGTTCTTCCAAGACTTAAGGATAAGGCGTCATTTCCTCTGGGAAAACTTTGCCTAATACTAAAGTAAGTAAAACATACTGAGAACTTATTACAGGACATAAGAAAGAACTTAGAACTCTTTCACATGCACTAACTTTTATAACTATCAGGAAGTGGGTAGGATTATCCTGTTTCATAGAGGAGGAAACTGAGGTACAGAAAGAGGGAATTCTTAACAGTGTTACACTGATAGGCCACGAACTCTGAAGAAAGGAAGGAACTGACTATGGAAAACTGGTAAGAACAAGGGATTCGAGGTCACAAGGAAAGGAATTGTGCTAGGAGGGGGTCTTTCAAACGAGCTGTTAAGATTGTAGAATTGTGGTAAAGGAGAGGTAGTGCCTACTTTGGCGGTTTTTGGAGATGGTGCAACCTCTGATGGTGAGTCCAGGGTACCAGCTGGGAAATGGGAAGCTGCAATGGAGGAAAGGTGTCCTTAGAGACCACGTTTTTAAAAAAGAATTCACCGTATTTCCCTAGCATTCCGCATAGTAAGTGCTAAATTCTCTTAAACTATGTGTTAAAAGTATGTGGTGAAATGCAGCCCTTTCAGGAAAGCCACAGCCGACGTTTCTTCAACTGTTTCTTAGTTTGTCTTCCCTGTCACAACCTGAGGACTATTCTCAGCCAGGACTCCCAGGCTGCTCCCATTCCCGTCATCTCGGGGGCATCTGAAGCCTAAACTGCGTTCCCTCAGAGGTTCATCTACGTCTGGCCTGTCTGGACCCTGACGAAGAGCATTCGCCTCAGAAACGGGCCGTGCGAAGGAGTGTGAGGCGAGGCACACTAGTTCAAAGCCAGACGGCCAGCAATGGAAATGCGGGGGCTTGGTGACACAGCTACATCGGTATCTCAGGTCGCCCTCAGGCCCAGCCCCCGCGGAGCGTGTCAAGGCCTGAGCAGGAGAAGTCGGCCGCTTCGCCTCAGAGAAAACAGCGGGGCCTCTCGCCGCCTGCAGCAGGAAATCTCGCCTCGCGCGGGCTCCCACGCGCCTTTGCGCGCCCGCGGGCCTGACTAAGAGGCGGGAAGCCTGGTCCCGCCCCCAAGCTCCGGGGAGGGGCGTGACCGCGGTAGGCTCCGCCCACGCGGCGCCCACGGCCCCACGGCAACCGGCACAACACAACAAAATGGCTGCCGCGCCGCTGGGCGCCTGAAGGGAACTACTGGCCCCCCTCCGCCTGGCCTCGTCCGGCTGGCTTGCTCTGCCCCGCTCCTTCGTGGTGAGTGCCAGGCCTGGTTTAGGCCGTTCTCTGGCCTCCAGGCGGAGCGGGTGGGGACCAGCGGCGAAGGCGGGAAGGCCTGGACCCAGCGAGGGATGGATTCGGGGCGGGGGCGTGTGCCTGGGTATTGGGATTGGATGGGAAGGAGGGGAGGGCCCGGAACCGGCGTGGGGCGGGAGGACGAAGATGGAGGGAGGTTTGGATAAGAAGTGAGGAGGTGACGGGGTAGGGGCTTTGGGGTGAAGGACCAGAGTGTGGGGAGGTGTGGACGCGGGGGTTCGGCGAGTGAAAGGTAGGGTCCCGCTGCCGAGCGGAGGGGGGAGGAGGTGTGCCAGGTGTCTGCGGGGAGTGACTGGGATACAGGAAGGTTCGGGTACCCTGACGGGCGTCCTGAAATCTAGCGGAATCCAGTACATGGAGAAAAAGGAGAGTTAGGATATGGGGAAGAAAAGCTTAAAGAAAGGGAAGAGCAAATACTTTGTCGTATAATGCTTAAGGGACAGGTGTATTTTCAAGTCAAAGCTTGGCTTCACGTCTTGATTCTGCCACCTGTGCTACTGAACGTCTGTGAGATTTGGGCTTGGTTCTTAACCTTCCTTAGCATATGTTTTCTCTGTAAAAATACTCGCTAATTACTTTTGCGTGTACCTTGTGTGCCAGATTCCGTTTTACGTCCTTTAGTCTTTCCCATTAACTGATTTAAAATAACTTGAACGAGGTCATCATTCTCATCTTAAAAGTGATGAAACTGCGGGTCAGAGAGGTTAAGTAATTTGCCTATGTCACACAGAAAGTGGAAAATTAACATTTGAACTCAGACTTAGTTGTAGAGCTCAAGCTCTTAATTCTTAGCGATACATTGTCACTTATAAATGAGGTTAATAATTATAATATACATTATCTGTGAGAATTTGTTTGGTAATGTCTTTAGAGTGCTTAGCACAGTCCTTTCTTCACTCATTCAACAAATATTTACTGTGCACCAAACAATACAGCCTCTACTGTCTTGTAGCCTAAACTCTAGAAGGAGGAACAAGCAATAATCAGGTTGTTTCACAAATAATCATTTAATTCTAATTTTAAGGTGTTGTGAAGGATGCTATTTGGGTCAGAGACCTGATCCTGTTGTGTGTTTTGAGTGTGGAAGCCCTGCCCTCTTGGCCCTGTATTCTTAGAGCCTAGCACAGTTCTTAGTGCCTTAAAGTTGCGGAATAAAATCGAATGACTGGAAAAAAAAATAAACTAATGGGAAGGTTTGGGAAGCTTTTTTCCCCCCATACCTGAGTAGCATGGAGAGAGATGTGAGAGGAAAGCTCAGGATGTTAATGGGACACAGAGGAACACAGATGCCTGGGTGTTAGAAGGGAGAGGCAAGTAGCCAGTTGGGTTGAGATGAAGTGGACTGGATGGAGACTTGAGTATTTTGTGTGAAGAGGGGATAATTAGAAGCCTAATTTGAGTGAATTAGGATGTCAGAATATTTGCTGTGATGAGCAGTTTGGGAAATCAGGATGAATACAGAAATGTGGAGGCAGGACACTGGAAAGAACTATAGAGAAATGGAGAAGACTAGTACAGTGTTAGGGAAGAGAATTTGTGGGAAGACTTGGCAGTCAGAATGGGATGAAAGGGTGGGAGGCAAAGGTTGACGAGCATGGAATGGGAGGATTGCTGTTGGTGAGGAATAGGGGTCAGGATATTTGAAAGGACTAGTTGGAGAATAAGAGTGTTTAAATGGATCAGAGGGTATGGGATGAAGTCGAATTATAGGGAAAGTACTGAGATGTGATTAAAGGGCTAAGGGGTGCCATGGAGAGGGATATGGAGGTCAAGAAATGGGGATGGATATTTGCTTATTGGAGTAGCTGGGAAGAGAGATGGAAGATTTGGGAATTACTGAGGTCTGCCTCATTTGGAAAAGATCAGAAATGATGGAATCTTAGGAAAGGCTGGATAGAGGTGAAGGTGTAGACTCTACTAAGCTGTGGTGGAGGGGTTTGTTAGATCAAGGCAAGTTTCTGAGTCTGAGAAGGACGGGATGCTTGATCATATGATTTTGATTATCACATCATTCTAGTGGCTTTCTTTTATTCTGCAGACTTACCGTCTGGGTTTTCAAAATGTGTCTCCAGCTCTGGACTTGTTTTGCTTGTTTTGATTTCAGTTTATCCTGCCCCTTCACACACACTAGCCCTGCCTCTCATCTCTGTCTTCTCTTTTCTATTGCTCGGTCTTTCTATTGTTTATATAATTGCAAACTACAGCCTTGGTCAAGCAACATCGCTCGCTCTCTCTCTTAAAACCGTGGTTCAAGATTTTACTACTGCCAGGTATCCTTTTTCAAGCACAGTAAATCCCTAAGCCCATTTTACTGAGTTAGCTATTCTGTGAGATCATATGTCTAGACTTTACAGGAGCTATGGTGACCCAGGGAGGGGGTCTAGGAATGCACTGTGACTTCAGAACCATCATTTAATCTTTCAGGTTACAATTCATTAAAGGAAGGAGTTGATTTTGACTTCTGGAATCCATTCTAATATATTTCTTTAACTCTTTTATTGAGTAAGGCAGAGTTTTTCTAATCAAGAGAGATCTCATGATATTCTAGTGAGGCCCAAAGAGTCTTGGTCATTAGGATGTTGTGAGAGGAATTCAGGATGGTTCAATATTTTCAGAAGTTAAAGGTAAGACTAAGGTGCAGGGCACAAAATAATTGCGTTGCATAAAAATGTAGGATGTATGTGCATTTTTAAACCAAGAAACTAAAAATGTGTATAAAGCATATCTCTGTAGCATGTAGCATACTCTCATTCTAATTTTATAATTTTATATCATGCTATGAAACAGAGAAAGACATATGGAAGTGGGAACTGAGCCCTCTACCGCTCCTCTTTTATTTCTTAAGTCCCTTGCCCTTATGAAAATTGTATTTAATTCAGGAATGAATAAAATTGTGTTATTAAAGCATATGTGTCTTAGCTCTTTTCAAGCTTGAGTATATCATTACTTAGAAAGAGAGCACCAGTGTAATCTAACACAGAATGAGGTGTATTACTGAGAGACTTTTGCCTTGGCAGAATGTTAAGATAGAAATTGTTTGCCACACTTGTGAAATTAGGTCCTGAAGCTTTGTGGTTAAGACATCAGTAGCAGTTGTGTGAATTGAGGGGAGCTTTTCTGACCTTTGTGGATGATTTGACATGAAAAAACGAAAGAGAAAGTAAGGACTTAGATTTGCAGTTTAAGGTGATCTGGATGGTTGGTTGGAACAAGGCAGTTGGCCTTGTACTGTATACCTGTGAAATAATAATCACTTTTTAAAAAAATTTAGCAGGTTTTTGTTACCTTCAAACTAGTCAGCTTAAGACGCTAGATCGTGAGTTCAGTGATGCTTTCGTTGTATTAAATTTTCTGTTCTTCCTTCAAAAAAATTAAAATGTTTTTAAAAGCTACCATTTATTTTTATTTCTTTTCCTTCCTTCCTGTTTTTATTTTATTATTTTTTTTTTGGCCATGCCTCACACAGCCTGTGGGACCTTAGTTCCCTGACCAGGGATTGAACCCACAGCCCCTGAATTGGAAGCATGGAAACTTAACCACTGGACAGCTGGCAAAGTCCCTGGCATTAGGATTTGAGCTATCCAAAAACTTTGGGTTGCAGATTACTTTTCTAAAAAATAGTTTCTGTTTTGTCTTCACACTTTAGGGCTTTCCTGGTGGCTCAGTTGGTAAAGAATCTGCCTGCAATGCAGGAGACCCAGGTTCAACCCCTGGGTCGGGAAGATCCTCTGGACAAGGGAATGGCTACCCACTGCAGTATTCTTGCCTGGAGAATCCCATGGACAGAGGAGTCTGGTGGGCTGCAGTCCATGGGTTTGCAAAGAGTTGGACACGACTGAGTGACTAACACATACACACACTTCACATCTTCAGTAGTGAGGGTATGGGAGATTATGGATATTGAGCAAAGTAGAATCATTGTTAATGCAGCTTGTTCAAGACCTATGCATCTTATAAGATCTTTTGGTCTAAAAGTTTGCCAGATTTATAATTTTTGCAGTGTACTTATAAGAGCAGTTGTATATCATGAAAATGTTTTTTGCATAAACCTAACTTGTATGTTAGGACTCTTGGTATTAAGGACTGATACTGCTCATGAAGACAGCCTTTTGTTGAATTATTGAATAGCATTTTATTGTTTCTAGGTTCTTTATGAACAATTCATTCAATAAATAGTAATTATCTACCATCTTCTAGGCTCTGTTCTTGGTCTGGAATACATCAGTGAATAATAGCGCTACTTTCATGGAACTTAAATTCTACTAGATTAATTGTGTGATTTGACTTACAAGTTAATTTGAGAGAAGAACTGATTCTCATCATTACTCCAGCTAGCACTCTGTCTGAATTTGGACTTCTACCTAATACCACTGGATTTGGCAGTGATTTCTTGGATATGACATCAAAGGCACAGGCGGCAAAAGGAAAAATAGACCAGTTAGGTTTCTTTAAAAATTTTAAATGAGTATCAAATGACAGTATCATAGGGACCTTCCTGGTGGCTCAGACCTAACGAATTGCCTGCCAGTGCAGGAGACACGGGTTTGATTCCTGGACCAGGAAGATCCCACATGCCACAGAGCAACTAAGCCCATGTGCCACAACTACTGAGCCTGTGCTCTGGAGCAGAGGAGCCCCCGTGACTGGAGCCAGAGCACCCTAGAGCCCAGGCTTCGCAACAAGAGAAGCCTCCCCAGTGAGAAGCCCTCGCACTGCAACTAGAGAAAAGCCCAAGCAGCAACGGAAGACCCAGCACACTGAAAATAAACAGTTTCATTTCTTAGTGAGGTGAAGTCGCTCAGTCCTGTCCGACTCTTTGCGACCCCACGGACTGCAGCCTACCAGGCTCCTCCACCCATGGGGTTTTCCAGGCAATAGTCCTGGAGTGGGTTGCCATTGCCTTCTCCAGGGGATCTTCCCGACCCAGGGATCGAACCCTGGTCTCCCACATTGTAGACAGACACTTTACCGTCTGAGCCACCAGGGGCTGATTTTATTTTTTAAGACAGTATCAATTAGTCGAAAGGAAACCACAGGGTAGGAGAAAACTTGCAGTTTATTTATTTGACTAAAGTTAATATGCAGACCATATGGTGAGAACTCCTAAAAAGATAAAAAAAAAGAAAGACTAAAGGTGAGCATTTCCAACACCAGAAATGAGATACAGAGGTCTGTGTGGGTCCAGCCCAGAGTCTAGGAAACTAGTGACAGATGTGAGGCTAGAGAGACAGGATCACATCATGGGGGATCTCATAGGTCATGATAAATATTTCATTTATTACAGACCCATAGATTAATTTTTTAACTAGATCACTCTGGCCACAATGTAGTGATGGAAGAGGAAGGGAAGAGAGCTTGTAGACAAATCAGTTAGAAGGTGTTATAGTAGTTTGATGAGTGTGGATTAGAGTAGTTGAGAGGGGAGATAGAAAGAAAGGGACTAATTTGAGAGATACTTAGAAAGTAGAATTGACAAAACTTGGTGATTGATTGGTTATGGGAAGAAGGAAGTGACTCCCAGTTTCTGGCTTATTTCCAAGAGCATTGTCTACAGTAAGGGAATGCTGGAGGAGGAACAGGATGGGAAGAAGATGAGGGCGGGATGAGGGAAAAGTTCAATTTGGACATGTTGATTCAGGATGTCAGTGGGATATCAGGTAGACAGTTGAGAATAGGTGTCTGGACTCTAGAAATGTTGGATTGAAAATATAAATACCAGTAAAAAGGTGACATTGGGAACCATGCGTGTACATTCGATTGTCTCAGTTAAGTTTAGAGAGAGATCAGAGGAGACCTGAGGATCTCTGACTTTTAAAGAGTGAGTAGACGAGCTTTGGCCAGGGAAGGAGGCTGAGGAGAGGCTAGGAAGACGGGAGGACAGTGTGGTGTCCCAGAAGCCAGAGGAAGAAACCGTTGCAGGAAGGAGAGAGTGCTGATCAACATGAAATACTACTGGTTGTCAAGTATTTCCAGCTCTATGCACTCTGGAACTCTTTGTAAGTAGAAGCGGCACTGTGACTATTTTGGTCCAATAAACTGAGAACCAAAATGACAGACGAGGCTTCTGGCTGGAGTACATGTCAGTACAAGACCCTCTGGAGGTCTCTCTTCCCTCTGGTAAGGTAATTAACAATGTCTGAAATAGTGTCTGCTTCCGTCAGCTTGGAGTAGTGTGGGTTCTAGCATCTATAACTTCTGAATTTGAAACTTTGTAGTCTTGAAAATTCTAGAAATAGACTAATCATTTTGATAGCTCTTAACATTGACCTTGTTAAATATACTGGGAGCTCTTGCAGGCTTTGATGGACACCTGGCTTTACTCTTGCAATGAAGAAAGGTCCTCAGCAGAAAGTTCCCAAAACAACGATGCCACCGTCATCTCCCTCTCCCAGTCCATCTTCTCTTACGTCCAATATGAGGTCTAGGTCACTTTCACCGTTAAACGGATCCAAGACTCTGCCTTTTCATTCTGGAAGACAGTGGTATGAGCAAGTCGAGATTGTAGGTGAAAACACTATGCTCTTGGACTACCATGACCAGAAAGGTAATGCTTTTTAATCTGTGAATTTCACCAAATACTCTTTTAAGTACAAATGGAAAATATTGAACTTACATTTTTGGTCCAAATATAACATGTATCCATCCTACTAGTAACTTGACCCATTGTTTTTGACAGAAATTGTCTAAGGACAATGGAGGATGGAGGCTTCTGGTTAAGGGTGAAGACGTCTGAAAGGGTTAGGAGAAGAGAGTTTCCAGAAAGAGGAAGCTTTATTTCCTGTGGTAGGAGAGTGCTTTAAAGTTCATATGCCAGTTTACCATCATCCTTGGTTGAAGGGAAGGCATATCTGGTCACTTCAGAATGGAGCGCCTTAATTCAGTATAAACATGTTGTCCATCCCTGGGCTATTCCAGTCTGCTTATAGGCAAGCTGCCAATCTGTGAATGGACTGATTCTCAAATCAGGGACATACATATGAACGTTCACCACGGTTTTTATTTTTTTCTTAAAAGCATTCCGTCAGTCTAGGAATCTGTTTTCAAAATGGGTTCTTTTTTTAAGAAATTTACTTACTGTGATTAAATACAAAGAAGACTTTTTTGTGATTTCTTTGCTATGTCATGAAATCATGGTCATCAAATTCTATTGATGAATACTGATCAGTGTCTATTAATAAATACCATCAGCACTGAGTTTGTACTGTACCCTTGCTGCCCACTGGCACATTGTTATTTCTAACTTGATGAATATTTTCTTCTCTAGATTGGGCCAAATTTTTAAAATTATTTTATTTTGAACCAAAATAAATGTAATGGTAACTTATCATATAAGTAATCATGGGGAAACTTTGGCCCACAGCCTGGATCTGAACGCAGGATTAATTATCTTTGATTCATAAAGAAGCAAGAGACAATTTTCTTTTTTATGGATGCTTTTGTAGAATTTAACTTCGCTTTTTAAAAATAATTTTTAAATTGGAGTATAGTTGATTTACAGTGCTGTGTTAGTTTCACATGTGCGGCAGAGTGAATCAGTTATTCATATACACATGTATATGTATGTATTTTTTAGGTTCTTTTCCATGTGGGCTGTTATAGAATATTGGGTAGAGTTCCCTATGCTGTGCTAACATGGCTTTAATAAGCTCTGATTGAATATCCAGGAAGGTCTTGAGACAGGGTATGCTATCCATTAAGTTAGTACTTTAGCTCTATAAAATAATTGTGATCCCCTATATTTAAAAGAGCAACAAATTTGAGTTTCCTACCATAACAAAAAATAGGAAAAGGAAATTTTTAAGAATTCTAGTATTTTTTAACTTGATTAGAATTGTTTAAAACAAAAAACTAAATAATCCAATATATTTTTTTAAAAACTAACATTAAAATGCTGCCAAAAACCTCAGTGCTGCCCGTACTTAAAAGTATAAATTTTAGATTCATGTGCCTAGCTTCAAGTCCTAGATTTGCACATTTTTAGCTGCAAGAGCTTGAAAAAATTGTTTTTCTAATTTTTTTATAAAGAAGAATAGTAATTTCTATCACCAAGGTTTGTTGTACAAATTACATTTTTTAATGTCAAGTACTTAATACAAAGCTTGCACACAGTTAATATTTATGAAATATAACTTATTGTCATCATTATGAAATGCTACATAAAGTGAAATATTATTTAAACATTCCAATTAGAACTAGCCAACTGTTTTTACAATTGCATGGTTTAAATTGTTGTTGTTGTTGTATAACATCAGGACAGTTTGTTTCTCAAAGTATTTATGTCTTCCTCTTCTGATAATGATCTGTTTGTATAACTTCAGAAGCTGATTCACATGCAGGAGTTCGATATATTACAGAAGCCCTTGTTAAAAAACTTACTAAACAGGAAAATTTGGCCTTGATAAAATCTCTGAACCTTTCACTTTCCAAAGATGGTGGCAAGAAATTTAAGGTAGGTTACCAACCTTTCTGAATACAGACATTGATTTTAATTTTTGTTCTTTAAACTAAAAAAAAATATGTATATGGAATTCACAGTACTGTTTCATTCTAATGTTCCTGGATTTGTTGCAGATCTTTTATTGTTTCTAGTGAAAGGTCTCCATCAGAAGTGTAAAACGTGACATCTTCAAATTCATAACCTCCTGTTATTCTACATGTTGTTGATTCTCTCTAGAAAGGGTCAGCGAACTACAGTCTAAACGCCAAATTAGGCCTACTGCTTGTTTTTGTTAATAAAGCTTTATTGGAGCACAGCTGCACTCATTTATTTCCATATTGCCTGTGGCTGTTTTTGTGTTACAATATGAGAAGTAAGTGATTGTCAAAAAGACTATATATGCCTCACAAAGCCAAAAAATATTTGCTATCTAGCCTTTTGCAGAAAAAGGTTACTGATCCCTGCTCTAGACAGTTTACTACTTTATTCTATTCATAAACTGTACACCATGAGTACATTGAAATTTAATTTTTATTTTTTTAATAAAAATAATTTCTTCTTATTGTTTATTATTATTATTTTTTTATTATTTACAACTTAATATTTTTGGTTGGAATAAATATAAACTTAGATGCCTCCTACTTCAGTCACAAAAATTAAGTCCAGAAGATTGACAGTCTTAATGAAAACAAAACAAAAATCAACCAACAAAAGTGCTATAAAAGTGTTAGGAAAGCATATAGTTTTAAATCTTAGAGTTGGGAAGGCCCTTCTAATCAAATACCGACCCTAATACCACAAAGAAAAATATTGACAGATTTAGCTTACATAAAGATTAAAAAGTGGTGTTTAATGAATTATTATCTTTTAAAAAGTTAAAAACAACAAGCTGGCAAATAGTGTTTCTAGCATGTGTAACAATATCTGCATAATATAAAGAGCCCCTGTGATTCACTAGAAAGAGACAACTAAATGGTAAATGTGCAGAGGATAAGTCTGTTCACAGAAGTATTACAAATGGCTGTTAACATGAAAATATATTCAGTTTCATTAATGTCAAAGAGATGAGAAATAGAACAATGGTTTGATGCCATTTTCCATCTTGTATATCTAATGGACAAGAATTAAAAAGATTATTTCAGCATTCAGAAAGATGTGAGAAATGGATCCTCTCATTTGGTCTTAGTGGATGTATAGATGGGTATAGCATTTTAGGAAAACAGTTTGATAGTATTTATCACAATTTCAAATGTATTTATTTGATCCAGCAATTAAGTTTATACTTACTGAGTTTATACTCACCAACACAGCATTCTACTCCTTGATGTCTATTAATATTTGCACGTGTATCCAAAAGTATCTGAAGAGTAGTGTTTATTAGGCATTATTTAAAATAGAAGAATTGTCAATAACCAATTGTCTGTCAATAGGGAATTGCTTAAAAATTATGGTGCAGTATACCATGAAATGGGCTTCCCTGGTGGCTCAGTGGTTAAGAATCTGCCTGTAATGCAGGAGTTGCAGGAGACATAGGTTTAATCCCTGGTCAGGAAAATCCCCTGAAGGAGGGTATGGCAACCCACTCCAGTATTCCTGCCTGGAGAATCCCATGGACAGAGGAGCCTGGTGGGCTACAGTCCATAGGGTCACAAAGAGTTGGACACAACTGAAGTGACTTAGCATGCACGCATACCATGAAATACTATCAAGTTTCTTGAAAAACAAGAACAAGAACAAAAACTCCCAGAACTCTATGTATTAATGTGAGAAAATGTTCCAGTATATTTAATGGAAAAAACAAACTCTAAAATATTTTTAGTAAGGTCTCAAAATACTTTTTTAATTCATTAAAAATATTTTATTAATGAATAGAAAGGTCTGGGTGTATATACACTGGTCTGTTAACAAGGGTTACCTTTGAGCAGTGAGATTTTTTGGTAGAGGAACTGAACTGGAGACCTGATGAAGAGAGCTTTTTATGTTTTGTTTGAAATTTTTATTGGACTATATTTATGTCTTATGTAATTAAATAGGAAAAAAGGAGACACCCTGGAGTTTAAAGATTGTAAAAATGAAATATCAAGTTAATCCTTACTGTGTGGTTTCTATATGCCAGGTATTAGATTAGGCTGTGGGAATAAATATAGCAGTGAGTAAGCTTAGTTTCTGATTTGGGGAACTTAGAAGTTAGTGTGAAGAATGCCTGGAATTAAGAGGAGAAATATTGAGGGGGAATCAAAGAAAGTGAGTGGGTCTGGGAGAGACAGACCCAGTGAAAAAGTCTGAAGGGGCTGTTGGAATAGAAGATCCAAGAATGTGATGAATGGAGACCAAAGGAGGAAGAACTTCAGGAGAAAAAGATGTGCTGTAAAATGTCACAGCATCATCCAACAGCATGAAAACTTGGAAGAAGTTGTTTGATTTGGCAGTTTAAAAAGCCCTCTCTTCATTCTTGAAGCCCACCAGCTTCATTCTTTTAGGGTCTTTGCTGTTTGTTTGTTTGTTTGTTTTTCTGCCTGGTATTCTCTGTCTCCAGATATTCACACAGCTAGCTTATTATAAGAGTCTCACCTCCTCGCTGTGAGGTCTCCTCACAGTTGCAGTTAGCCACCTTCTCCTCAGTCACTCCCTCTCATTCTTTCCCTCAACAGATACTGATGTGGCAGCCACTACGCGCCAGGCACCAGTGCTAAGTAGTGAACACAGCAGACAGAACCTGCCCCCTTGGTGCTTTTATTCTGTCACATCACGTTATCTTCTTGTTAGTATGCCTCAGTGCCTGAAAACTTTATTTTCTCTATTTGTTTATTGGCTTTCCCTGTGAGTGAAATCAAGAACCTTGTTTTCCTTATTCATCAACGTTTTTTCCATATTTGCAGTACCTAGAACAGCTCCTGGCACATAATCCTTGTTTGATTAGTATTTGTTGGAATGGGTGAATGAATGGTGATCTTGGAGACAAGTTTTTGAATACATAGTAGGGATGGAAGATGTATTGCCTTACCAATGACTAACACTGAATGGGAGGCTGCAGAGTAAGCAGATGTACACAGTTTTTATGAGAACATGGTGGCAAATAAGGGTGGTAACGTGAAAGCTGGGTAGGAAACAGGTTCTCTGTGAGGTGATTTGTATCACATAAAGGAGACTGAGCTTGTTTTCAATGGAAACAATGGAAACAGTGACAGACTATTTTCTTGGGCTCCAAAATCACTGCAGATGGTGACTGCAGCCATGAAATTAAAAGACACTTGCTCCTTGGAAGAAAAGCTATGACCAGCATAGACAGCATGTTAAAAAGCAGAGACATTACCTTGTCAACAAAGGTCTGTCTAGTCAAAGCTATGGTTTTTCCAGTAGTCATGTATGGTTGTGAGAGTTGGACTATAAAGAAAGCTGAGCGCCAAAGAATTGATGCTTTTGAACTGTGGTGTTGGAGAAGACTCTTGAGAGTCCCCTGGACTGCAAGGAGATCCAAGCAGTCCATCCTAAAGGAGATCAGTCCTGGGTGTTCATTGGAAGGACTGATGCTGAAGCTGAAACTCCAATACTTTGGCCACCTGATGTGAAGAACTGAGTCACTAGAAAAGACCCTGATGCTGGGAAAGATTGAGGGCAGGAGGGGAAGGGGATGACAGAGGATGAAATGGTTGGATGGCATCACCGACTTAATGGACATGAGTTTGAGCAATCTCCGGGAGTTGGTGATGGACAGGAAAGCCTGGCGTGCTGCAGTCCATGGGGTTGCAAAGAGCTGGACACAACTGAGCAACTGAACTGAACTGAGTGTGTTGAACGTAGATTGCAGTGACAGGGGAATTGTCTGGTGCACTGGTATGTTGCCATTGCCTGGTGCCACATCTGGCATGTAGCAAGTGTGTAGTGAATATCTGTTGAATAGTGACTTTTTTTTTTTTTTTTGTCTTTTGGCCACACCACACGTGGCATGTGGGATCTTAGTTCCCCATCCAGGGATCAAACCCATGCCCCTTGCATTGGCAGCTCAGAGTCCTAACCACTGGACCATCAGGGAAATTCCAAATAGTGACTGTTTCTAAACTTGAGGGGAAGACCCAGGAGAGAGAAAGATTGAGGATTCAAGAACACAGGGAGAGGAGACGGGGGACATTATGCCAGAGCATGAGTACCTTAGTTGAACTTGGAAGAAAGGAAGGGAGAAAGAGAGAAGGCGTAGAAAAGTGGAGAAGGAGGAAAGGACCATGGGGAAATTTCTCACTGAATTGTCGTCAGTTTCTTAGTATGTCGAAGTGTCATCTCCTGCAGGGCAAGAAAAGTTTGGCAGCTTGAGAAGCATGGCCCCCCCTGACCAAAGAGAGCCGCACCAGAGTACTGCCCAGGGGAGCAGTAACGGCCTAGTCTCCGGTGACTGATCAGAACAGCCCCTGATGCATATGCTTCTATGTCGAGCTCATGTCGAGGCGTCTGTTGTATAAAGCATTTATTCATTTGTTTCCAATTAGTATATCGAAAATTTGGAAAAATGTACTAAGCTTGAAATACTGAATCTCAGCCATAACCTAATAGGGAAGATTGAGAAGGTGGACAAGCTGTTAAAATTACGTGAACTCAACCTATCATATAATAAAATCTGGTAAGTAAATGCTTCTTTGAGTAGCACTGCAGGGTGATCATCTTTGTTAACGAGGTGGATTCATACTGTCCATGTTACTGAAAGAATCCTTTGAAAGAGCAAACACTTTGGTTATTCATTTGTAGTCTAGCCCTTCACATAGGTAACTGTCATATTTTGGCATTACTAAAGTACAGAATAATACCTAGCATTATCAAAGAAGGAGATACATTTTTTGAGTACCAAATTTTATCTTAGTTCCATTTTGACAGGAAGTTTTCCCAGCTACAGTCTGTGATTAACTGCTTTATTCATTAAGAAAGTTGGCATGAAGCAGAATGTTTTAACCCTGTTGTTTTGATCCTAAAGATGTATCAACTTGTTTTGAGCCTATGTATTTTATCCTGATGTTCTTTGCTTATTTCTGTAATAAATAGGCCCTCAATCTTGTTTCTACTTCATAATGTATATTACTCTGAAAAATAAACATAATAAGACTGACAGTGGCAAAAATGCACATAGAAAACTTGTTATAGGCAAAATGATACAATTTTCAAATGTTGAAAGTCTTTATGTCTGTATACTTTCCCTCCATATAAGACTTGGTATATAGAATGGCCAAAGAACAAAACAACCAACTGTAGCCGAAGCTCTAATATGGAAAAAATGAAATGGGGGGGAAGTGATTGATGAATTAAATCCTTAATGTAAAGTTTGTATAAAAAAAAATTGATCCTGATGAAAATAATTTCAACAAAATAAAACTGAGAGTAAAAGGCATGGAAATATTTGCCCAGTATAGAGAATTGACCAAGGAATTGAATTGGAATCAACTTGGAAAAATATTTCAACAATGAAAATTCACCAATGCAGGTGATAATGTCTTATTAAATACTGATTAAAACATTTGTGTTCATAAATACAGCATCATTCTGGGGTTCCACCTGCTCAGAATGGCAGCCACACCCTGCTGGCATAGCTGGTCTTCCGGTGATGACTTAAGGTGGTGATTAAGGGCCTTCCCCTGTGCAGGGCGGTAGAACAGGACAGTGTGTGCTGCTGGCCTTCCCAGCTCGCCCCTCGCTGTCCCCTGGAGTCTTCACAGTGGTTAGTGAGACTGGCCCAGGCAGCCTCTTCTTTTCTGTGTTGTGGGATCCTGAAGTCTGATAGTAAGACAGATGGGATTCCTGGGCAGGGACAGTAAGGAAGAGTCTACTGGAGCTGTTCTGGTAAATTTGTTTTTAGCCACTTTTTAAATTCTCATTTGTAAATTATAGTTATGAAAAGCAACTCTACATAAAACCAAGCCTATTTATTTTTAAAATACAATGAAGGGACACTATCATTGTACTTCCTCAGTTTGATTTTACCCTTTGGTTTCTAGCAAAATTGAAGGCATAGAAAATATGCACAATCTACAAAAGCTGAACCTTGCAGGAAATGAAATTGAACATATTCCAGTGTGGTTAGGGAAGAAGTTAAAATGTTTGCAAGTCCTCAATCTGAAAGCCAACAAGATATCATCGGTAAGTTATTCAAAGTAGCAAGAATATTTAAATTTTTTGGACTTGTTGAGGTAAAAAGATTAAAATCTAAGGTTGTTTTTTTTTTTTGATGGGACTTCTTCTAATGTCCTTGGTCCTTTGACGAAACCTCAAATTCAGACATAACTTAGTATTCTCTATGGGAATTAAATATACACAGACCTGGTTTTGCATGACTATATGGTAACAGAGTTGATCTCTTAGCATTTTCCCATCTTTCATTTCATTTGAGCCTCTGAGTACTCTTCTTGAGGAGACAGTGCAGGGGTTATTTTTATAATTCCGTGAATTAGGTACCATTTTATTATTTCCATTTTTAAGTAAAGTCTTGGAGAGGCTAACTCTCTTACCCAAAGTCATTCAGCTTGTGCCAGAATCCATGTCACGGCATGCCTGGAGCAGAGTTCTCTTTTTTTGTTTTTTGTTTTCAAATTTATGAATTAATCTGAATTAATCTTGATTATAGTATTAAGTGTTACAGGAAGTGTTAATCACTAGCTTTTTGTAGCAAAGCAACTTTATCATGGTTCACGTAAGCTGATAGTGACATGTATTTTTCTCTGTCATAAAATATATGAGCATATTTTTTTATTTTTTTGTAACATTTATACAGTTAGATATTCCATAAGCATTGCAAAGTAAAAACATTAATTTATTTAAGTCTGTATTAAAATTGAAACAATCCTCCTATAATTTAAAGAACTTAAGTCTTAGAATAGAAAATTAAAGAGGTGACTTCCAGTATGGGTCTAGATTTGCCTTCGGTAATCTTTGGATAAATTTCATCTGTCTAAAACTCACTGTTTAAATTGGAAAAAAATAGTTTCTCCCCTGACTTCTTTATGGAAGTGGTATAGGGCTCAGGTGAAATGATAAAATGTAAAAATAAAAACCTTAAGGAATATAGCCTTAGAGTTATTTAGTGTTTTAAACTTTTACCAGTATAAGGTAGTAATAATAAGTAACTTTTGTTTAATGCTGTGCAGTGTCTATACTCTCCTGTTTCATCTTTATAAAGATCTGATAAGGTGACTCAGAGCCGAGCCCCACGCCATGTTACACAGCGTCACCTCGGAGATCTTGGAGTTTAGTGGGTGTTTGGAGGAGGTAGCCATGAATTCATCTAATATTGCCACACATGTTCCTAAAGTAGTTGATCCATAGATACACTGATAACAGGAAAATCATTCAATAAATATTTATTATTATTTATAATTTTGTAACACTTTCTCATCTCAGTTCATATTTGACATTGGCTTCAACAAGAGTGCACATCCACTTGAAAGAGATTTATTTGTATTAGCTATTAGTAGTAGTATTTCTCAACATTTTAAAATCCCTTTTTGGATAAATGTAAAAATCTAACTTCATAACTGTGAATGTTTCTACATATCCTTATTTCTTTTAATTATCAACTATAACAGTTATCAGAAGATTTACAAAACTTCTTTTTTATAGACATTTATATTTTTGATTTGTTCATTCAGTGTAATGAAAAGATAATAGGATTAGAGTTACCCAGTCTTGAATTCAAATGCTATTTCATTCGAATATAATCTCTGAGCTTTGAGCAAGTCACCTAAATTCTTCGAAATTCAGTTTCATGATCTATAAAATTCAGATGATATGTCATAGGTTTCTGTGAGGAATCACAGATGAAATGGAGTGTAGAAAATGCCCAGTATTGCTCTTGATACATTCTAGATCCTCAAATATTCCTTTCTGTTCCTCCCTTCAAACTACTGTTGGATAATGCGTTTTATGAATAGATTCCTTGTTATGATAATAGCAATTTCCTTGCCTTATTACTTCCCTTAGGTATGTTTATGATGTTTTAATTCAGTTATGCCAATAATAATATTACATATCATTTTAGCTCCAAGATGTAAGCAAATTGAAGCCACTTCAAGATTTGACTTCTCTGATCCTAGCTGAAAATCCAGTTGTGACCCTTCCCCATTACCTTCAGTTCACCGTTTTTCACCTCCGATCGCTGGAAAGTTTGGAGGGTCAGCCAGTAACTGCTCGGGACAGGCAAGAAGCTGTGGAGAGGCTCAGTTTAGGTGAGGTGACAGGCTTTAAAACCAGACTTCGGGTGAGAGAGGGATTTATTTTCAGAAATGATCCAGAAAAGGTTTATTTATTATTAACTTTATAATGCTGTTAAAATTTTCATAGAAAATGGCACCATAGATCAATGAACTCAACAAATACTCATCAGGTATATACTGTGAACCAGTCACTGTATCTGGCACTGAAGATATGGCTAGCAAGATGTAAGGTCCTGGCCTTCATGCAGCTTCTGTTTTAGTAGAGAAGATAAACAAAAAACAAGTAAACCCAGATAAAATAACAGAGGCAAACCCCTTTTTTGGAAAGTGGTATAAAGGAATGGCTCTGAGGAAATGACACATAAGTTGAAGGCAAAGGCAGGAGAGGATGAGGGAGAGGGGAAAGCTTACACTTTGCAATTGGGAAGATGCTGGAGAGTTAAGAGACAGAAAGAAGAATAATCTGACTGGAGGATAGCTCAAGTTAAAGTTTGGAGAGATAGGTAGGGGTTAGATGACACAGGGCCTTGGGCTTTGGGTTTCTTCAGGTGCAGCAGAACGTCACCGACAACATTTAAGCAGGTGTTATATGTTAAGATTATTTTTGATGCAGGATGGAGAATGACTTAAAGCAGGGCAAAATGGTTATAAGGGGCATGTTAGAAGGATATTGGCTTAGGAATGTTGGTGGCCTGTATTTAGATGATAGATGTGGAATGGACAGATCCACTTTGGAAGTAGAATCAGCGGCACTTTCTAATGGATTGGATAATCCTCAAGCTTCTGGCTTAAGTAAGCGGTTTGCTGGTAATGTTGTTTTGAAAATGGGAAAACTTAGAATGCTGAGTTTGAGTGTCTGTGAGGCAGCCAAGAAGAGAATCAGAAATGTGTGTCTGGGGTTCAAAGAGATCTGTCTTAGAGATGTAAATTTGGGAGTCGTCAGCATAAAAATGATAACTTTATTCTACTTGAATCAGCTAGCTCTCTCAGGCAGTTGGCAAGAGCAAAAAGGGGAGCCAGTTAAGAAAACAGAGAGGCTAGCAAGGTAGGTGAAAACCAGGAAGTAGTGGTTTGCAAAAGTCTGAAGATTTCAGAAGAGGAAGTGGTCAACTATGTTGAATGTCACTGAGACATGAAGAAGAAAGATGAGCACAGAGAAGCGCTTTCCACTGGCAACATAATGATGAGCCTGACAAGGGCAGTTAAGCAGTGGTTGGAACAAACACTCAATTATAGATTGAAGAATGAATGGGAGGAAGACATTTGGATAAAGATTGGAAATTTCCTCCCACAGTTTCTCTCCCGTAGTACCTAATAAATGAGTTTTTAAAAGTTAAAAAAATTTCGCCAATCACTTCCACACCAGGAAATTGTCAGAAGCATCAAAGCTAGTAATCAAAGAAACAGAATATTCAAGAGCGAAGTGGAGAGACAAATCATGGCTTAGCTTCTTTGGTCCTTGAGAGGACAAGGAGATGAGATCAGAGAAGAATAAAGAGTGTCTCTTGATAAGCAGGGTGGGACACTTTCTCCATCAGAAGGAAGAGAAGATGTGTGTAGGTGTTAGTTTTGTTGCTTTGGTGGTAAGAAAATGAGGGATTTCCACTGGTGGGGTCTGTCTTATCAATAAAGTATGAGATCATCAACTGGAAAAAGAAAATAGAAGGAGTATGGGAGTTTTGAAGGGAAGAGGAAGATATGAAATAGCCTAACACAATAGTTATGTAATAGTTACAGGCTATGAACCTGTATGTTCAACCATCTGAAATTGATGTTAGTCCTTGTTTATTGATAAAAACAGCAGTTTCATGTAGTTTGATCCAACACTTGAGAAATGTGGTTAACTTTTATTAGTTTGGGATCCCCCCTAACTCAACATTTGTTGCCCAGAAGGTGATGTTTTGGAATAATTAAAAAACAAATGATGCAAAGGGAAGTCATGTTGGGGGAAATGTTTAAAGTACTTATGATTCATTCGCAACTTTGAATGTTAATTAGGAGTTTTTAGTGATGCTGAGTTCTTGGGATCCAGTGGTAACACAGATAGATGCAGTTTCTGCTTTCATAAGACTTGAGTGGGGAAGGCAGACACCAACTTCCCCTGTGATGAGGGCCACGGCAGAGGTGCAGGGTGGCATCATAGCATTCCTGAGAAGCATCTTATCTGGGGAGGGTAGAGTCAGGGCTGGCTTCTCATAGTGTTTTATTTTAAAACACCAAACCTGGAGGATGCAAAATAGGCCAGTAGGAGATAGAGGAAGACAGTTTGAGGCAGAAGGTATGAATAAAAGCCTGCTGCTGAGAACAGGCATCAGAAAACTGAAGAAGTGGAATCATTTCAGAAATGTGTGCTTGAAAATGGGACTGGAGAGGGGATTTGGGACCAAATCATGAAAAGCCTTGTCAGTTCTTGATGTAAACCTTTTGGATCCTAGCCTAAGCATCATAGGAAGACTTAGAAGGATTCTTAAGATGTCTTCCCTGGTAACTCAGCTGGTAAAGAATCTGCCTGCCATGCAGGATAACATGGTATTTTATTTTGTAAACATGCCTGCAGCATCCTTTAAAGTATAATCACTAATACCAAATAAAATTTTGCATGTTTTTTTCTAAGAGACCTGGAAAAAGCCGCCTCATTTATCAACACACTAATTGAATTAAATGCTTGGAATTAAAATGTTTTCTTTTAAAATCATTATCCAGATGATTATGCCTTCCTTCCTTTTAGTATAAATCACTTTCTGGCTCAGAATAGTCTTTTTTCCCTAGACCATAGTGAATAATTTAAAAAGTAGAATTGTATTTTTACTATTTTAAGACTTCTTTTGCTGTTATTTAAGAAATAGTCCTGCCTTTCTTCAAAGAGAAAATATAATGATTCATAAACTATTCAATTTGTACTGGTAGAAGAGGTAGAAAGACTGGAAAGAGACCTGGAGAAGAAGATGATGGAAACTGAAGAGCTTAAAAGCAAACAAGCACGGTTCCTTGAGGAAATAAAAAATCAAGATAAATTGAACAAATCATTAAAAGAGGAGGCTATGCTACAAAAAAAGAGCTGTGAGGAGCTCGAGAGTAACCTTAACACGAAAAATGAACTGGTAAGTCCATATTTTACATTGCCTTGACTGTATTCTCTTGAAATAGAAAATTCTCTGTTCTTAGGTCTGAAAACACAACTTCCTGACCATAGAATGGGGAAGATGTGGTTTAACAGAAATAATGTGCTACAGTTTTGACGTGTTGTAGTTGACTGCGCACTGTATGGTATGGCTGCCCAAAAGATGCATACTGTCTTGGACTGTGACTGAAGCCTTCAGATAGTCAAAGGGCTGTTTCATGGGAGAGGGACTGGAGTTATTAATGAAGCTCCCAAGAGATAAAATTAAATGGCAAATAGTATTATAGGGAAGCAGTTTTTCATTTTGTAATGAAGAGGAAATCTAATAGCTGTCTTGAGATAAAATATGATAACTCTGGATTGTGTTTGCTATCACTGAAACAAGCATGTACTTAGGAAAAAGATTTAAAAAAAAGTCAGTGAGATGAACTAAATCACCTTAGAAGACTTTTTCTAACTAGAGAATCTGATCCTGTAAAATTATTAGGCTACTTTCCTTGAAGGAAAAAAATAGCTCTTGGTACTCTTTTTTTTTTTTAATCATTTGACAGTTCTTTCTCTGATCTAAGCATAACTTTAGAGAACTGTGTTTCTCATATAATTAATAGAATCCCCTTTTTTTTTTTTTTGCTTCCCTCTTTCAAAATTGGCATTGTGGCTTAATTACTTGATTTGTTGACAAGAATTTTGCCTAAACACTTACATTTTTAAACAAGGGGGGAAAAAACGTTCCCTTCTCTGTGTGAAGAGAGAAATTTTTGCTTGAAGTCTACATACCTCTTTCCTGAGCACTTCTTTATCAGTGGGGGACATGGTAAAAATCAGGACGGCTTTCCCAGCTCTGCTAACCAAATATTCATAACATTTGTAGCTTTCTTCACATGCCTTTTATTTCAAGGTAGTTTTCAAATATGCCTACCGTATTCTGAAGGCATATTATATATGATGTTAATAATTCAATGATTATCAATAGTCTTATAAATATATCTGTTGTACTCCTTTCCATAATAGAATGGATTGATGAGTAATTAAATCATTGGAGACATATTACAGTCAGTTTTATTTTAGCAGTGAACTCTTTATGCTATCACCTAATGTTTGTATTTAAACAATACTTAAAAACAGTACTTACTGTGGTAAGTTCTTGGTATCACATGACATTTGTGAACATTTAATAAATTTTCCTGAGTTATTGATCTTTTTTGGTAGTATAAAATTCACTTTTATTACTAAGATAAAGGAAGATTATAATTTCCATATGCTGAGATTTTCCATGCATGTTAGTCAACCTGTTGAAACCTTGGCAAAGTATTGTATTTATTTATTATTTATTTTTAATTGAAGGATAATTGCTTTACCTATCGTGTTGGTTTCTGCCAAGCATCAACATGAATCAGCCATGGGTTTACCCGAGTCCCCTCCCATTTGTATTTTATATTTGTGTGCTATCCCAAAATTATAAGTTCTTACAGTTACCTAGTTTTCTCTTTTGTTTGTTTGTAATGTTGATTTGTTTGTTTGTAATGTTGATATGTTTGTGCTGTAAATAAATGTTTTGTAAATCGTCAACAGTTTTTGCTGTTTCTTTTCTGTAACTATTTTTGGTTAGAAGGCAGACTGTGCTGTTCTTTAAGTCTTTATGTTATTTTTATCATTAACTATTTAAAACACATTATATACAAAGTTAATAATAGACAACACAAATGTATACAGTGGAAAATGAAGATTTCATTCTTTCCCTATCCTATTCTTTGGAGGTTAATATGTATCCATTTTGTTTTCTATGCTTATGCAATATATATTAATTACACATGTAATTGAATATATATATACCTATATATACCTTTGAATGTTTTCTGATTTAAAAAGAATCTTACTGTATATTTTTTAGAATTCTGCCTCTTATTTTTTATAAAACAGTATATCATTGGACAGCTCTCCAAGTTAAAAAACTACATATACATGTATATGTGTGCACACATATAGACACACACACATAAGTTCTTTTTCTTTTCAAAGTTTGTATTGTGTTCTGTTATATGGATTTTCCATAATTTATTCAATCTACTGAATATTTAGGTTGCTGCCACTTTTTTGTTATTAGGAACAGAACTGTAGAGAAAATCTTTTTTTAAAAAAATCTTTATGCCTTATACATTCATACTAGTAATTCCTTAGCATAATCACTGTAAGTTTAAAATTTTTTAATTTTGATAAATATTAATGCACCCCTCAAAACGCTTGTAATTGTTTCACACTTCTATAGGATTGGGTAAAGGAACCCAGTCCTTCAGTTGATATTATTTTGAACTTGTAAATAGGGTAGAAAAAAAATGGAATCTCACTGCTTCAATTTCACAATTTTTTTTAGTTATTGAAGTACTGCATATGTTTATTAATTATTTTGTATTTCTTCTTTAAATTCATGTTGTTTTACTTGTTATTTTATGATTCCAAAGAACTGTTCTGTGTTTTAAAAGAAGAATTCTGTGTCTTATTTTAGGAACCTACATTTGAAAAACATTTTCCATTATCTTATGCAGAATGTCTGGTGGTAATATCATCTATAGTTGTAGAATATTCTAGTTTCATAAAGTAATTCCTCATGTAGTATGCAAATTAACTTCTAAATGAAATCTCATAACATTGAAGGAAAACTTTTGGCAGTCATTTAACCTGTAATGGTCCTTCTTTCCTGCCACCAACAAATAATTAACGTCAGTGTTAATGCTTCTGACTGTCGTTTCCAGGTTATTCAGCTCTTGTTCTTGCTTCCTCAGTTTTAAAATGAGGGCTGTTTACCTGCCCTGTGACTGAGTGAGGTCATCAATCTGAAAATGATTTAAAATGAACTAAACTCAGTAATATGATAGCAAATTTGAAACTCATAGGTAGGATGATGATAAAATGCATCCATATAAAAATAATGCAGTGTTAATGAACATGTCTTCCTGAGGTAAGTTGTCAGTGAAGAGCAGCTTTTGTTGTCATAGCCTCGCTCTCTGGGTTCCTCCAGGTGATGCTGTCTGTTTGCTTCTTTCTCCTTTTAGCCCTTGTCTTGGTTTCTTGCAGACCCTTGTCTGCCGATTCTTTATTCTTCCTTAAAGGTAGTTTGTTCAGGGCTGAATTGTACACTCTTTTTCATGGTTTGCATGATAACTTGTGTTAATATACTTACGGACATTTTAAGTTTTGAAACTAGCTTGCCTTTTGAGAAATGTGCTTGTGTGTGTATGTATTTTTTTTTTCAATGTGTACATAGGAGAGTGAGTATGAATGTGGGGAAAAGAATTTGTGTTATTTTTCCTACTGGTAAATATGTTAACTTCAAACTTCAGTCAACTCTTGATTATCCACAGCTAACACTGTGACTAGCCTACTTTCCAGGGCCTTAGACTCCCAGTTTGTTCTCACTTATGCATTTCTTCAGTGGACATTTATTGAGTGCTTACTGTATGCTAAGCCTACTGCTGTAAAAGGCACAAAGCACAGAGTATTTATTGGTAACGTTGACCCTTGAATAGTGTGGGGGTTAACATGTGTAACTTTTAGTTGACCCTCAGTATCCTTAGCTTCTTGGCATCCGCGGGTTCAACCAACCACTGTCTAGTGCTACAGTAAATTCCATTCGAAAATAGCTGCGCAGTCAGCCCTGCGCCGTTCAAAGGTCAGGCTGTTTCCTGCAGAGGCCGATTCGCCTCTCCTGCTTGGCTCCGTCACCTTTATTCTCACTGCCGCCGGAGAAGGAGGTGGCAGCCACTCCAGTGTTCCTGCCTGGGAGATCCCGTGGACAGAGGGGCCTAGTGGGCTGCAGTCCATGGGGTCGCAACGGGTCAGACACGACTAGGCAACTGAGCACACGCTGCCGCGGATCTTTGAGGAGAAGAGCCCAAGAGTCCTCGACACTGTTGATTGTGAGTCGCTTTCTTGAGACTCGGGCTTGTGAGCATTAGTGAAAGCATCTGTGTGGGTAATGCGCTTCACACCCCACAGCAGGTCATGGAAGGCAGTGTAGTATAAGTGTTAGATTTGAAATCAGGAAGCTTGGAATTGAGCTCTGCCTCTTCCACTATCAGCTGTGCAACCGGGCAACTTATTTAACCTCTCTGTACAGCATTTGTCATCTCACAGGGTGGTTGTGAAGATTTAGTGAGATAGCACACGCCAGATTCTTAGCAGAGTGTCTCGCATACCATAAGTTCTCAGTCAGGATTACCCATTATCCCTGTTAGCCTTGCTTCCCCTCAGATGGATAGTCAGGAGGTGACTGAAAGGTAAATCATGCACGACTTTGATTTCGTGGACCTTATAAAATGTTCATGTTTGTTTATGTTTTATTCTCTTCAGCTTGCATTTTTGTATTAAAGAAGTTTTTCTGCATGCATATTTTTTGTCTAGTATCTACTATTGAATGCTGGGGGCAATGAAAAAGCGGAAATCACTTAGTGGACCTTTGAAATGAATCAAGAATTGGTTTAGTAGGAAGGGAACTGGTACTGGTAGTTAATAAAATATTTAATTTCTACCATTAATTATTTAACGTCCGACAAGTCAGTTAACCAGTCTGGGATTCAGTTTCTTTTTTAATTTATTTATTTTAAATGAAACAAGGATGAATATTTTTAGTAATAAAAGGTACAATTCACAAAGAAGATGTCATAAACCATTGGACACCTTAACAACAAAGAAACAAAGATATATAAAGCAAAAGTCAGAAGAAATATAAGGGAAAGGAAAAAATACATAATCATATCAATACATTTCTCTGAGGATATTTTATCAAGTGCAGAAAAAATAAGAATAGGAGCATCTTGAGTGATGTCATTAATAATTTAAATAGGATAGATTTATATTTAATCTATATTAATCACATCCTACACAAATATATTTAAAATTTTGTATCTCATGCATTGTTATTAGATGTCCATAGAATATTTAGAAAAACTGACAAACAGATAAACATTACTAAATTTCAAAAAGTAGATTTCGTTTTTGTGTGTGTGATTCAGTTATACATATGTGTTATTCTTAAATTTATTTTCCATTATAGGTTATTACAAGATATTGACTATAGTTCCCTGTGCTATATAGTAAACCTTTGTTGCTTGTTGCATATTGTTTTAAATTAGAAATCTAGCATTCAATTCATACTGTCAAATGTGGAATCAAAATGTCATAAATTTTTTAGTTAGGCAAGAATTCTTAAGTTTTCTAAAATATATATATTATTCATATATTTATATATGTGTGTGTACAAAAGCTTTTCTACTATGCTCTGATAAAGTCTTGAGAACATAAAAAAAGAGAGATGGAGAAATTGAAAAACATAAACTAAATGAAATAGGAGCATTGAATATGAAATAGAAAAAGTGAAACAAACTAGATAAAAATAAAAGATCCTCATGTAGTCCAGTTGTTTTTAAACATGGCTGCTCATTAGAAACAAATCTGGAGCTCTGGCCAAAAAAAAAAAAAAACAGCGATACTTGGGCATTTGTAGTTTATTTATAAATTCAGAAGATTAGATTAGATGATTTGTTTTCTTTTAGCTCCTAAAATTTCCAAGAATAACTAAAAAGTTGTAATATAGTAGGATTAGTTTATTAAAAATTTAATAATATCACATATTTGGGTCTGATTGAGCTTATTTACATCCCTTTTCCTCTATTACAAAAATAATGTTCACTTAAAACCAAGATGTTGTTAGCCAAAATATGACAGCAAGAGCAGTACAACAGTTAAAACCAATTTCCTATTTTCATCGTTCTCACTCCTAATTTCTTTGTAATTAATATCTAATATCATGCCTATCCATGAAGCTATCAATAATAAATTAAATAAATTAGTACCAATTATTAGAAAAATCAGGAAGCAGATACTTAGTAGACTAGTTACTTAAAAATAATTGATGAGTTATTTTCACATTTGGATAAAGCAAATTTAAATGATTTTTTAAAAAACTTTTCATATATCCTACAATAATAAACTTCAAAGGTCTCTTATGTGATCTCTTATGAAAGGATAATTTTGTGTTTCATTTTTTATAATACTTTAGAATTAAGATAAAATGCTCTTAATGTTCTGTCTGCTGTGGGATTTTTTAAAATCTAATAATCAGTTATGATTAAAACTTGCCACACCAGTCTACCTTTATACTGACTTATTGAGTCTGTGTGTTGTTTCTTATCAAATTGGGCCAACAGCTAAGACAGAAGACCATGGAACTAACTCGAGCATGTCAGAAACAGTATGAACTGGAACAGGAGTTGGCTTTTTATAAAATTGATGCTAAATTTGAGCCACTAAATTATTATCCCTCAGAGGTGAGTTATTTTAATTTTGTAGTAATCCAAATTAAAGTCAGGATAGAAGGGGGCAGGGGAGGGCAGGGTAGTGGTGATGTTTAAAAAATTTTTATTGTTAATCACATTCTTGTAATGAGGCTATCAGCAGAGTAAATGTATTTTGGTTCAATCTGTGAATGATCTAGCTCAGTGAGGTAGAGCAGCGTCCATAAGAGTTTAAAAGCCCCAAAAGGATATTTGCCCACATCCGTATTTGTAACCCAGAGCAACCTTCTAATCGTCAGTTATCTCACTCAAAAGTGTAGTTTGGTCAGCTTCCTTAAATCCAAACTTCCAGGAAAACTGCACTGCCTCTTTCAGTGACCATGGCATAGTCATCTCCCTATATGGTTTGTTCAGGAGTCACTGGGTTCACTATTCATCAGTCATTATTTATACAAATACCATAAATGTCACTGTAATGGAAAGCCATTTAACTTCCAAGATCCAGTGATTCCAATCAATATCATATATCATTTAGTAAAAATTCAGTAATTAAAATTTATTAGACTGAGATTTTACTTATATGGCAGCCAAGAAACCAAAATACAACACCTAGACATCTGATTTGAGAGTTTCAGTGGTACTTAAAAAAGCGCATATCTGTAGGTACTTCCTTAATCAATCAGTCCAGCTCACTCTTCAGGGATAGGAAGAAGAATTTTCTTGAGACCATTTTTTTTGTTCTAGTTCCTTTTTAGTATTAAGAATAAGATACAAGAATTTTATATATAATTTTATATATCTTTTTAACTTCTATATATGTAAGATTAGTATTTAGGCAATTCTGTGCTATATTTTTCACTAATAAAATGAAAAATGTCACTTGACTGCATAGCAGTTACTTACTAAAGCATAAGCTCTCTTTATTTTGTCTTAGTATGTTGACATTGATAAAGCCCCAGATGAAAGCCCTTATATTGGCAAGTCCAGATATAAGAGAAATATGTTTGCCACAGAGAGTTACATTACGGATAATGCCCAGTCAGTTGAGATCAAGAGGATGGAGCCAGAGGAAGGGGAGCAACTTAGAAACGAGCATGTGAACTTGAAAGCCCATATGCCACTGGACACACAGCTGGAAGACAAAGAGAACAAAATAAGTACAGGTTAAAACAAGTTACTTTGAGTTCTTTAAATATGTAAAAAGATTGAATATATATGCTGATTTTTTAAATTCTTCTAGTTAAACATACTGAAGGTATTTATTATGATGTTGTTTACATGAGAAGTTTAAAACAAAAGTAATGATTCATTGTGCAGGTTATTTTTTAATCATTCCTGTTATGAGGGAGAATTATAATCTGACCATAATTTGGCAACATGCCCAGGGGCTCCAAGAATGCTTAAATTGGTTGTCCTGACAACAGATTCTTCTCACCATTGGACCTGCACTTTCAAAGGCACAGTTAATAATAACTGAAGCAAGTACAGTTATTGATTGCTATACGTGTTGCTGAAACCTGAAGCAGTGCTTTGGGTAAGCCGGCTTATTGTATTCTCCTTAGGCTTGGGTCTGAGGCTGACCTCTGACTCTTCCTGACCTGTCCCACACTCCTTCTCCTCCGTTGCCTCCCAAATCATGTAATTCAAGGAATCTTACCACTTCCTGGCAAGTCATAAAGAGAAAGAAATCAACCCAAGGGGACACTTAGAGACCTTCCAAATGGCAAACTTTGAATGCACTTACCCACTTAGCTGTATGGATATGAAGGAATTAGAAAGCAGTCTTGAGTTCATCCATCTATCTCCCTGGTAATGATGGCCCATTGTGGGGATCTCAGCCAGTGAGATTAATGGCCCATCTTCCCTTGGTTGGCAGCTAACTGGAAAAACTCAGAAGGCCAATAGAGGTTGACCTGGAGACAGGAAAAAAGAGGCCGGCTGTCCATGTCTGCATACACTATATTCAAGGCTCTGGAAGGGAAAAGCAAAACTAAATCAGATATATGTACTGACTAGCTTCAAGGGGTCATAGTTTTATAGGAGGTGGGGAAGGAGGAAGGGGGAGAGGAATTAGAAATTTGAGGTAGAAAATCATTGATTTTTAAGTGCATATTTTCAAGCAAAATCCTTAGCGTCTCAAAAGTTCCTTAATTTTGGAAAGCCACTTTTATGTTAAGAATTTTACAAGTAAATGAATCAATTATAGCTCTATGTCATATCATGAAACTATTCTATAGATTAATAGAGAGGAAAACCATCATAAGCAATTACTTTTTTATATTCATGTGATGTATAATTACAGAATTAAATTGGGGGAGAGGAAGTTATTGCTAAGAAAAAGGTAGAAATTTGAGAATTAAGGATTTTTCTTGTGTGTGTCTGTGTGCGTGGTTTTTAAATTTGTAGCACAAGCTCGACTATCAGAACTGCATGGTGAAATAGAAAAGGCGGAACAACAAATTTTAAGAGCCACTGAAGAATTTAAACAACTAGAAGAAGCTGTACAACTTAAAAAAGTAGGTTAAAGTAAAGCTGTATTGCTAAGAGGAAATGCCAAAAATGAAATGTGCTTCCCTCTTCCTAACTGTGTAAAGACTGTCTTCAAACAGTCTTTAAATCATTGCTGTCTAATTAATTGTGGAATAACAAATTTCAGAGTCAGACATGGTTCTAGCATTTTCTAATTTCATTTCCTGCCATTCAGGATGACATCTTATTAGCATATTATAGAGTGTACAGGTATACATTACTTTTATGTAAAAAAAGATACATTCCATCTACTCTATTATGAAAGCATCTAATTTATCACGGGAAACTCCTTCCTAATATCTTTCCTAATTTAATTAAACAGTCCCCACCATTAAGATCCTGGGACCTAGATTAACAGCCAGAAGACATCTCTATAATAACATTATTAAACACAGGCAGCAAAAATATAAATGATATAAAATGCAGTATATAAAAAGATGATGTCATGAAGAAGAAAACAGCTCAAAACCTGTGACGTAGTTGAATAGGAAGAAAGTTCAAAAAAGAAAGTATTTTGATGTTTTAGTTTTTAAATATGTAAAAGGTTTTAATTATTTGCAACTTCTAAAAATTAGTATTTCAGAATTATGATGGTAACTGTATTCATACCATAGTAAGTAGAAAAGAACATGAAGTCCAAGTTATATATTCTTTTAAAAATATACCCTGTGTTGTTGCTTTCAGATTGTTTAGGAACCAGAAATTGATTTGGGTTTGCGTGGCAGTTGCTGCCTGGGCTGGGCCTTGAGTAATGAACAGCTGTGTTCCTTCCTCAGGGACAGGAAGTAGGCAATAGATAGTAAAAATAAGTTTAGAAGAAATGTATAGATAAATAGCATAGGTTGTAGGGAGGGGAAAAACGAAAATTAGCAGAAACAATGAAAAGGATGTAGATTGGGGCGGCCCATGGAGGCCTTGCTGAGGAGGCGACACTTAGGCTGAGAAAGGATGAGAGGGAGCCAGTGAGGGCTTCCAGGCGGAGGTGACCGAGTGTGCAAAGGGCTTCAGACTAAAGAGTCCCCTGCAGAGTGAGGGAGCATGTGGTCATGATGAGGTTAAAGCTCATGCCAGCATCATAGACCGTTTTAAGGGCTTTGGATTTTATCCTGAACGTAATAGGAAGCCTTTGAAGGACTTTAGGTGGTAGACTGGCTGATCTTATTTGTATTTTTATAAGGTCACTCTCCTACTTGATGAGAGTGAAGTGGGTTGAGAGAGGTGGAAAGAATGGAGATGTGTACATTGGCTTGGAGGCTGTGGTCTAGTACAGGCAAGACATGATGGTGGCTTGGACTACAGAAGTGATGGCAGTCACGGAGAGAAAGGAGCCTGGGTGAAAATCTGGCAGGAGAGATGACGGGAGGTAAAGAATGATTGAAAATGGGAGATGAGGTGGACAGAGCCGTCAAGAACAGTTTATAAGAATTTATAATTTATAAGAGTGTTTTAAAACAGCACTGGCCAAAGCTTTATATAGATAAATTGATAGAAGTAAATAATGTACAAAATATTTAAGTAAATAGATCCTTATAAAATGTATTTAGGAAAAAAATAGCTATTTTAAGTGAGTTAGTTAAATATTTTTAAAATATTTATATTTTTAAAGATAATAGAGCCTTATAATAAAGGCTTTCATTACACAGTTAGAGATTCTAATACAAGGGTAGGTGCTATATAAAGTCAACTACCATTAAGGCTATGGTTATTATTATTAATAATTTATCTTATTTGTACTGGAATGACAAATTTCATTACTACCTGCATTTACTTTTCATAAGCTCTTATAAACATTTTTACATGTAATAAAGATAAAAGTATAAGATATGAATGGATTGCCTAGATAACTCTTACATTTTACTTTTACTAAAAAAAAATATGATAGAGCATGCAGTTGTACTTTTTAAAATTGTACTAGTTGTTTTCTATAAATTTGAAAATCAGTGTTTCTGTCATTTGCTAATTGTGTATTGGGATGTGGGGGGAATTAGATTTCAGAAGCAGAGAAAGACTTTCTTTTCAAGCAGCTGAGTGGCAGGATACAACTTCTAAATAAATTACGCCAGGAAGCTCTTGATCTAGAAATGCAAATGGAAAAGCAAAGAGGAGAAATTGCTGAAAAGCAGGAGGAGATCAAGGACCTCCAAAGAGTTATTGATAGTCTGGATTCCGAAGACCCAAAACATGTAAGTAAATGAAGAGAGCTTTGGCTTGTTCTGTGGGAGTGAGAATATTATTTTTTCTGTTAATAGATATTATGTCTCATCATTTTTAGCCTCAGAGTTCTTTCTGAAAATCTCTTAGCTTGACGCACAAATGTGAGCGACATGTTTATGTGTGTGTGTATGTATATAATATGTGTGTATACATATTGTTTGTTGTTTTTATTTAGTCACTAAGTCATATCCAACTCTTGCGTGACCCAGCTGTAACCTGCCAGGCTCCTCTGGGATTTCCCAGGCAAGAATACTGGAATGGGTTGCCATTTTCTTCTCCAGGGAATCTTCCCAGTGCAGAGGTCGAACCTGATCTCCTGCAGTGCAGGCGGATATTTTACCACTGAGCCTCTGGGAAGCCCACATGAAAAATTAGAGATTTTAAATAATATATAATATGGCCTGTAATATCTTCCCTTACCACATTTATTTGCTTAGAGTTCGACCACCCCATGTAAGGCCCCTAAGGACAGGAACTGTATCCCCAAGGGCCAATACTATGTTTAGAATGATTGCATTAAGGAAAACAGGGAAGAACAGGCATATCGCTCCTACTCAAAGCTCCTTTTCTCACTGTTTGAGTTCTGTGATCTATGAGTGTAATTAGACCCTAGATTGTTTGCTTTCAGCAAACAACTGTGACAGTCTTGGCATACAGGGAGTCTACACACTGGATGTCTGTAAAGTATTACATATAGAAAGAGGTTAAATGAAAAGTAGGAAAGGCATGCAAGTTTTGAAGGTAGTCAAAATCAATGTGTTAGTGGAGATGAAGCATGAAGGCCAGATTTTAAGACTCCTGAAGTTTAGTTCTAGGGTTGTAGCTTTAGTCTGAGTACCAGAGGGTGTCTCTCTTTAATTCATTTACCCAGAAGGAGCATCTTTTTCTAGTTTGCACAAAGTTACCTTACTGGTTATTGTTTGGCACCCCATTTTATGCTGCAAAATGTGAACATTTTAGCAAGAGGGAAAGAATCAAGCATGGTATTTTGCATATTTTTCTGCAGATATAGACTGTTATTATCTAATCAGATGAAATATCTTTCTGAATTGCAAATAGAATTTAAAAGTAAAAGCTTGAGAGATTAGAAAGCAGTTAATGAGATATGATGAGAAACAAACATATTAAGTGACAATGATGTGTCACTTGTTTTTAGGCATTGTACTTGGTTTTAGGCATATACGTTGAGGAACTTTATTTTATTACAGCATCCAAATGAGATTGGTGACTTTTTAACTTGCATAAGATGAAAAAAAAAAAAAAGTGGGGGGGGCTTCTCTAGTTGCTCAGTGGTAAAAAAAAAAAAAAAATCTGCCTGCTAATGCAGGCAGTGTGGGTCGGGAAGATCCCCTAGAGAAGGAAATGGCAACCCACTCCAGTATTCTTGCCTGGAAAATTCCATGGACAGAGGAGTCTGGCGGGCTGCAGCCCATGGGGTCACAAAAGAATCAGACTCAACTTAGTGACTGAACAACAACAAATAAGATAAAAATATGATGTAGATAGAGTAAATGATTTCCCAAGTCTCCCTTTTAAGAAGAGGCAGAGCCCATGCTTATGCTACTACAAATGACTTTCTCCTCACAGAGGAGTTACAAATCTAAAGAGATTAATTACTTTTAAAATTAGCTCAGTGCCAAGCCTAGTCAAGTTTTCAACAAACGTTAAGCATTTAACTAGTTTTCAAAAGCAAAAGATACTATGTAAAAATCAAACCCCCTTTTAGTTAGAGAAAACGGTTCACAGCTAGAAGCAGAGATATCAGAGGAACAAACTAGTAAGGGGAGATGTGTGTCCCGGTTCACTATCTGACTGTGCCCCTGGAGGGAATCAGCCTGGAGTCATCTGTTGCAGAGGTTTTCCTGATTGGCTCGGGGGAGCTTCCTGTGTTGTGATTTAAAGCCTGGAGGGTGGGGCCCGCCTGCAGAGGCTGCTTGCGATTGGACGGGCTGGGTTGCCGCTCAGTCTCCGCCAGGAATGTGGTTTGAAGAACTGCGAGGTTAGAGGCTCGGAGGCGCTTACAAAAATGTGGCTGTCAGAGAGGGAAGTGCACATGAATCTCAAGGCAACATTAGAAAGCGTTCCGCCCACAGCGCCTCTGTTCTCTACGGCTCGGTTTTAACAGGACACATTCTAAGTGAAGGTATGATCATTCTCTCTCTCTCTCAGTACAAAGGACTTAGAAAGGAGGAGGAGTCAGAGATGTAAGTTCCTGTTTTTCAATACCTCTATTGTGAGCTCCACGGTAGTGAAATATCTGAATATACTTTTGCTCCCATGTGTTTAACGCAGATCATTGATGTCCTGAACTAATTTTTTGTCCTGCATATAGAGATTTCAGTAGAAGTTTTAATAGTGAATTTTTAAGATTTATTGATACATATAAGAGGACAGAAGATTTTAAAAATTCACTCTGAGCCACAAAAATCCTAAATTTACTTAGAATTTAAACTTTTATCTTTAGTTACCTTTTGAGAAAGATTTCAGATGGGTATTTTGGGAGAGTAGGAGGAGTTTTGAAAATCCCTTTGAGTTAAGCTAGCCCTCATCTATTCTTCAGAAATGGAGAGACTTTCTTGAATTTGGAGGCAACAGCATATAAAATCAAGGAGTGTTCTTTTATAATCAAATTATAGTCTTAGACTTGAGAAACATAGAGTTTGTTACTCAGATGGATATAGTTCTTTCTCCTGATAACTTTCTCTTGATTTATTTTTGTTCCGTTCCTCTGATCCTGTGGGGGCAAACTAGAGCTATGAGAGTGTGAGTGGGAGGACACAGGTTCTCTGGGGAATTATTTTGTCTCCATAAGAACAGTTGCCTAAGGAGACCTGGGCAAGTCATTTGGGGGGTCTGAGATTCAGTTCTCATGCGTGAAAGAGTTAGACTAGATCATTGGTTCTGTTTTTTATCCCAGCACACCTGAGAAACACAATCCAATCCTGAGTTAACAGTAGCTCCCTGAAGCAATGACCGCCAGCGTATATGTGGGTGTGTGAAAGCTCTTTTTCTACCAGGGATATAGGTAGTGGTTGGAGGAGAAGGGAGTGCCTCCATAGGGCCCTCCATCTTGAGGATCACTGGCCTAAATGGTCTTTGAGGTCTCTCTCAACTCCCAGTTTATAGAACTTAAATGTTTCTTTGTATAAAGAATTGAAAATAAAATTGAATTCTAAGGAAGTATTTATGTCATGTCTCTGTTTCCCCAAAAATATTATAAAAACATTACTTTGCTGACAAAGATCTGTCTAGTCAAAGCTATGGTTTTTCCAGTAGTCACGTATGGGTGTGACTATAAAGTTGGACCATAAAGAAAGCTGAGCGCCAAAGAATTGATGCTTTTGAACTGTGGTGTTAGAGAAGACTCTTGAGAGTCCCTTGGACTACAAGGAGATCCAACCAGTCCATCCTAAAGGAAATTAGTCCTGAATATTCACTGGAAGGACTCATGCTGAAGCTGAATACTTTGGCCAATAGTTTGGCCACCTGATGGGAAGAACTGATTCATTGGAAAGACCTTGATGCTGGGAAAGATTGAAGATAGGGGGAGAAGGAGACAACAGAGAACAAGATGGTTGGATGGCATCACCAACTCGATGGACATGAGGTTTTTTTTGGTTTTTTTTTTTTGGACGTGAGTTTGAGCAAGCTCCAGGAGTTGGTGATGGACAGGGAAGCCTAGCATGCTGCAGTCCATGGGGTCACAGAGAAAACTGTTCATGTGAATACAACACAGTGTCTGACACAAAACAGATGCAAATTGTTACATTTTCTTTTCCATTCTTCCTTAGAAATGTTATTAAGGATTATTATTTTTATAAGTGTTGCAAGAATTTGGATTTTTTTTTTCCAATTTAGTGCCATATGAAGGCTCAGAAAAGGGGTAAAGATCAACAACTTGGCGTTATGAACCAGCAGTACAGACAGCTTGAGAGCCGTTTGGACGAGATACTTTCTAGAATTGCTAAAGAAACCGAAGAGATTAAGGACCTTGAACAACAGCTTACTGAAGGTGAGAATTCTAAGTATGCTTTGAGGTACCTCAGTTTCAAAATGACAGGCATTAATCCAAATATTAGCCAAACATGCTTCAGCTGTTAGTGCTAGTATTTGATAGGGAAATATTTACAGAGTTCTCAAAAATGTTTAATAAAGTTAAAAATTTTTATTTCGGTTTTCTTGGGTTGATGTCCTACTGAGTCAGGTCACTGTGGCAAGAAGTCCATACGTGATCATGATAAACGCTGGCAGGTGAGTGTTGTTTTCTAAGGCATAAAATCCTTGTCACTTACAACTGCTATCAGGCAGTCCGTGCCTGGTTATAAGGAAAGTGCAGAAAGAATTTTAGAATCTATTTTTGCAATGCAAATTTAAATTGTGACATTGTCAAAATAGTGGAAGAGGAAGATACTAGCCTGCAGTGATAAGAACCTTGGCTTGGTGTAAAAAGATCCCAGTCCTTGTTTTGCCGTTATCAGCTGTGTGACCTGGGACAAGTTATTTTTGTCATGATCATTAGTTTTGGAGAGGATTAAGTGAGATAGTGTTCATAAAGTGCCTGGACATAGTAGGTACCCAATATGTGATTGGTGGTTGTTTTTTTTTAAGTCTTCTGGTTATAAGTTAATACTGCCAATCTTGGTTTTGACTTGGCTTTGTTTCGTGTGTCCAGTAGTCAGATCTCGGCTTTGTTGCACATTCTTCGTTATTTTACTTGGAGGTTACTACTTTGAACTTTTTACAGCATGAATTAAGCATTTCATAAGCAACACCAGTGACTATGCTATTTTTATTCTGTACATGCTTGATACTCCTGTGCCAGGGATAATAGGGGGAAAGCCATTATTGTATCTTAAGTATGAAAAATAGGACAGTAGGAAATACTTGGAAGCTTAGAATTTCATTCTTAGCTAGTAACAAATAGCTAAGGAGTCTAAATGCAGTAATAATATATCCTGAAAGCATTTTCTTGTAAACATCCTCACCTTCCCTTTCTCTGTCTTGCTCAGGCCAGATAGCAGCAAATGAAGCCCTGAAGAAGGACTTAGAAGGCATCATCAGTGGGCTGCAGGAATACCTGGGGACTGTTAAGGGCCAGGCCGCTCAGGCCCAGAACGAGTGCAGAAGGCTGCAGGATGAGAAAGAGGTGTTGCTGCAAAGGTTGACCGAGGTCGAGCAGGAAAGGGACCAACTGGAAATAGTTGCCTTAGATGCAGAAAATATGAGGAAGGTATGATTTGTTTCTCCTTGTCTGTTTTCCTTGGCCTCAGAAGTAGATGGTGGCCAAATGAAGTTCCTTAAGGGAATTTAGCAGCAGTGCAGTTGTAAGTGACAGAAGTGGTGGTGGCTGTTCGGTGTTTGGGGTTTTTTTCCCCTTTGTGATATGCTTGGAATGATGTTTTTTCCTTTACTAAGAAAAGGAAGATTATTTTAGCAAAATTTCTATCCCCGCAAAGTACTGTGCTCAAATAACTTGAAAGAATAAGAAAGTGTAGCTGTTATAATTACTATATTCGGTGTTCATATTTTATTATTTGTGTAGCAAAATTAAGTATAACACAGTTTTTCTTACTCTTGTTATTATTACTTCAGACGTGAGTGTTATCTTACAGGTAACACCAGCACATCTAGACGGGCACATCCTCGTAAATTAACCCTTCCATGCTCGATCTGTTGACACTCATCCACAGATTTCACTTGCTTTGTTAAGTTGTTTGGCAAACTTTCTATTACAAGAGAATCCAGGTTTCCAAACCTCATCCCCAGTAGGGCTTTCTTTGGAAATTTGAATTAATGTGTTTTAATGTTATGAAACGTATCAGGCGTATAAGAATACAAACATGTTTAGCACCATGCACCAACCACTCAGCTTAAAAGGTAAAACACACAGACGCACTTAACCCTCCGTGTGCTGCCTCCTAAAAGAGGCAAAGCCCTAAGTGTGGGTATTATTTCCCTCTATGTCTCTTCTTTCATTTTATGTGTATCCATCTATAACAATATGTATTATTGTTTTGCATAATTTTAGGGTTTATATAAAAAGCGCATAGTGTATTCTTTGGCCACTTCCTTTCTTACTTCATGTTTATGTTTTTGAGAATTGTGCACATTGATACATTTAGCCCTACTTTTTTTTATGTACATAGCATACCATTTAATTTATTGCTTATTCATCCTCTTCTTGGGGGATATTGAGATGGTTTATAGTCTTTTGCTATTATGATACTGAGAGTGACATTCTTACATATATCCGGACCATGGGGACTGTGTTCACAGGGGACTGTGACTCAAAGTATATGTGCCTCCTCAAGTTCACGAGATATTATCAAATTACTGTCCATAGTGATTCTATGAATTTCTGTTCCCACCAGCAGTGTGAAGGCTACCATTACACCGTTTCCTTGCCATCACCTTACAGTTATCTAACTTTCATTTTGTAAGCCTTAATTTTGAAATAATTTCAAGCATACAGGAGAGTTGCAAGAATAACTCACTGTATCTTCCATTCAGAGTCACCGATTAATACTTTGCCACATTTGCTTTATCTCATATTTAATTTTACATGATTTTATGTACATCTTTATATTATTTTTTTCCTAATCATGTTAGAATTAGTTGTAGACAATCATGCTCTTTAGCTGTGAAATATTTCAGCATGTCTTTCCTAAGAACAAGGACATTTTCTAACGTAACACAGAATAAGGATCAAATTCAGGAAATATAATATTTTGCCAGACTTAATGTTTGCCAGTCTGCCAGATTTGAAGTGATCTTTGTATTTTTTTACATTTACAGGAAAGTGGAAAGAATAGTTCATTGAGCTTCTGTGTGCTATCCTAAATTAAACAAATAGTTTACCATATATATATGTGTGTGTGTGTGTGTGTTGCTGGGTCATTTGAAAGTTGCAGGTGTTAAGACATCATCCCTTTAGTCCACGTCTCTTTAAAATGAGGCTATTTTCCTCCATCACTCTGATACCATTATTACACCTATAAAATCAACAGCAGTTCCTTAATATTGTCTAATATCTGAGCCATATTCACATTTTCCCAATTATGCCAAGGGTGTGTTTTATAGCTTGTGTGTGTTTATGTAGAATCTAGCTAGTAGTTCTGTATGGTATCCCACCTTCTAGATTTGTCTGATTGTTTCCTCATGGTTGGTTTAACTTGTTCCTCTATGCTCTGTGCAAAATAATGTCTCATTTTAACTACATTTCCCCCTAATTACTAGAGAAGTTAAGTACTTTTCATCTGTTTACCTGCCATTCAGTTTTTCTCTTCAGTGAATTCCCTCTTCATATTCTTTGCCCAATTTTTTCTGTTGGATTGTCTGTCTTTTTCTTAATGATTTGTAGAAACTCTTTATATATTCTGGATATTAATTCTCTGTTGGTTATATGTAGAATCTGCATCCTGGACAAGCAACCCAGATGACGCAGATGCTAGGTGGTCTTGTATCACCCACTGAGAAACTCTTCTATAGAAGTTCTCATCACAAGATTCTCCTTTGTAATCCAGAGTAGTTTGGTCTAATTCTCAAGATCCCAAATAAATAGATGAAAATTATAATGTTTAATCATAAAAAAATGGGCTAAAATGGATCAGAACTGTGGCATACTAATCAATATGTGTTTACATTCTTATCAACATTCATTTAAGTTTCTCTGTCATCCTTAATATTAGAGAGTGCTAGTCCCATTTTGTTCTTCTGGTAAGTGAACATGCTATGGTTTAACAGAAAGTGTGGGCTTTGGAGTCAGAAATCTCAGTTCATATTCTGACTCGTATCGTTTTTTTAGCTGCACAGCCCGGTGCTGTTCACTTTGATGTTCATTCTCCATTTCCTCATCTATAAATCGGGGATGATACCTTGCCTTACATAGTTACTCTGAGGGTATAGTGAAATAATGAATGAAAACATTTATTCCAATGTCTGAAGGAAAATAGGCCTTAAATTTTATCCTCTTTTTTTTTTCCCTTCTTATGAATACATAGAACTCGTTTAAAGGATCACACATCTGGTTACTCTGAAAAACACGTTATAGCTTGCTGATTTTTCTGATAACAGTCAGGGTTTTGTTTTCCAACCTAGATTCACACAGCCTGCAGCCTCATCATATTGCCAGTGAATGCCCTCTGTGCCTGGCCAGCAGTGGCTGGCCCACATTTGGTTTAAGTGCTCAGGTTACTTATAATGACTTGCAGATGCTTAAGCAGCACAATGAGGGTTCTGTACTTAACCATACACTGAATCCTTGCAGGAGCTTGCAGAACTAGAAAGTGCCCTGCAAGAGCAGCATGAGGTGAATGCATCCCTGCAGCAGACCCAAGGAGATCTCAGTGCCTACGAGGCTGAGTTAGAGGCTCAGCTAAAAATGAGGGATGCTGAAGCCAGCCAGCTCAAAGAAGAGCTGGGAAAACTAACAAGGCTCAGCCAGGTGAGTAAGAGCATGAAGCCATCTAGAAAGCAAGTAGCCTGGGCCTTAACATAACAGCTTTCCTTTCTTTTACTCTAATATTAAACACTTTTTAAGCCGATGTGGAATGATGGACTTCCTCGGTGCCTCAGTGGTAAAGTATCCACCCACAATGCAGGAAATGCAGGTTCGACCAATCCCTGGGTTGAGAAGATCCCCTGGAGATGGAAGTGGCAACCCACTCCAGTATTCTTGCCTGAGAAATCCTATAGACAGAGGACCCTGGCAGGCTACAGTCCATGGGGTCGCAGAACAGTCAAACACAACTTAGCCACTAAACAACAGCAGTGTGAAGTGATGAGAAGAGCACATGTTTGGAGTCAGACGAGCTTAAGTGTGACCGCTGTGTGAGCATGGACAAGTCAGTTCATGGCTCCGAGCCTCTGACAAATACTTGCCTCTTCTGTCATGTGAGTTATGGTGAGGAAAAGTGAGACAGTGGACAGGAAGCATCAACAGTTGGTAATCACTAAATTCTAGTTTTTCTTTCTCAAACCAGCTTCAAGAGACCTTTTTCAAGTTGATACTAAATTTTACTTTGCTACTTGCTGTTTTGGTTGGGTGAAACATCCACTAGTTTAAATTATACCTTGAAAATTAGATAAATATTTATTTATCCAATAAATACTTATTGATTGGCCACTAAAGACCAGATGCCCTGGATGCTGCAGAGAGAAGCACAGACATGGTTACTGTCCTTGTGAAGCTGACAGCCCCGTAGGTGAAACAGGTGTTAGAGAAAGGGGGAGGGCCCTGTGCCAGGGAAGCAGTGGTTAGGGAAAACTGCCCATGGTAATGATGTTTCAGCCGAGACTTGAAAGATGACGAGGATTTAGCCATGCAGAGGGAGCAGGGGTGAGATGAGTAGATGTAAGGGATGTGTTCTAGGCAGAGAGACAAGGAGAGAGAGCATAGTGCATTTGAAATGCTGAAAGTATGCCTCCAGGATGCCAGGAATGAGGAGAGGAGTAGGGAGAGTGAGAAATAAGGGCAGAGAGGCAGACAGTGACCAGTTATAGTATATTCTTGATCACATTAAAATACAATTTTGTTTAGCTGTTAGACAAATGGGTTGCATTTTCCACCAGGAAGCCCACTCAGACCTTCCACTGTATCTGCTGAAAATCTGGGTTCAGAACTCTGATTTTCCTTTAACTTGTGCTCAAAGTATTTTATCCTGTGCGTGAAATCATCTATTTAGATTGTCTGTCTCTCCTGCTACACTCAGAGCCCAGTGAATGCCCAGATTGTAGGTGCCTGTTCCAGTATCTGTGGCTGAGGAGGGTTAATAGCTTCTCACTGGGTGAAGGTTAAGTAAGGTAAGATAGTTTGAAACAGGCACAGGAAAAGATGCTCAGCATTGTTAGTTATTAGATAAATACAAATCAAAACTACAATGAGCTACCATCTCACACTGGTCAAAATGCCCATCATCTACAAATAATAAATGCTGGAGAGGGTGTGGAGTAAAGGGAACCCTCCTACACTGTTGGGGGAAGTGTGAATTGGTACAGCCACTATGGAGAACAGTATGGAGGTTTCTTAAAAAACTAGAAACAGTTACAATATGATCCAGCAATCCCACTCCTGGATCTGTATCTGGAAAAGAGGAAAACTATTTGAAAAGATACATGCATGCCAATGTTCATAGCAGCACTATTTTTTGATACAGTAACCAAGACTTTGGGAGCAACCGAAATGTCTGTCAATAGATGAATGGAAGATGCAGTGTGTGTGTGTGTGTGTGTGTGTGTGTGTGTGTGTGTGTGTAATATTACTTAGCTATAAAAGAGAATGAAATAATACCATTTGCAGTAAAATGGAGAGGCCAAGACATTATCATACTAAGTGAAGTAAATCAGGGAAAGGCAATTAGCATATATCACTTATATGTAGAATCTAAAAAAAATTATACAAATGAGCTTATTTACAAAATAGAAATAGACTCATAGACATAGAAAACAAATTTATGGTTACCAAAGGGGAAAGAGAAGAGGAGGGATAAATTGGGAATTTGGTATTAACATATACATGCTACTGTATTTAAAATGGGTAAACAGGGACCTACCCTGTAGTGCAGGGAACTGTATGCAGTATCTTATAATAACCTATAATGGAAAAGAATATGAAAAAGAATAGGTATATATTTCTACACTGAAACATTATAAATCAATTATATGTCAATTGAAAATAAGGTAGTTAATTAAAAAATAAAGTAGTTTGAATCCCAGGAATTCATGTAAAATCGCTTTCATATGATTAGAAAAGGAAATAAAAATAGGTTGGCTTAATATAGTAATTGTGTTACTTTCCATTTGTTTACTTATTAGATACTAAATGACAATTTACCAGTTGACAGTGTTATATTTCTTAAGAGTACCAAGTTTTATAAAACCATAGTTGACCTGATCAGAGTGTGGAAAAGAGGAGATTGGGAAGGAAAACAATTAAAACAACAGTAAATATTAATATATTTTGTAACTAATAGTAAATACAATTTCTGGATGGTATCTCCTTTGAAATAAAATTTAAGTGTTTAAGCCAGCTCTTACTAGCTTAAAAATCTTTTGTACTTCCCTTGTCCTTTTTAAATTATTCTTGTAAGTCTTGACAAAAATATAGCAGCCTATTTCTGGCCTTTTCACAAATTCACATGGCATTGAGAAGGACATTCCCTTCCTTGGCATCAGGACTACCAGCGCTGGTCTTGCAACCGCACGCTGAGCGAGGACAAAACAGACCTTCCCTCTCGGTTTTACAGATCTCTGATTGGTACCTTTCAGGTATTGAAGTCACTTGTGATGCTTGTTAAATGCAGATTCCTGGGCCTTGTCCTAGAAATTCTGGCCCATCAAGTCTGAGGTGGAGACCAGGCCTCTACATGTTTAACAAGCGTGCCAAGTGATTTTGATGCAGGTGGTTGAGGACCACAGTGTAAGAAATGTTGGTCTAAGGGAAGGGAGAGCAGTAATTGTTGACTCCCTCACAGAGGTTTTAAAGGCCGGTATCTGGGCTCCCTCCTGGAGATTCTGATGCTTACCCTTCCTTATGTATTAATAGTTGAAGGAAGCCTGTGAAAAACCTACCTTGAGCCTTTTAATTTGGAGGTACAAACATAAAACTGAATCATTATAAAACCAAAGCTCCCACGGGATTGCATGTGTATGTAAGTTTATGCATGTGTGCTAAGTCCCTTCAGTTTATTTATGCCTTATTAGATCATAAATTATTGCTATTTTACTTTTTTGTATCATTGCTTCCTATGGCAATAGCTGGAACAGTCAACTCTACAAACAGAACTTGAGAAAGAAAAACAAGCCCTCAAGAACGCCCTGGGAAAAGCCCAGCTCTCAGAAGAAAAAGAACAAGAAAACAGTGAGCTCCGCACCCAGCTTAAACAGCTGCAGGTAGGGACTTGTTGGCTCCAGATACATTCTTATATGGGACACCCAAAGATGTTGCCATCTATTAGTCAGACTCTCCACAACCTGCTCTTACATGCAGTAAGCTATTTGTAAAAAGGAATTTGAGATAGGATAGCACCATAGCATCTGTCCCTTGTGAGACCAGCATTTTGAGAAATTACTGTGTATGTCCTTTGTGTTGTTATGATGGTGCTAAGAGATGGCAGCTGTGTTGATCATAAACAGTGAACACTGTAACCTGATGGATGGCAGCCACCCCCTGCATTTCCCCTGATAACACCATCATCACCAGACTGGGCGAAGTAAGCAGTCGGTGCATTCTTCCTCCACTGAAATAGTTTTGTAATTATCCAGGAATATAACTAGAACAGGTTGCAGTAGAACTTCTTAACTGTAAAGCTTTCACAGTCCCCTTCTCAGAAGTGATATCATTAAAAATGCAGTCATTTTACATTTATGAGAGTTTTCCTTGGCAAATTAATTTTACAGCTATTTTCACAATAACCTGCCCCATAAACTGCAGGAGAAGCAGGTGGACAGGATTTTCCAGGTAATTAAACGTTCTCAAAGAGGACAGATGTCTGAAAAAATGAGTACCTGGATCAGCACACAGGTTTCCAGATCGGGGGCCAGTAAGCTGACTGAGGTGTCAGCTGTTCCACTCCACCAAAAACTGAGAGGCAGAGTTGTTGTGTTTATTTGTGAGGGGCGCTCTGAAAATTCATGTAAGACTATATAAGCTCACCTGAATTCTCTCTCTTTTCTCCCAATGCATAGAATATTTTTTTCTCGAAGTTTAATCTAGTTACATGGAATCTCATTTTTACTGCTATCATTTCAGCTTCTGAAGTGAATATCATAAAAGATATACATGCTTTCTATTCTTGTGTGAGTTCTGTTTCTTAGGTATTCATTGGATTATTTTTTATTTTTACTATGGAAACTTGCAAATCATTACCAAATCAGAGAGAAAATAGCCTTATGCCCTTTTGTTTACTCAGCTCAAACAATCGTCAACACCCAGCCATTCTTGTTTCAGTTAGTCCACTTTTTTTTTTTTTTTTGCTGGGATACTTTAAAGAAAATATCATACATCTTTATTTCAACCCTAAGTACTTCAGTATATGTCTCTTAAAGAAAAGGACTTCAGGAGCCTTCACTCCAAAGGAGAAACTGAGATCAGTTTTCCAGAATGCTGGTCCACGCGATGAGATTCTCTTAGTTGGAACTGGGTGCTTTGGTTGCTTGGCCTTCTAAACTCCTGATATGGAGTTCAAGTTAAACTCACTCTGCATTTATCTTTGTCAGAAATCTTTAGTTGCAGTGAGCCAAAGCCTACCAATGCTAGCTCAGGGAAGGAGACAGGCAGCTTGCTAGCGACCAGAGCTGCTCTGTCAACCTCCCGCCCAGGCGGCCCTCGTTTCTCCTGCTCTGCCTCCCTGGCCCAGCATCGATCCAGCCCTGCGCCTGTGGCACTTTACGGGACGGCTCTCCTGCAGACTTGCTGGGCTGGACTTAGGTTCTAATTCTGGGGGAGTGAGTCTCGCCTTCTGTCTGGTCAGTGGGTTGGCTTTCCTTGGGTCAGATCACCTGTGACCAGGATTAGATAGTCATGCAAATATGGGTGCCTCGGGGCAAAGGGCAGGGACAGTTTACAGATAAGAGACTCCAGGTGGACAGACATGTTCATTGTAATGCTGAATTCACCATTTGAGTTAACAGTGTTAAAACAAAAAACCCAGTATTATACCAGGTTTGAAGAAAATTAATCACTAAAGTAGCATATAAGTATTGGGGGAACTTAGGATGTAGAACTTATTTTTCTGTCTAATTTAGGGAAATTTTATCAGTTTTTGTTTTGTTTTGTTTTTTACTTGAAAGAGACATTGTCTGGATTTAATTCTGGGGTCTAGGTATGTTTGCTAGTTTGTTAGTGAAAATATGCTTGCATATAACAAATACTCCTACAGAGTACTGTAAGCTATTAGAGAAGCTTCAGTATTATGGGAAGGTGTTTTTTGTTTTTGTTTTTCTAACTTTGAATTGTGTACGTTCTCCAGCATATACCAAAATAGAATACTAAAGTAAATCCGAATGTATAGATCACTCATCTTCAGCAATTTCAACACATGTCCTATCTTACTTTATCTATAACACAGTATTTAATCACAGTATCCAGTATTTAATCTATAACATCTCCCACACCCCACCCCCACATCTGTTCAACTGAATTATTTTGAAGTAAATCCAAAACATCTGATTTTATCTGTAAATAACATACTACTGTATGTATCTCTGAAAAATAAGGGCTTTAAAAAGAAGCATAAAGGAGTTCCCTGAAGGCCTCTTGGTTAGGCTTCTGTTCTTCCATGGCCGTGGCCAGGGTTTAGTTCCTGGTTGGGGATCAGAGATCCCACAAGCTGCACAGCATGGACAGAAAAAAAATAAAGCATAAACATGGATGCCATTGTGATACCTTAAAATTATAGTCACCCCCTAATATCATCAAATCCCTTGAGGATATTCAAATTGTCTCACAAGTTTTTTAGAAGTGTTTTTTGGAATCCAAATAATGTGTACACAGTGCATTTAGTTGACTTGATTCTTAAGTCTCTTGTAATCTATAGGTTTGCTCTTTTTTTACCTTTGTTCCATACTGAAGAAAACCAGGTCTTTGTCCTATAGAGTTTCCCTTAGTCTAGATTTGCTGGCTACATTCCCCAGGGCGTTGATTAACATATTCTTATATAGAGGTTTATTTAGATTTGCATTATTTAGTTTTTGGCAAGGAGAAGGTAGTGTTCATAGGTACTTCCTTTTGCATCACCACGACACACATCATAGTGCCTGTTTGTATCTTTTGTGACTTTGGATTAATCAGTAGATTCAGATATTGTTAGCCACAGTGGAAAGGGCTTTTAAAAAATTGCTAAAAGGAGTTGACTAGAACTATTGTTTGGTAAATAATATAGGCTGTGTGTATGTGTATTTTTAATTTAGTTTTGGTTAACTTTTACCCCTCTTCATTTTGCCTCCCTCCATAGGATGACAATAACCTGTTAAAACAGCAACTTAAAGATTTCCAGAATCACCTTTATCATGTAGCTGATGGTTTGATTCGTCCAGAAGAAGTGGCAGCTCGTGTAGATGAACTAAGGAGAAAACTGAAATCAGGAGCTGGAGAGATGAGGTAATGGAAGGTCAGGACCTCCAGGTATAGAGTGAGCTGAGTCGTGAATGTGGGCCTCAGTGATGAAATCCCCTTTCTGCGATTGTGCATGGCTGATTTCTTTTGTAAGGTTTTCTCCTTATCGTATGACTGTGACTGAGACACAGACTACTTAATTCAAGTTGTCCATCACTGATTTTTTTTAATCTTATACGTTTTGTTATTATTTAATTTAAAAAACATAAAGGTTTTACAAGTAACTCATTCTTGAAAGCTTACTGCAGATGGTCAGGAGGTTGAGTCACATTATACACTTTAAGTAGAAAACAAATAGCTAAAGAAAAACAGGTTACTTTGAAAATGTGAAATGGACATTTATTCTTTTTTTTTTTTTCATTTATTTTTATTAGTTGGAGGCTAATTACTTTACATCATTGCAGTGGTTTTTGTCATACATTGAGATGAATTAGCCATGGATTTACATGTATTCCCCATCCCGGTCCTCCCTCCCACCTCCCTCTCCACCCGATCCCTCTGGGTCTTCCCAGTGCACCAGGCCCGAGCACTTGTCTCATGCACCCAACCTGGGCTGGTGATCTGTTTCACCCTAGATAATATACGTGTTTCGATGCTGTTCTCTTGAAACATCCCACCCTCGCCTTCTCCCAGAGTCCACAAGTCTGTTCTGTACATCTGTGTCTCTTTTTCTGTTTTGCGTATAGGGTTATTGTTACCATCTTTCTAAATTCCATATATATGTGTTAGTATACTGTAATGGTCTTTATCTTTCTGGCTTACTTCGCTCTGTATAATGGGCTCCAGTTTCATCCATCTCATTAGAACTGATTCAAATGAATTCTTTTTAATGGCTGAGTAATATTCCATGGTGTATATGTACCACAGCTTCCTCATCCATTGGTCTGCTGATCGGCATCTAGATTGCTTCCATGTCCTGGCTATTATAAACAGTGCTGCGATGAACATTGGGGTGCACGTGTCTCTTTCAGATCTGGTTTCCTCGGTGTGTATGCCCAGAAGTGGGATTGCTGGGTCATATGGCAGTTCTATTTCCAGCTTTTTAAGAAATCTCCACACTGTTTTCCATAGTGGCTGTACTAATTTGCATTCCCACCAACAGTGTAAGAGGGTTCCCTTTTCTCCACACCCTCTCCAGCATTTATTGCTTGTAGACTTTTGGATAGCAGCCATCCTGACTGGTGTGTAATGGTACCTCATTGTGGTTTTGATTTGCATTTCTCTGATAATGAGTGATGTTGAGCATCTTTTCATGTGTTTGTTAGCCATCTGTATGTCTTCCTTGGAGAAATGTCTGTTCAGTTCTTTGGCCCATTTTTTGATTGAGTCATTTATTTTTCTGGAGTTGAGCTGGAGGAGTTGCTTGTATATTTTTGAGATTAATCCTTTGTCTGTTGCTTCGTTTGCTATTATTTTCTCCCAATCTGAGGGCTGTCTTTTCACCTTGCTTATAGTTTCCTTTGTTGTGCAAAAGCTTTTAAGTTTCATTAGGTCCCATTTGTTTATTTTTGCTTTTGTTTCTAAAATTCTGGGATGTGGGTCATAGAGGATCCTGCTGTGATTTATGTCGGAGAGTGTTTTGCCTATGTTCTCCTCTAGGAGTTTTATAGTTTCTGGTCTTACATTTAGATCTTTAATCCATTTTGAGTTTATTTTTGTGTATGGTGTTAGAAAGTGTTCTAGTTTCATTCTTTTACAGGTGGTTGACCAGTTTTCCCAGCACCACTTGTTAAAGAGGTTGTCTTTTTTCCATTGTATATCCTTGCCTCCTTTGTCGAAGATAAGGTGACCATAGGTTCGTGGATTTATCTCTGGGCTTTCTATTCTGTTCCATTGATCTATATTTCTGTCTTTGTGCCAGTACCATACTGTCTTGATGACTGTGGCTTTGTAGTATAGTCTGAAGTCAGGCAGATTGATTCCTCCAGTTCCATTCTTCTTTCTCAGGATTACTTTGGCTATTCGAGGTTTTTTGTATCTCCATACAAATTGTGAAATTATTCGTTCTAGTTCTGTGAAAAATACTGTTGGTAGTTTGATAGGGATTGAATTGAATCTATAGATTGCTTTGGGTAGTATAGCCATTTTGACAATATTGATTCTTCCAATCCATGAACACGGTATATTTCTCCATCTGTTTGTGTCCTCTTTGATTTCTTTCATCAGTGTTTTATAGTTTTCTATGTATAGGTCTTTTGTTTCTTTAGGTAGATATACTCCTAAGTATTTTATTCTTTTTGTTGCAATGGTGAATGGTATTGTTTCCTTAATTTCTCTTTCTGTTTTCTCATTGTTAGTGTATAGGAATGCAAGAGATTTCTGTGTGTTAATTTTATATCCTGCAACTTTACTGTATTCGTTGATTAGCTCTAGTAATTTTCTGGTAGAGTCTTTAGGATTTTCTATGTAGAGGATCATGGACATTTATTCTTTGAACACACATTGTTAGCCTGAAGGTGGCCTGTGCCCGCAGAGTGGCAGCAGTCAGTCAGTAAAACAATGCTTTGTGCTCCAGAGGTGCGCAGTGATTTGCTGTGGGTTGACAACAGGTGCCGTCCCACACAGCTCTTCTTGCGCATGTACTAATGTTACCGGCGTGCTTGCGTCCAGCATCAAAAATAAAATGTCACGTTTATAACATCTTTCCTCTCCCCCCTTACCAGAATCCACAGTCCTTCAGATGTCTTGGGGAAAAGTCTTGCAGAATTGCAGATACAATTCAGTGAAATGCTGACACGTTCCCAGCGGGAGAAAGAGGAAGCCCAAGGGAGGGAAAGAAAACTCCAAGAAGAAATGGCTCTGCACCAGGAGAAGCTGGCCGAGGGACAGGAGGCGTTCCGGCAGGCCTGTGAGAGCGTGCTTGGAGCCAGGGTGAGAGATGGGCAGAGGCAGCGGAGGGAAGCGTTCAGAACACACGCGTGCTTTCCAGCAAGTCACATTGCTTCCTGTCTCGTGTAAATAGTGTCGGGAATTCCCAGGTGGTCCAGTGGTTAAGACTCCTCACTTTCACTGCCAAGAGCTGGGGTTCGATCCCTGGGTGGGAAACTGAGATTCCACAAGCAGCATGTCATGGCCACCAAAAAGAAAAAAAAAAGAAAGGGTGTTTGTTTTATTAATTATACCTTAATAAAGGTAATTATGCCTTTAAGGTATAATTAATAAAGATATAATTTTTTAAAAATTCAGTGTAATTGCTGTAAAGTTTCACTCCTAGTAAGACAGACTGTGTGACTAAAATGTAGCCCTAAGTGTGGTGACAGATGCCACAGTCAGGCTTCTGTGTGACACTGTGTTTTCCTTATTTTGGAAGCAAGTGAGCTGTTTCTTAACGTGCAGGTCAGTAACACCACATTGCTAGAGCATAGTATGGTGCCAGAATCTGAGTTTTTGATGTAATTATTTTAATGACGAGGCAAATGTTAAAATGGATCCTAGAGGACAGTTGTGATTAACACATCCCCAGTTAACCATTAATACTCTTTAGTAAAATGAAATACAGTTCTCCAGAAGGTGTTTATTTTGCTCAAAAAATATTTTGCTTAAACATCATTTTTGAAACTTGATTTCCTCACAGATTAATTTTGACAAGAGGCAACACGAAGCAAGAATTCAGCAGTTAGAGAATGAGATTCACTATTTACAAGAAAATCTAAAAAGTATGGAGGAAATCCAAGGCCTTACAGATCTGCAACTGCAGGAAGCTGATGAAGAGAAGGAGAGAATTCTAGCCCAACTCCAGGAGCTAGAGAAGAAGGTGGGCAAGACCAGGAAAAAGACACAGGAATCCCTGCTGCCAGGGTCCTGCTCTCAGCGAGGGGGCAGCTGAGAGGGCTCTGATCCACGGTCCCCACTGGCTGCACCTCCGTGGACCTGGAGCCTGAGACGGGGGGCATGGTGGATGGGAACAAGGGAACTGGGACGTGAGGCGCGGGTGAAGAGTCGGCGGGGTGGTGCGGAAGTGCTGCTGGGATGATTTGCCTCCTTTTACACCCCTTGCCAAACTGGACACATCTGTGGAACATTACTTTTCAGCTCCTCAGTTTTCTTTCTAATTCCCTGGCCTCTTTTTAAACTTCTCCAAAGCTACCTCATCCCCTACTCGCCTTGTCACACCTTGTCCAATTCAGAAGTGTCACCCAGCATCTCTGAAGTCACAGCTGAAACATCCCACTCTGATCATGGCCTCTTTTGCTGTCAGCACCGTCACGCTGACAGTGTTTCAACCTTATGGATGATCCCAGTGCCTTAGCCCCACCTTTCCTGGTGTGTGGCTTTCCTGTCTTTACTTTCTTCCTTGTCCAACTTAAATTCCATGGTCTCCCACTATCACCATTGTTTGCAAATGTCCTCAAATTCCTTGCTCCTTTCTCCTGTCTTCTGTGACAGAACAGCAGCTGTCTGCTTTCTTTAGCCCTGCACTCGTGGCTGAGTGTTCCTGAACTAAGAGCCACCCATCCAGGTATCGTGGTGGCATTGCAAGTGTTTGCCAGCCTCCGACGGCAGCGCCTCACTTCTCTCTGGACAGCTCACTCTCAGGCTGCCCTGTGCCGTACCTCCTCCAGCCCAGTGAGTGGTCTGCTTCATGCTTCACTGAGAACCCGTCAGTTCCCTAGTCTTACTAAGTCTGCCTCCAAAATCTCTCTGGAATATCTGCACGTTGCCCTTCTCCGGGGCCACCACCCTCTTTCACCATGACGAGTCATCTCTTCTGGACAACGGCTGCGGCCACCGGATGGCGCCCATTTCCACTTAGCGCCGGCTCCGCAGAGCAGCCAACACAAAACATAAATAGACTCTTGTCAGTCCCTGCCATCTTCCTTTCTCTCCAGCAGCCTCTGTTGTTTCTAGGATAAAGACAAAAACGCTTCGCCTCTGAGGCACTGCGTGGCTGGCCTCCGTTGAGCGCTCTCCTTTTCTCACCGTGTTGCTGCTTCCAGCTCCCGAGACCCCCATGTTCTGTCTCCCCCCGGCCATTCTTCCTCCTGCGCCACGTCTCTCCCCCTCTCTTCTCCCTGACTCCCTCTCCTGCCAGCCTCTCCCAGAGGTGGGTACCTTGTTCTGTCCCTTGAGAGCAGCGATCACAGGTTTATTACACATTTGCCTCAGTATTTGTTTAATATGTGTGTCTCATAAGCCCCTTGAGGGCAGCAGGCAAGTCTGTTTGGTTTACCACCATGTGCCCCAGTGATCACAAGGGGCTGGTCCATCGCTTGGCAGTGGTGCCAAGAAATGTTTTTCCAACAGATGAATGGATTTATGAGCACAAAGCTTCTAGACTGAGTAGACTGGTTTCATTCTGAGTCACTGTACAGTTTGGAGACGTTTTTATTTTTCACTCTGGAGCACCTGCTGTGTGCCTGGTACTGTCCTAGGCGTGGGGTGTGTGAACAGAGCCCCTGCCCTCGTGGGCTTACATCTTAATTCATTGCTACCAGCTGAGTCATCTCTCTTTTTTTTATCTCAGAAGAAACTTGAAGATGCCAAATCTCAGGCGCAGGTTCTGGGTTTAGATAAAGAACTGAAGAAACTAAAGAAGGCTGTGGCCGCCTCTGATAAGATAGCCACGGCTGAGCTCACCATCGCCAAAGACCAGCTCAAGTCCCTTCATGGAACCGTTATGAAAATTAACCAGGAGCGTGCAGAGGTGAGACCCCACGCACAGAGCAAGTGTCCACCAAGGCTGCCCCTGTCAGAGCATCTCTCCACTTGTGTTTTTGATCTGTCATTATAGACTTTGGCTCTTTTGTAAAGTTGTCTGTTTCTCTTCAGACCTGATGATTGCACTTCCCCCATCACAGCCCTGCCATGGGTGTGGTGCTCCAGTGAGTCCCCCAAGAACCATCAAATGAAGCATACCATCCTTACCTCAGAGTGTAGGGGTCTGCTGAGGGAGTTAGCTATCAACACACACCTAAGCAGAAGTCTTCAGGCCTTCAGCAGAAGGTATCATCCTTCTGAACCTCAGCCCTTTCATCATGTATAGAGGATCAAATGTCTCTTCACAGGGTTATTATGAGTCCTGAGTGAGATAAGTCTGTCACAGCCTTTGTAGGATTCAAATGCTGATGCAGTTAAGACCGCAGGTCATAGGAGGGAAAAGCCTAACCAAGGCAGTCCACAGAGTTCCACCAGTCATGGGAGACTGTAGATCAGGGAAGGAAAAACTAATCATTGCTTTTCTGACGTAGTTCCCTGCCCACTTGGACCCCACAGAGGGTTGGGGGGCTGCCAAGTGATGGGTAAGCAAGGTGGGGCCTGGCACCTCCTGTGTAGGGGGTAGCCAGGCGTGCGAGCTGATGAGAGCAGAGACTGAGTCTGGGAGGGAGAGAGAAAAGAGTGCAGCCCGCAGTACAGTGGGGCCTTCCCCACGCCTCCGTCCCAGCAGGACCTGCAGGAGACAGAGCGGTTCAGCAGAAAGGCAGCGCAGGCCGCGAGGGATCTGACCCGAGCAGAAGCGGAGATCGAACTACTGCAGACTCTCCTCAGGGAGAAAGAGGAGCAGGTCAGTGCCGGGGCCCTGTGAGACCACCTCCTCCTTGGGTCCTTGTCAGTTCCTAAGTGGTTGAATTACTGTAGGGGCCTGTCAAAGAATTTTGAGGTACCGTCAGTAGTGAATCAGTACTTGATCCTCTGCTGTGTGCCAGGCATTGCATGGTTTAAATGTCCAGAGTAATGGGTTCCTCATTAGTAAAGTAGAAGTAAAAAATCAGAGGATTATAATCATACTGCACAGAGAAGTGCATCCGGAAAAGAATATTCATTGGCAACTTGGTATATGTGATTTTTTTAATAGCTTCGAATTGAGATGGAGAAAGTAGAGGTAGGCACCCGAGGAGCAAGCTCACAGGTGCTGGAAATCGAGAAGCTGAATGAGGCCATGGAAAAACAGAGGAGAGACATCGCGAGGCTGCGGAACTTACTGGACCTCACCGGGGCTGGTAAAGTACTGGGCTCTGGTGTTAAAATCAGATCATTCTGTTGGGTTTTTCCCTTTAGCAGATTTATTTGTTACTGATTAAACCCATGCTTGATTTATAGAGCTATGATAATTAGCTTAATAAATAAAGAACTTTTTCCAATGTATGTAAGTGCAGTATCAATGGACTGGATTACAAAGAGAGAAGAGACTCATTTTTGTATTTTCAAAAGAAAGAATGTTTACAAATCGTTTCTTTCTCTGGCTCGCTTTCTAAGTGAACAGCAGTAGAACATGTCTGCCCTCTTTAAGTATCAGCAAACACTTATTACCCAAGGACAGCTGTGAGGAGCTCAGAGTCATTGGCTCTCATGGAATCACTTTTGTATTTTGAGAGAGAAAGGAAGTAGATGATTTCACACCCAACTCATGGAATGACTTTCCTTTACAGATAACAGAGGAGGCATTGAAAATATTTTGGAAGAAATTGCTGAACTCCGATGTGAAGTTTCTTACCACAATGATTACATCAGCAGCATGGCAGATCCTTTCAAAAGACGAGGCTATTGGTACTTTATGCCACCACCATCATCAAAAGTAGGAAGTCTGTGTTGTTGGGAATATATACTAAATTTTCTTTAAGAAAGTGTAACAAAGGTTCCTTCCGTAAATCTGTGATCAGGTGTCAAGAACAATATATTTTAGGGTAAGCAGTGTGTTGAGGTTCTTAAGTGTTTATACTGAGATGGAAATGGGGCATTCCCAAGGAATGTGGCAGTTGCCCATTCATGCTCAGGTGGTATGTGGTGAGGTCCTAGAATAAGGATCCTGTAAGGGAGATAAAGTGACTTGAGCCCAGAGAGCCTATTGAAACTGTTGAAAATGGCAGTAGAATTATACAGAGGCTGAGACAGAAAAATAGGCACCTGGATTTCATTTCCTTTTAACAGACATTCATTCAGTGCTTACTGAGGTCTAGGTCAAGTGCAGGACTTTGGTGGGAAGCCGTGATGAATGATAGAGCCCTGCCCTCAGAGAGTTCATGAGCTGGGGAGGAGCACAGTTATACAATGTAATTAGAAAACAGTGACACACACTTGACAGTGGACTAGACCTCTCCGCCCCCGTTGCAGAGAATCACAAATTTATCTCATGGGAATGTTTAGGAAAGAAGCCGTCACAAGAAGGGGCGTGAAGTGAGCACTAAGCAACCCTCACAGGCTATGCTCTCAGGGCGAGGGGACAGCCCGAGAGGACGGGGAGCGTTGGGTTAGCCATGGCAGGTAGCCTTGCGGGGCTTGAGGGCGGGATGGGAACAGTGAAAGGCAAAGCAGGTTGGGGCCATCATTTTTTTTTTTTTTAAGGGACTTCAAAATCCCTTACAGTTAATTATGTAGGCCTTGGAAAACTGCGGTTGTGTGTGCTGTGATCAGAGCTCTGGTTTCGGAGGATTAGTCCGGCAGAACGTGAAGACTAGACGCCCGGAGCCCTGGTTTCGGAGGAATGGTCCGGCAGAGCGTGAAGGCTATAGACGCGCAGAGCTCTGGTTTCGGAGGAATGGTCCGGCAGGGCGCGAAGGCTAGACGTGCGGAGCTCTGGTTTCGGAGGAATGGTCCAGCAGGGCACGAAGGCTAGATGTGCGGAGCTCTGGTTTTGGAGGAATGGTCCGGCAGGGCGCGAAGGCTAGACGCGCGGAGCTCTGGTTTCGGAGGAATGGTACGGCAGAGCGCGAAGGCTAGACGTGCAGTGCGCGAGCTGCTCTGTGTGGGTCTGTTTGAACTCATTGGGGGGAAGGATGGAAGAGGCTAGAGCAGTGGAGCTGGAGGAGAGGAGGATTGAGGGGTGTTAAGTGACAGTGTGAAGGTTTGCAGCCTGAATGTGGGAAGGAAGGAGGAGAGTCTTTCCTCCAGAGCCAAGATCAACATCCTTCTGACGGCCACGGTCAGAAGCAGCCCTAACCCGCTGGGCTCCCGGGGCCCTGAGGAGTTCATCAAAACCCCAAGAGCAGAATCTAAGACCCTCCTCCCAGATCTCTAAAGGAAGCCAGGCATCTTGGCACAACCAGGGCCACAGGTGGAAGCAGTGTAGGTTAGAGCAGAGCCCGAGCCGGATGAGGGTTTGGAGCGTCAACCTGCAACTGGGAAGGAGAAGGAGCATAAGCGTAGAGCTCTAAGGCCAGGCCCGGCTCCCAGCACCGCAGGAGACTGAAGATCCCAGGTGGCCTAGGAAGCACCTGGTTTCCTTGATCTTACTGCTGGGCCACTGGGAACAAGCGAAAGGAGAGAGCCCTCCAGGAAAGATGAGCACGGGAGCCAGGAGGCTGACGCCCGCAGGGCATGTGGCCCTGTGACCACGCCTCAGCAAAGGGAAACCAGTTCTGTGCCGGCTTTGTGGTAGACTCTGACCTTTCTCCATATCAGTCTTTTTATTTTTAAGAGATGCTGTGCTTTTCTGTCATGCCTTTAGGTTTCCAGCCACAGTTCCCAGGCCACTAAGGACTCTGGTGTCGGGCTGAAATATGCAGCCTCGACTCCCATTAGAAAACCACAGCAGGATGGGAAGGAAGACGGTGCCCCTCCAGCTGCCTCAGGATACTGGGTTTATTCTCCCATCAGAAGCGGGTTACATAAATCGTTTGCAAATAAAGGTAAGTCAGATCACATCCGGGAAGTTGCGTTTCTCTTGCCTGATTAATGACTTTTGGTCCCCTGAATTCCATAAAGCACAGCCCAGTCTCTCAGCTTGCTCGGTCGGCCCCCTGTGACCTGGTCTTGGCCAGTGCCCACCTGGCCCCCTTCCCGCCGCTTTCCCACCTGTCGGCCATGCCCAGCTGCACGCTGTGTCTCTCACAGTTCCATGTTTGAGCCCCTCTGTTCAGAATGTTCTACTTCTTCTTTTCTCTCTCAAACTGTTCCTGCTTGTCATGACTTCAGCAGGACCCAGGTCCTCAGATGGCACGCTTTTTCTGGAGCCTTGCTCCTCGATGCCTCGCCCGGGCACGCTGCGCCTGCTCGTCATGACTTCAGCAGGACCCAGGCCCTCAGATGGCACTCTTTTTCTGGAGCCTCCCTCCTCGCTCCTTGCCCGGGTACCCTGCGTAGCTCACCTGTGCTCCCAGCACGCGGCAGTTTGGGTCCCTGTCTCCTGGCCTTAGTTACCTCCGCTGACATGAAGTGTCACAGGTCTGTCTGCCAAAGCCCCAGAGAAAGAGTCGGACCTGGGGTAACTCCTGGCTCTTTCACTAAGCAGCTGTGTCATACTAGGCAGATTCCTTAGCTGCTCTCAGGGTGTTAATCTGTAAAAGGGGATATTGCACCCTGAGAACTGGCTCATTCAGGAAGTCGAGCGCCCACTGTGAGCTCAGTCCTCTGTCATCAGCGATGAACGTACCCAGTCCTGCTTACCGGAGAGAGGAGTAAGCCGACCACCGCCAGAGGCAGCTGTGTGCCCTGAGAGTGGTGGAGCTCGGAGCTGAGGGTCTCACCGCGCTTCTCTGCTGGCCATCGTGTAACACGAGGCAGGCACCCAAATGTTGCTGAGTGGTGAATGAGTGAAGACGGGGAAAAGCAAACCAACGGATAGGTATCAGAGAAACTCGGGTTCCCCTGGTGAAAAGAATTAGAATCCCCGTTTTGATCCACTTTTCAAAACTGCTTTTGACCTTTTTTACAAAATTTTATTTTTGCATCTCTCATATCTTGGCCTGAATGCTGCTGTTCTCTGCTAAGTGTGTTTACCTAGTAAGCCACGGGAATAAGACACGCTCCTGTGTTTCCATTTGAAGATGCAGACAGTGGAGGAGAGAGCCACGAGGAGAGCGAGCCAGATGACCGCGACGACCACCCGTTCGTGCCTCCTCCGGGATACATGATGTACACCGTGTTCCCCGACGGCTCTCCTGTTCCACAGGGCATGGCCGTCTACGCACCGCCGCCTCCCTTACCCAACAACAGCCAACCTCTCACCCCTGGCACTGTTGTGTATGGCCCGCCTCCTGCTGGTGCCCCCATTGTATATGGGCCTCCACCCCCCAACTTCTCCGTCCCCCTCATCCCAGTGGGCGTGCTGCACTGCAACGTCCCGGAGCACCACAACTTAGTAAGTGGGAAGACGAAAGAGCTGTGTCCACACTGCTTCCCTGGGAGGCTGCCTTAGAGTTGGCCCACCTGTGCATGGCTTATATCCCAGAAGTGTGCTTTTAAGGCTGGTGTTTAGAACTGAGCAAACATTCTCTTAGTAAAATACTCTTCTGGTCGGAAGTTAGGGTACCAGATCACTCTGTGAACCTAGTTCAACCATTTTATAACAAAAATGCTTTCAGCCCAGAAATTAGCCATTTCTAAAGAAAGCTTGCTATGCGTATTTTTGTCACTGAGCGCTGTGTGACTGCGTATGTACAGGCATGTGCTTGATCAGTCGCTTCAGTTGCGTCCGACTCTGCGACCAGGCACATGGTACGTTCCTGCCTGTACGTGTGCACACACGTGTAGACGTGTGTTTACATGTAAACATGTGTGAGAGCAGCATACAGTAAGGCTTTGTTGGGGATCATCCCTTGGTGATGACATAAATGATTATTCGTTCGTTCTTTTCATAGTTCTCTTCTTACTGTGCCCATAATTTTGTGTTCTGTTTTTCATACTTAATGTTACAAGCATTTTTCCCATGGTTTTTGTAGACATTTTTAACCAGTATTTTAATGACTGCATAACATTTCTTTATTTGTAGGCAGTGTAGTTCATTTAACTTTGTATAAATTTTACTGTATTTCATATTTTTCCTCTAGGCTAAATTCAAGAAATGATTCCTTCCTAGTCTCTAGCTTACTTTTCAAGCTTTTGGCACTAAAGAAATAAAATGCATTACAAGTACCTCCTTCAAACTCAGGACACCTGGGTCCTGATGTTTTCCTGAGCTCTTGATTTTTTCCTTTTCCTCTCAACAAACTGAGAGGAAGATAAAGGATTCTAGCCCCTGGGTGTGAAGTCAGCAGCCCAGTTTTAATCAGTCAACCTAGCTTCAGAGGGACTGTGGGTATTTACATGGTTAAAGATGGCCGATACTCTTGTTAACCGGCAGTGCTTTAGTGTACACTGTTTTGTAACAGTTCTGTCAGCTCAGCATTTCTTAATCTCTTAAACTCGCTCTTTTACCCTACACTAGTACCCAGCTATTTATATGGTTCCCCAGGCGTGCCTTTATATCTCCTGTGTTTGTACATTGCTTCTTCAGCTTAGATATTTCCTGTTTCATTTATTCTTCAAAACCCAGCAGAGCACCGCTTCCTCTAAGTAGCCTTCTCAGCCCACTCCCCTCCCATGTGCCCGGAGGAGGGAGAGATGTGTATGTCTGTGACTCTGTCAGATGCTGAACTCTGGGACCAGACAGTACCCACAGGAGGTGCCTGGTGACTGTTTATCAAGCAACCATAGCTGGACTGATGGAAGAGTCGGAGGATTTATTAGTCTATCCATTTCATCTATGACGTGTGAAGAAATTGCCTTGACTTAATTTTTCTTTTCAAACTGAAGTCTTAGGAAGCTACCAGTATTTTCAGGGCATAGATACCACTTTAACCACAATTCATCTCAGTTTGGGGCAGGAAAAAGGGGAAAGGTCATGTGATATTTCAGTATTGCATTCTTTTCTTTATTCAGGAGAATGAGGTTTCTAGATTGGAAGACATAATACAGCATTTAAAATCAAAGAAGGAGGAACAGAGGATGAGAGTATCCAAGCGGCAGTCTGAGAAAGAAATAGAAGAACTGCATCATAATATTGATGAACTTTTGCAAGAGAAGAAAGACTTAGAGCACGAAGTAGAAGAATTACATAGAACCATCCAGAAACATCAACAGCGAAAGTAATTATTAGCCATTTTATTTTTATAATTCAGATGAGTTAGTTCATTAAGGTAACCGAAATTAGTGTTGTCCAATAGCACTTTCTGTGATCTTGGGAATGTTCTAGATCTGTCCCGTCCAGGACAGTAGCCTTAGCTATGTGTGGAGCACTTGAAATGTGGCTAATGAAACTGGGGAACAGAATTTAATTTAACTTAATAGCCACGTGGTGATTTCTAAGTTCTCATGGCCAATAATCCAGATCAGCTTCTCTTATGGTCCCTCTTGGAGAATGGTCATCAGTCCCCATTATCCTAGCTGAAAGCAGGTGTCCGCAACACTCCCCTTTCCCTCCATTCCCCTAGGCGTCCAGCTGCTCTCCAAGTCCCACTGACACTGTACACAGAGCTCTCAAACTGGTCCCCTTCTTCCGCCTTTGCCGCCCTGGCCTTTAGGTTTCCCAGGTCGTCTCTCTCGCTCTGTCCTACCCTTGACCTGGCTGCAGACCTGACCGTGCATGCTCCCCTGTGGCTCTCGTTCCCACCAGTGGACGTACTGCTCTCCAGGTTCTGAACCCTGCCTCTTTTTCTCATTTTTCTCTGCCCACACAGTGTTTGTTCTGGCCCTGCGTACTTTGCTGCAGTTTCCCTGAACACCACCTTTTCTCCTGCCTCCCCACCTTTGCGTGCACTGTCCTTTGCCTGCAATGGCTTCCCAGCCTGCCCCACACAACTCCAATGTGTCTTTCCAGGTGAAGGTCAGGGATCCTCTCTGATACAAGAGGTTTCTCATCTCAGGCTCCCACAATTAAGAGTTGGCAAGATTGGGCCTAGTGCTGTTCATACTGTGTTGTAAGATACCCCAGCGGGCAGGCGCAGGGCCTCCTCTCTGCCCCAGTGTCCGGCGCAGGGCTCGTCAGCTAGTGGCGTGTCTGCGGCATGGGTCAGTTGCGCAGAAGCCCGTCTTCTGCACTAGACCACGGGTTAACGGCAGGTCCTCGGTTTTTGTCCATTTAGCCAGACTGGTCCTCGTGCCAGGGTTGGGGGAAGACCTGTGGAGGATGTTGAGGTGGGTAAGATACGGTCCCTGCCTTCTAGGAGCAAATGCAAGAGTGACTAACAGACCTGGCAGGAAAAAGCACAGGCCACTGGGAGAAGGTTAGGACTAGATGTTTGAAGGCTTACAGGATGGTTATTTCATTTCTGTAGGTGTGTATGAGAGGCTGAAGTTTTTGAGGGGGATGTAGGCCAGTGGGACAGCCACTTCTTTTCCTAGTTATAAAAATAAATGATCATTTGGGGGAATTTGGATAACACAAAAATGGTCAAAGAAGAAAGTGAAAATTGTCTGTATTCATTTAAAGACAAACTGTTAATATGTTAAGTTTATTTTCATATTTTTCTGTATAGATAGTCCCATTTTCAAGCAATTTTGACTTTAGCCCTGCGCTACTAAATCCTGTGTTATGCTTTTTGATTTTTCAGATATCGTCACCATAATTTTACTCTAGCAGAAATGTAGAATAATTTTGAGGGAAATGGATGGTTGTCTTGGGAGTGGCTTGCTTTATTTTTATACCACAGAAGAATTGAAGTATCAGTATTGTCTTGACTAAGTGCCGGTTTAAAAAAAAAATCTTTATATTTAAAAGGACAAAACAGCAGCATATCATACATTATACATACTATTCACTTATTGTCAACAATATGCCACATTGAGTAAAAATACAGTAAACATAACCTTGAACCAAGGTAAACACAGATCTTGAGCTTAATCAGATATAGCTGTCTGTCCCATCCCTTCTCGTATAAAATTAGAAAATCACCGTGCATCTTTTTATCACTAGGCTGTAAGTATTGATATGGTCACATTTAAAATCTCTCTGTGTGTGTGTGTGTGTGAATTTTTTTAGAGACTTCATTGATGGAAATGTTGAGAGTCTTATGAATGAGCTAGAAATAGAAAAGTCACTCAAGCACCATGAAGATATTGTAGATGAAATTGAGTGCGTGGAGAAGACGCTCCTGAGACGTCGAGCAGAGCTCAGGGAGGCCGACCGACTGCTGGCGGAAGCCGAGAGTGAACTCTCACGCACAGCGGAGAAGGTGTGTGCTGCTGTGCTTGGACGGAGCCGGCTCACTGCCATCAGCAGGACTGTCATCCTTCCCTTAGAGAGGGAGCGCACACGAGCACAGTGGTCAGGGTCAGGCTGCACTCTGCTGGTTAAGGAGCTGCATGGATTTGGGCTTGTCACTTAAGTCTCCAAGCTCCTCTTTCCTCAACTGTAAATTCAGGCTAAGAAAACCTAAGCTGGGGAACTTCCCTGGTGGTCCGTTGGTTAAGAATCCACCTTCCGGGGCAGGGGACACAGGTTTGATACCTGATCAGGGAGCTAAGATCCCACATGCTGCGTGGCAGCTAAGCCCGCATGCTGCACCTGCTGAACCTCAGTGAAGACCCAGCACAGCAAAAAGCAGACAACCTAGGCTGTTCAGTGTGAAAGAAATGAAGTAGTATGTTTAAAGCTCCTGAAAGTCATTTAGTTCCTAAAACACCCCACCTCCTTACCCTGTGTGTGTTTTAAAAATGACTTGGGCTGTAATGTTTATTAAATGGGTTAATCTTATATTCTTATAAAATAACATTGGACCTCACAGTCAGACTCTTAGCTTATTCTCCAAGTTGATAGTTGATATAAAATCAAGTATTTTTTGGCCTGAGGCAATATTGAGACTTAAACACAGAGTGATTTGGGGAGGAAAAGGGACTGCTTTTTATTGAGGCGCTGTATGCCACACATTCGCTGTTTTATAAATACCTTTTCGTTTAACTTTCCTGGCAACCCTGTTAGATGGTCGTTAGCCCAGTTCACAGATGTAACTCACACAGGCTGGTGTAGCCTGTGGCCACACAGCTAAACTCCTGTCTCACCAAAAGAGCTTTCTAGCTAGATGGGAATTCCAGGGTTTAAAAAAAAGTCCCTTATCCATATGGGGCACCTCAGCAACTATTATTTTTATATTGTTGTTTCAACATGGACCAATTTGAATGAATAGAAATCTGTTACCCAGGAGCTGAAATGAAGGATTTACGAAAGAAATTCTGAGTGGTGGCTTTATAAGAATGGAAAATGTCCTCATCTTCTTTTCAGATGATCAATTGCACAGTGGTAGATCACTGTGAGAGCAAATAGGTGTGAGCAGGACCAGAGAAAAATCTATTGGTGGTGTATAAAAGAAGATTACTGAGATCAGTAGTTGTGAGAGAGAGGAAGTGAACTAGGTTCAGGCTAATAAGCTTCTCCTCCATCCTCCCAAAATGACTCAGGGAGGCAGCTTGCTCAGGAGCAAGAGGAAAGGAGAAAGTGCTGCATTTTGTAAGGAATGTGCCAGACTTGTTAAACCTGACATACACGGAGATAAAACACTGCTTAGAGACGTGCTGGCTTTCCATAGTGGGTGATGAGTTTTGTCCAGTGGTTTGCTGATGAATCTGGTCGAAACTGGCTGTCCAAGGTGGAAAGAAGTGTGGTGAAATATTTAGCACTTCATGAGCCAGCCAAACCCTCTTGCATCCACACAGAGTATCTACTAGATGAGCTTCACATACAGACACCTCTGACTTGAGTGCAACTGCAATACAGTGTTTTCGCTGAACAGTGAGTCACTGCTCAACCAAGTTCTAATGATACTCTATTTTTGGATCTCTCATGACATTGTTTTTTTTAAGCCTCTTATTTTAGACAGAAAAAGAAACCAAGCTGATAGAAAAAAATAAAAATGCTGTTTTTGCCAAATCTTGTATAGGCAGGTTTTGAAATACTTCAGAAGTATTAAATATTTGATTCCCAGTCATAATTAAATTTGGAGAAGGAAATGGCAACCCACTCCAGTGTTCTTGCCTAGAAAATCCTATGGAGGGAGGAGCCTGGTAGGCTACAGTCCATGGGGTCGCAAAGAGTCGGACACGACTGAGCGACTTCACTCACTCACTCACTCATAATTAAATTATCCTTAGAGTAATGGAATTTTACTTAAGATAATATCGAGAGTAAAGGCAGAGTCTCTAGGGACTCCCGTGGTGGTCCGGTGGTTAAGAGTCCGCCTGCCAGTGTGTGAGATGCAGGTACAGCCCCTGGTCCAGGAGGACTCCACGTGGTGCAGAGCGACGAAGCCCGCGCGCCACGCTGCTGGGCCCGAGCTCTGGTGCCTGTGCTCCACAACGAGAGAAGCCCCTGAGATGAGGCGCCCGCAGCTGCGAATGGAGAGGAGCCCCCACTCGGCAGGGCTGGAGAACGCTCACGTGCAGCAGTGACGGGCCGCTCGGCCAGAAATGAATACATTTATCAAAAGGAAAATGTCGAGGGGATTTTGGTAAAATAACTTCTTTGCCACTTAATTGGGTAGCTATTTGTTCACTTTTTCCTTGTCTTTTTAAATTTTGGGGGGGAAGGCGGTGGTTGTTTTGGTTTAGATAATTTTTAAGTGAAGAAAATAGCAATACTACAGATTATTTTTAAATAGAAGATCATCTACCATCTCACCACCCTCAAATTACTATTTTTAATTTTGCAAAGCCTTTCTCTTTGTTGACAAGATATAGTTTTATATAGTTGCTCTTACAGTGCTGTACCACTTTAAATTTATTTTTTTCAGTCAGCATTTTATCATTAACATTCTTCCATGTTACTACCTTGTCATCTTATTTTAAAGACTACACAATATTCCATTGTGTTGATGCATTATCACTTACCAATTCGATTATTTGTCAAGTCTTATATTATCTCAGTATACAATGAGCAGTTTTATGTAGCAGTTCCTCTGAATTCTTTTTTTGAGAATTGGCAGGTCAAAGTGAATGAACATTTTTATCAGTCTTTCTGTATTGTAGTTTTCCAAGAGTTGTGCCAATTTATAATACCAATAGTTGTGAGAGAATATTGCAGCTGAATTGCTTTTAATGACAGTTTCTTTTCTAGACAAAAAATGCTGTTGAAAAGTTCACTGATGCCAAGAGGAATTTGCTGGAGACTGAGAAAGATGCTGAGGAGTTAGAAAGGAGAGCTCAGGAGACAGCTGTTAACCTTGTCAAAGCTGGCCAGCAGCTCAGGTAGGCAGTCTCCCTCGGCCGCTGATATACCCGGTGAGATGAATGGGAAGTTTGATTCTAGAGGATGGTAATTGCTTTAGGATAAATAACATGTCAAGTCTGAGGAGTCTGGGGGAAATAAAGCAATGTGTCTCAGATTGTTGCAGGCTGACACCAAGGGTTTGGAGCAGCGCAAAATCGAGCAAGAAGAAATCTTGAAAGAGATAAGCAAAGTTGTTGTAGCCAAAGACTCAGACTTCCAGTGTTTAAACAAGAAGAAAGAAAGACTAACAGAAGAGTAAGTATGGCCTCTGCCCGGCTTCGTAGGGCTTGCGCTGGATGAGGCTCTTGGGGCTCGGTCTCCCTGCTGATTTGCTCTAGTCCTGCTGGCATTTGTAGGCTGCAGAAGCTGCAGAAAGACATCGAGACAGCAGAACGCACTGAGGATCATCACCTGCAGGTCCTGAAAGAGTCGGAGGCCCTCCTGCAGGCCAAGAGAGCGGAGCTGGACGAGCTGAAGGGCCAGGTACGTCAGCGGCCACGTTGGAAACCAGTTCATGCTGCCGGGAAGCCTCGATTCATGTTACACTTGTAACAGTGCTACGTGTTTGATCGTGGAGAAGACTGGAAAATGCGTAGTAAAGTACGAATGAAGCTATACATCCTGGCGGATAAGATCAGAGCCCAACCCAGATTTGAATCTCAGTTCAATATGATATCTTATTGAATGAGTGAGTCTCAAAACATGATCTGTTCTGAGATCATTTATGTTAAATGTGTGTACAAATATTTGTGTTTGAATTTTTAGTCTCTGCCAAAGTACAAACATGGTCATCTGATGAGGGTAGTGAATGTTTTCTGCTTTCTTCCTTTCGCATATCTGCGTTTTCTGCTTTTCTGTAACTGAATATGTACTGCCCTTAGAATTGTAAGTTTTAAATTTACAAAACGAGTAAATTTCTTAAATCTCTGCCTAACTTTCATTGCCAGGGTGGTGTCAATTGGAATAAAGTACAGCTAGGGAAGTTCTTTGAAAACCATAACCTGAGGGATGATCATTGTTCTCATATTCTTGTTTTTGCTATGATTTGAGTGAGCTCAGGGCCTTTATTAGGCATTTTATGCCTGCACTCCCCAGCCCGGCCTTCCTGACTCTTGCAGCTAAGATAACTAAAATTAGACTACCACCTCCACACAGCATTTGGCTGGACTAAATATTCTCCATCTCAGCACTTCTGTCAAGCTGTGCGTTCTTTCCTTTTCTTCAATGCAGGTAACAGGTCAGCAGCAGGAGATGGCTGTCTTGGACAGACAGTTGGGGCATAAGAAGGAGGAGCTGCATCTACTCCAGGGAAGCATGGTCCAGGCAAGAGCTGACCTCCAGGAAGCGCTGAGATTGGGAGAAAGTGAAGTGACTGAGAAGTGCAGTCACATCAGGGTGTGTTTCTCAGTAGTTTTCAAGAGTCCTGTAGTTCTGTAGATTTATTTCAAGATATTTTCATTGGTTCCCCCCAAAATGCAGATATGAACTCCTGAATCTCGCCGCCCCATCCCGCCATCTTGGTGGTCTCTCGGCGCCCCGGGACTGTTGGGTGCAGCGGGCCCTCCATGCCATTTTCTGGACGTGCCGAGGCTTTCTGCCTCTCTGTTTCTCATGCCGTTTCTTCAGGAATTTCCTTTCTGGGAGTGCCCAGATCTGACCTGGTTTTCATAGCTCAGCCTCACGCCACTAAGGGACTTCCCCAACTTTTCCTGGAAGCAGTTGATCTCACTTCTGAGTCTGGTAACACTGTACACTCTCAGGGTCTGTAGAACCGTAGCCTTTCTTGGTGATGTTTCTGCTCCCGGCTTTACTTCCCCAAAAGGTGCTAACAGCCCCTTGAGGGCAGGAGATGGATCTGAATGAATCAGCCTTTCTTCTGTGTAACACACAGCCTTGCCCATGGAAAATAATTGCATATACATTTTAAATGTAGCATTATGTTACTTTTTTACTTCTATGATACTGAAATATGTTAGTGTAAATGCAGTGCTATTCTTAATGTAAAACACAAAGATGCGCTTGTTTTCAAATGAGAATTTATATGTGAGACAGTTAATAACAGAACTGATTTTAAAATATTTTCTATTCATAACTTGGTAGAGGTGGGTTGACTTTTTTCTTTTTTCTTTGCATAGGAACTAAAAGGTCTTTTGGAAGAACTGAGTTTTCAGAAAGGAGAACTGAATGTCCAGATTAGTGAGAAAAAAAATCAACTTTCACTTCTAAAGCAAGAAATTGAAAAAGAGGAAGAAAATCTTCAGGTAGTTTTAGGGCAGATGTCTAAACATAAAACTGGTAAGTTTAAAGTTTAACCTTATAAATGGAATATTTAAATTGACTGAAAGCAAAATAATCATTTTCATTGCTAACAGGGTGTGATGAAAGAAGACCACTTACAGACTGTTGATTGAATTATAAAATGAAACAACTTCCCAGTGTCTTAAACTCTTAAAATACTCACCTGTTAAACTTACTAGGTAGCCATTTCTTGTTATCTAGAGAGGGCAAGCATTTATGCACATCACAGCAATATTTATTTCTCTTTTTCAGTTTTACTAAGAAATAAGCCTTAATTTCCTTGTTTTACAAATTAAGCTGAGTACTTACAGTAGAATTTATAATGACAAAATTTGGAAACAAATGACCAATTTAAAAACCATATTTTAATATTTAATGACATGCAAAAATGCTGATGAAATAAAAGTGAAAAAATAGATAAAAACTAAACATTGAAAGTAGTCCTAATTTGTTTTAAAATATATGTGTGTGGGGACTTCCCTGGCAGTCCAGTGATTAAGACCTCACCTTCCAATGCAGAGGGTGCAGGTTTAATCCTTGTCAGGGAGCTAAGATCCTACATGCTTCACAGCTAAAAAACCGAAACATAAACTAGAAGTAATGTTGCAGCAAATTCAATAAAGACTTTAAAAATGGTCCACATTTTTGAATATTCCACGTCCAAAAAACTTTTTTAAAAAAGTCAGTTAAAGTGTTAAGTGAAGTGAAAGTCACTCAGTTGTGTCTGACTCTTTGGGACCCCATAGACTGTAGCCCGCCAGGCTCCCGTGGATGGAATTCTCCAAGCAAGAATACTAGAGTGGGTTGCCATTCGCTTTTCCAAGGAATCTTCCTGACCCAGGGATCGAACCTGGGTCTCCCACAGTGCAGGCAGATTTTTTACTGTCTGAGCCACCAAAGTATTAAAAAAATAAAATATGTGTGTGGTTGTGTGTACATACCCACACATAAACTTCTGGAAGGAAATTATCAAAGTGCTATTGCAGTACTGATCATTTTTGGATGGTAGGATAATGATGTGTTTTTATTTTTTTCTTTTATACTTTTTTCAAATTTTCTATAATGAACAAATATTCTCATAATCAGAAAAGTAGTTAATATTTAGAAATCTATATTTCAAAGGACAAAAAGAATGATATATAAATTTCAGCTGATATATTTTGAAGTTTTTGATGTACTTTGAACATTTCATGCAAAGATAGGCTCAATAAAGGACAGAAATGGTATGGACCTAACAGAAGCAGAAGATATTAAGAAGAGGTGGCAAGAATACACAGAAGAACTGTACAAAAAAGGTCTTCATGACCCAGATAATCACGATGGTGTGATCACTCACCTAGAGCCAGACATCCTGGACTGTGAAGTCAAATGGGCCTTAGGAAGCATCATTGTGAACAAAGCTAGTTGGAGGTGATGGAATTCTAGTTGAACTATTTCAAATCCTGAAAGATGATGTTGTGAAAGTGCTGCACTCAATATGCCAGCAAATTTGGAAAACTCAGCAGTGGCCACAGGACTGGAAAAGGTCAGTTTTCATTTCAGTCCCAAAGAAAGGCAATTCCAAAGAATGCTCAAACTACCGCACAATTGCACTCATTTCACACGCTGACAAAGTAATACTTAAAATTCTCCAAGCCAGGCTTCAGCAATACGTGAACCATGAACTTCCAGATGTTCAAGCTGGTTTTAGAAAAGGCAGAGGAACCAGAGATCAAATTGCCAACATCCTCTGGATCATCGAAAAAGCAAGAGAGTTCCAGAAAAACATTTATTTCTGCTTTATTAACTGTGCCAAAGCCTTTGACTGTGTGGATCAAAATAAACTGTGGAAAATTCTGAAAGAGATGGGAATACCAGACTACCTGACCTGCCTCTTTAGAAACCTGTATGCGGGTCAGGAAGCAACAGTTAGAACTGGACATGGAGCAACAGACTGGTTCCAAATAGGAAAAGGAGTGCGTCAAGGCTGTATACTGTCACCCTACATATTTAACTTCTATGCAGAGTACATCATGCAAAATGCTGGGTTAGATGAAGCACAAGCTAGAATCAAGATTTCCGGGAGGGATATCAATAACCTCATATGTGCAGGTGACACCACCCTTATGGCAGAAAGTGAAGAAGAACTAAAGAGCCTGTTGATGAATGTGAAAGAGGAGAGTGAAAAAGTTGACTTAAAGCTCAACATTCAGAAAACTAAGATCATGGCATCCAATCCCATCACTTTATGGCAAATAGATGGGGAAACAGTGGAAACAGTAGCTGACTTTATTTTTCTGGACTCAAAATCAATGCAGATGGTGATTGTAGCCATGAAGTTAAAAAACTCTTACTCGTTGGAAGGAAAGTTATGACCAACCTAGACAGCATATTGAAAAGCAGAGACCTTACTTTGTCAACAAAGGTCCGTCTAGTCAAGGCTATGGTTTTTCCAGTGGTCATGTATGGATGTGAGAGTTCGACTATAAAGAAAGCTGAGTGCTGAAGAATTGATGCTTTTGAACTGTGGTGTTGGAGAAGACTCTTGAGAGTCACTGGGACTGCAAGTAGATCCAAGCAGTCCATTGTAAAGGAGATCAGCCCTAGGTGTTCATTGGAAGGACTGATGTTGAAGCTGAAACTCCACTACTTCGGCCACCTGATGCAAAGAGCTGACTCATTTGAAAAGACCCTGATGCTGGGAAAGATTGAGGGCAGGAGGAGAAGGAGACAACAGAGGATGAGATGGTTGGATGGCATCACCGACTCAATGGACATGGGTTTGGGTGGACTCCGGGAGTTGGTGATGGACAGGGAGGCCTGGCATGCTACAGTTCATGGGGTCTCAAAGAGTCAGACATGACTGAGCAACTGAACTGAACTGATTTTGAAGTTTTTCTGTTTATTCTGATTTCATTATTTTAGGTAGGGTAAGTTCTTTTAGAACTAGATCTTTGTTGAATATTTGTTTAAATTTTTTCAGCAGATTAATGTTTAGCAATACTTTTGAAGGATTTTTTCATTCAAAATGTAATTAATTAGCTCCATTAATTCAGCACAACATATATTTATTTTATTACCTATTGTTATATCAGCCAATAGCATTATTTTCTGTTTCATTTGTAAATGTTTCCGCATTCATTTAATAGTCTGGACCATGCTTTGTTTCTGTTAGAACTTAAGAATATTCTGGACATGTTGCAACTTGAAAACAATGAGCTGCAAGCGTTGAAGCTACAACATGACCAAAAGATGTCTGAGTTAGAGAAGATTCATGTTGAAGTGCTGGAGGTAATAAACAAAGGCATTTTACTGGTAGCAAACCACACAGTCTCCATTTGTACAGTTGAGTTCTCTTTTATCTTCTTTAGGAGAAACTGGAGTTGGAGAATTTGCAGCAGACAGCTGTGCGGCAGAAAGGGGAGATGGAGTGGCAGAAGCAGCTCTTAGAGAGGGACAAGCGAGAGGCTGAGCGGATAACTGCTGAGGCCCGAGCATTGCAGCTGTGTGTTGAGTCTTTGTGCAAACAAAAGGAAGATCTTGAGGAGAAATGTGACAGCTGGGAGAAGAAGCTGGCACAGGCCAAACGGTGAGAGCAGGAACAAGTAAACTTGCAAGGTCCCTTCTGGAAGGCTAAAGCGTTATAAACACACTATTTAAAAAATTGGAAAAAGAAAAAAATATATATATATACAAAATACACCACAAATTCAGTATCACAGTACAATTCACCAGTAGTATTTTGGGGTGAATTTTCCTTTTAGGCTTTTAGTTCTCCCTTAAAGCATTTTTTAAAATAACTTGTTATTTAAGTAAAATAATGTATGCTTGGAATATGTGAGTCAGTGGAGAAATATACCTTGTTGTGGGTAGGAAGGCCCAGTATTAACCCAACCCACCTACCAGTGCAGGAGACACAGATTCAATCCCTGAGTTAGAAAGATTTTCTGGAGTAGGAAATGGCAACCCCCTCCAGTGTTATTGCCTGGAAAATTCCATGGACAGAGGAGCCTGGCGGGCTACAGTCCGTGAGGTCACAAAGAGTCTGGACACGACAGAGCACATGCGCAGGCATACCACAGAATGGGCTTCCCTGGTGGCTCAGTGGTAAAGAATATGCCTGCCATGCAGGAGACGTGAGTTTGATCCCCGGGTTGGGAAGAACTCCTGGAGAAGGAAATGACAGCCCACTCCAGTGTTCTTGCTTAGGAAACCCATGGACAGAGGAGCCTGACAGGCTACAGTCCATGGTGTCACAAGAGTCAGATACGACTTAGGGATGGAACAGTGGCAACATACCATAGAATACTACTGGGCAGTAAGGAGCGCTGGAGCATCAGTAAAGCGCAGCTACATGGGTGCGTCTCAGAGTCATCATGTGCAGTGAAAGAAGCCAGACAAAAGCCAGTCCATAGTGTATGATTCCTGTTAATGTAAAGGAACACGTGCTCATACATACTTTTTTTTTGACAAATCTTATTATACATAAAATTATGTTTCTTGCTTTTTCACTTATAAGTTAAGTCCATTTTGATCACATTTGGAATTATAAGTGCTATCCATGTTGTCCCTGATTTTTATAAAATTTCAATTTTAGCAAGCCACTTTTTGAAATGACAAACATTTCCAAATGTTCTATTTGGAAAGCTGAAAATAAGGGGTTTTTTTGAGAATGAGTTGAAGAGCCTTACAGTTTGTTAATTCTTGTTAATGTTTGTTATATAGTAAATTGTTAATATTAATTTATTAATATCATCCAGACTCCACAGCTGCGCTGTGACACATAACACTATTCCTTAGTTGTCTGGTATATGTGGTTGGACATTTTGTGTTTGACAGTCTGACATATTCTTGCTTGTGTTATAGGGTTTTCGCAGCCACAGAAGAGAATAGCAAAGCAAAGCAATCAGACTTAGAAAAGTTGGAATTGGATATCAGAAAACTGCAACAGGAACTAGACCAACTAAACAGAAACAAACTCTCACTGCACAAAGACATGGCAGCCCTGCAGCAGCAGCTCCACGGTGAGACCGCGCAGCAGGGGGGTGTGACTGTCTGCCTTCTGCTAGGTGCTTTTTTTAATTGTTTGCTTTCTTGTTATAGAAATAGATCATGCTACAGGGCATGGGGTTTCTTTTAGAAGTGAGAAAAATGTTCTAATATTAGGTATGGTGATGGTTGAACAACTCTGAATTTACCAAAAGCCATGAAATTGTACACTTTAAATAAGGGTGAAATGCATAATATGTGAATTACATCTCAGTAAAGCTGTTTTTTTTAATGAATTCATATTCCTTAGAGAACAATTTTAAAACATACTGAAGTAACAAAATAAAAATTACTATTGACCACACTCTTCAGAGATAATTTCTACTAGCAATGTAGTAAATATCCTTCCAGATTTTTCCTTGAGGGGTGGTGTGTGTGTATAGATTTAAAAGCAAAAATGGAAATAACGTATTTATAACCAAATCTTTATAAATCCTCATTATTTATTTATAAGTTACTAAGTACAAGAGAGTGTGGAGAAAAGGGAACCCTCTTACACTGTTGGTGGGAATGCAAACTAGTACAGCCACTATGGAGAACAGTGTGGAGATTCCTTAAAAAACTGGAAATAGAACTGCCATATGACCCAGCAATCCCACTCCTGGGCATACACACGGAGGAAGCCAGATCTGAAAGAGACACGTGTATCCCAATGTTCATCACAGCACTGTTTATAATAGCTAGGACATGGAAGCAACCTAGATGCCCATCAGCAGACAAATGGATAAGAAAGCTATGGTACATATACACAGTGGAATATTACTCAGCCATTAAAAAGAATACATTTGGATCAATTCTAATGAGATGGATAAAATTGGAGCCCATTATACAGAGTGAAGTAAGCCAGAAAGATAAACACCAATACAGTATACTAACGCATATATATGGAATTTAGAAAGATGGTAACGATAACCCTATATGCAAGACAGAAAAAGAGACACAGATGTATAGAACAGACTTTTGGACTCTGTGGGAGAAGGCGAGGGTGGGATGATCTGAGAGAATAGCATCGAAACATGTATATTATCAAGGGTGAAACAGATCTCCAGTCCAGGCTGGATGCATGAGACAAGTGCTCAGGGCTGGTGCACTGGGAAGACCCAGAGGGATGGGATGGGGAGGGGAGTGGGAGGGGGGTTCAGGATGGGGAACACATGTAAATCCATGGCTGATTTATGTCAATGTATGGCAAAAACCACTACAGTATTGTAAAGTAATTAGCCTCCAACTAATAAAAATAAATGGGAAAAAAAAAAGTTACTAAGTAATTCCAGCCAACAGTATACTTGTTGAACACTTCCTGTGTCCTGGGCATGATTGTAGATGTTTCATATGCATTTTATCATTTAATTCTTATAACATTTTTATGAGGTAGGAACTATTATTTCACCCATTTAAAGATAAGCCAACTTAAGCCTAGTTTCCTTGGGACTTGCTTAAGCGAGAAGTGACTTGCTCAAGCTCACCCAGTTAGTAAGTGACAAAACCAGTACAGATAATAAAATTTATTTTCAAATTGTCTTCCTGAAAGGTTGTACCAAATTTATATTTTTATCAGCAGTGTGGAAGGTACCTGTTTTTAAACCACGCACCTCATCAACACTAGGTAATGTGTGTGAGTTTTTTTTATCATGAGGTTTTGAGCGTGTAAATCTTTTTTTTTTTTTTAAATATGTAAGTCTTTAAAAAATGTAAGGCTCCAAGCCCAGATCTGGCTTGCGCATTTACCTCTCTCTTGGCCTTGAATAAGATAGGGTGGCATAATCACCTGTTACACCCTAACAGAAGGAAGTATGAATTCACTTTCAGTCTACATTTTTAAGGGGACTGATGGGAAACTGAAAAATGTATACATATGTATTTCTTATTCTATGTAAATGTTATTTCTGTAGAGAAGCGAGAAGCAGTAAACTCATTACAGGAGGAACTAGCTGACGTCCAAGACCATTTGAACCTAGCAAGACAGGTGAGCCTGATAAAGGAAGTCTCCTCACAGCGCCCTGCGGGCATGCAGATGGCTGCTTGAAATAACAAATCAAAGACGCCGGTCTTTCTCACATGAGCAGGTCCCGTAGAGCCATGTATCTAACACAGATATAATATATACCAAACCTTTGATGCAGAGCAGTAATTTTCTAGTTTATTTTAGTCCTAGAATTCTCCATTCAAACAATGTTTTACTCAAAGCTAGTAAGGAAGGGGTGGTGGCTAGAAGAGCCTCATAGTTGGTCAGCCGCTTTCTGAGGGCTTCAGGGACAGATGGACCATCTCTTCCCCAAGGCACAAATGAGGTCTTTATGCTTCTCAGCATCTTTCTGCAGTAATTCAGTTCTGTCCTATGAGATTATTGCCATGATCTGAGTTCCAGAGAACCTCAAGCAAGTTTTAGACCTTAGTTTCTAGTCTGTAAGTTATGGGTTAGATTAGACATCTAAATTTCCTTCCTTCTATCTTTAAGATTCTGTGTTTCTAAGATGTTTAAAACTTATTCTGTCCTTTAAAAAGTCTTATACGGGTTCTTATGAACATTTTCTATGTTATTAGAAATGTGGTAACTTTTCCAAAAGTGTTTAATTAGGGTTCTTTGAAGAAAGAAGTATTTATTGTTTTGTGAATTTTTTTTTAACCTGTATAAATATTTCAGATGGTAACAAAACCATGACTTTAGGTTCAGTTTCAGTCAGAGTTAAAGCTTGTTCACAGCTTTTCTTACTCTTAGCAATCCTGTGAGGTGGGTGGTGTTTATTCCCACCTCAGTGACAAGATGGCTAAATTTCAGAGGAACTGAGTCTCTTGCTGAGGTTCTGACATCTCTGTCATCTTAGGTACTAAAAAGAGGGAAGTCGGTGATTAAGTTGAGCTCTGGGTACCTTTGTATGCTTGTTGAAATAACAAAGGACGTGTAACTTTTGGGCTGCCATTTGTCGGACTTAGTAGACGGATGCAGGTGTGGCACTCGCGCCTGTCGAGGAGGTGGCCTTGTCCGTGGTTTGAGTTTGTTCTTTGACCCGAAGGACCTGCTCCACACCAGCAAGCGCCAGGATGTCCTGCTCGGCGAGCAGGCCAGGCTGCAGGAGGACCTCCAGGAACGCGTGAAGAAGCTGGAAGTCTGCCAGAAAGAAGAGGAAAGGAAACAACAGCACCTGCAAGCGCTCCAGAGCGAGGTGGAGGAGAAGGAGAGCGAGCTGGCCCGACAGGAGACGGTACCGCGCCCCACGGGTGGTCCAGGAGCAGGGACACTTCCCCGACAAGCATCCCCCCGGCTCTCGCTCCCCTTACCTGCCCTGTGTGACCTGAGGGGGATTTCACACCAGCTCTTTGACTCCCTTGGTATTAATGTTATGGACCATTATGTAGGACATGGCTTGGTGGCCACGTGTCAGTCCCTGTGTGTCCCCTCCTCACACGCTGGCCAGATCGCTTTCCAGTCCCTCCTTGACCCCTTTGGAAACAGAGCTCACTCTCCACCACTGTGGGCTGTTTGCTACTTTCTGTTTGAACTGGAGTCTGACTAGTGTCCGTGAAGACTTCCTCGGGACACTGTTAGTTCATGACTGACTAAGGTTGTTCTCTAATAAGACATTTCAGAGACTCCAGAAAGAGAGAGAAAATGAAGAAAAAAAGTTAGAAGCCAGTAGAGCGACCCTGCAGGAGCAGCAGCAGCAGCTGGAGAAGGAAATAGCAGACCAGAGGAGCACGCTGGACCAGGTGCTCAGCGAGGTGCTGGGGGCTGAGGAGCGCGTCAGGACTCTGCAGGAGGAGGAGAGGTGGGGTGAGGCCCTGGAGAAGACGCTCTCCCAAACCCGTATGTATCCTGGAGCGCTGCGCCGAGGGGGGAGGTCACTGACTGTCTGATGAAGCATGTAAAGGAGGCCCAGGCTTCGGCCGTAGCCCAGACAGGAGGCAGGACTGGCGTGGGGGAAATACAGCCCCGCACTTGGTCCTCCTGGCCCTGCGAAAGATGAGGAAACGCGCCCAGAGGGAACAGAGAGTCTGTCTTTATGGAGATGGAATTTGATCCCGACACAGTCAGGTGTTTTTCCTTGAGTGTATCGCTTTCTTTGAGAATGCTCTTTCAAGGAAGTGGAATATTAAGGCAAAGAGGTGCCAAAAGGTGCCCTAAAGGCTTTCTATAAAAGTACATTAATTCTGACCTTTGGAACAATGATCCATTTCATCTCAGCCTATTACAAAAAACAGTATTAACAGTTCCATGATACAGTTCTTGGCCATTGGGTCTGTTTATTCTTTTGAGCGATACATGCGATACATAAATGAAGTTGACTCCAGGACAAAAGATGGTTCTCAATGTCAGTAAATGAATTTTTTTTCCTTAGACTTCAGGTTTTAATAATGCTCAGAAAATGTTCTCCCCTACGGGAACTTTAAGGACTTGGGTTTTGAAAGGGTTATTACTCCTTTTTCCCTGGGAACTCTTGATTCAGACCCAACCATTTCATTTTGAAGCAAACCTAAATATGCTGAGTCTGACCATGCCAGAGGTGTGAGAAGTGATATCTGGGCAGGGTGTTGCTTTACTGAGGTTCATTACAAAAATCTGTGTTAAATGACACTGTTGTGTATAAACATCCTTTATTGAGTATACTCACCATGCACTAGGTGTTTGCATGCATGATTCCTGTTAAATAGCAGGAAATAGGTTCCTTCTATAGAAAATAAGACTCATGCCATTCCAAATCCTCTGTTCTTTTCCTGCACTGCCTCTTATGAAGGAAAAAATACTGTGTATCTCCCTTTATTTAAAATCAGGTTTATAAAAAAGCATTTCAGGGACTTCCTTGGCCATCCAGTGATTAAGACTGCACTTCCATGCAGGGGGCATGGGTTCAATCCCTGGTCGGGGAACTAAGATCCCACGTACCTCATGGAGCAGCCAAAAAATTAAAAAGTGGAGAAAGGACTTGAATAAATGTTTACATAAATAAGTAAATAAATAAATAGCATTTCAGTAGCCTGTTCCATGTTCCTTGCACAGAGTTGGTGCTCTCTGGTCTCAAAGACTCAAGAGAGAACATGGCAGCCGTCTGTCACTCTGGAATCAGGCCCTTCGGGAATAGACTACACCAAAAGGCAGCTTTCTCTGAGCTTCCCCTGGGCCGCCGTGTGGGCCAGGGGGGACAGACAGCCGGCTGGTGGACAGAAGTGCCCCAGTGAGCGTCCTGTCGGTGTGCAGTCTGCCGTTGGCCAGCCCAGGGCCTCAGGCTGAACTACCTGAAATCCTGTTTCAGAACGACAGCTCTCCGAACGGGAGCAGCAGTTGTTGCGAAAGTCAGCTGAGCTGCTGGCTCTTCAGAAGGAGGCGGACTCTATGAGGGCAGACTTCAGCCTCTTGCGAAACCAGTTCTTGACAGAGAGAAAGAAAGCTGAGAAGCAGGTAGCCAGCCTCAAGGAAGCGCTCAAGACCCAGCGCAGCGAGCTGGAGAAGAACCTTCTCGTGAGTACCCACCGCCCTGCCCGGCAGCTTGTGAGGAGAGGAGCCTTTCAATTTCTAACTAAAACACGGTTTCCATGTAGAGAAAATAAATGACCGGGCAACCCAGCCCCTAACCCGGCTGTTGCGTGGGTACACCTGTGCACGGTTTGCGCCTGAGGCTGATGGTCGATCTTGGTGGGGCACACCTGTGCACGGTTTGCGCCTGAGGCTGATGGTCGATCTTGGTGGGGCACACCTGTGCATGGTTTGCGCCTGAGGCTGATGGTCGATCTTGGTGGGGCACACCTGTGCACGGTTCGCCCCTGAAGCTGATGGTCGATTTTGGTGGGGTACACCTGTGCATGGTTTGTGCCTGAGGCTGATGGTCGATTTTGGTGGGTACACCTGTGCATGGTTTGTGCCTGAGGCTGATGGTCGATCTTGGTGGGGTACACCTGTGCACGGTTTGCGCCTGAGGCTGATGGTCGATTTTGGTGGGGCACACCTGTGCACGGTTTGCGCCTGAGGCTGATGATCGATTTTGGTGGGGTACACCTGTGCATGGTTTGCGCCTGAGGCTGATGGTCGATTTTGGTGGGGACACCTGTGCACGGTTTGCGCCTGAGGCTGATGGTCGATCTTGGTGGGGTACACCTGTGCATGGTTTGCGCCTGAGGCTGATGGTCGATTTTGGTGGGGCACACCTGTGCACGTTTCGCGCCTGAGGCTGATGGTCGATCTTGGTGGGCACACCTTTGCATGGTTTGCACCTGAAGCTGATGGTCGATTTTGGTGGGCACACCTGTGCACGGTTAGCGCCTGAGGCTGATGGTCGATTTTGGTGGGCACACCTGTGCACGGTTTGCGCCTGAGGCTGATGGTCGATTTTGGTGGGGCACACCTGTGCATGGTTCTCGCCTGAAGCTGATGGTCGATCTTGGTGGGCACACCTGTGCATGGTTTGCGCCTGAGGCTGATGGTCGATCTTGGTGGGCACACCTGTGCATGGTTCTCGCCTGAGGCTGATGGTTGATCTTGGTGGGCACACCTGTGCATGGTTTGCGCCTGAGGCTGATGGTCGATCTTGGTGGGCACACCTGTGCATAGTTTGCGCCTGAAGCTGATGGTCGATCTTGGTGGGCACACCTGTGCATAGTTTGCGCCTGAAGCTGATGGTCGATCTTGGTGGGGCACATCTGTGCATGGTTTGCGCCTGAGGCTGATGGTCGATCTTGGTGGGGTACACCTGTGCACGGTTTGCGCCTGAGGCTGATGGTCGATTTTGGTGGGGACACCTGTGCATGGTTTGCGCCTGAGGCTGATGGTCGATTTTGGTGGGCACACCTGTGCATGGTTTGAGCCTATCGATTTTGGTGGGCACACCTGTGCATGGTTTGCGCCTGAGGCTGATGGTCGATCTTGGTGGGGTACACCTGTGCATGGTTTGCGCCTGAGGCTGATGGTCGATTTTGGTGGGCACACCTGTGCATGGTTTGCGCCTGTCGATTTTGGTGGGCACACCTGTGCATGGTTTGCGCCTGAGGCTGATGGTCGATTTTGGTGGGCACACCTGTGCATGGTTTGCGCCTATCGATTTTGGTGGGCACACCTGTGCACGGTTTGCGCCTGAGGCTGATGGTCGATCTTGGTGGGCACACCTGTGCATGGTTTGCGCCTGAGGCTGATGGTCGATCTTGGTGGGGTACACCTGTGCACGGTTTGCGCCTGAGGCTGATGGTCGATCTTGGTGGGCACACCTGTGCATGGTTTGCGCCTGAGGCTGATGGTCGATCTTGCCTGTGTCTGGGTTCAGCCCTCGCGGAGCCGGCTGTCTGGCTGGAACGCTGGTCACAGGCTCAGAGAGCTTCCTCGGGGCACCAGCCTCTGCGCACCGCTCCAGCAGGGGTGCAGGGGTTTGGGGTGGGAAAGCCTCTGAAAGACCTCTTCCCAGCTGCAGTCTGTGCTCACAGGTTTCCTCATTGTGCCCTTTTTGGTCAGCATCAGCTCTAATTAATCATTATCCTAAAACTAGGAGGCTCAATCTGTCACGCTCTTATCCCTGAGATAAATTGTGGGCGGTGGTACTTGGATGAGTTGAAAACGGTTTGGGATGCCTCGAGACCGACGGGCAGTGATAGGGGCTGCCCCAGAAAAGGAGTTTTCTTACACCCTTTGGAGGAGTCCATGTCGCCCTGCAGTGTGAATGTTGCTTTCCACCCACATGTATTTCCCAGAGGGCGGTAACAGTCACAGCCGCTGACGTGCAGCAGGACTGTGGAGAGAGTAGGCAGATGTCTAGATTTAATCCTCCCAGGAGCCCTGCGACTGTAGCTGCTGTTCACGTCTCCCAGACAAGGGAGGGTCACCTCATCTCAGTGGCAACTCGGCACATCTAGGATTCAGGCTTTCTGCTCCCAGCTCTACCACCACCGCCGCAGAAGGCGGTCGATCGTCCCATTTACAGCTGGAGCCCAGACAGGAAACGAAGCCTCAGAGCTGGCGAGCGTGCCAGGCAGCAGCACACACCTCCAGAGTCGTTCTCCTCCTCCCGTGCTAGGAGCAGAAGCAGGAGAACAGCTCCATGCAGAAGGAGATGGCGACCATCGAGCAGGTGGCGCAGGACAACCACGAGCGGGCCCGGCGCCTGATGCGGGAGCTCAGCCAGATGCAGCAGGAGTACGCAGAGCTCAAGAAGCAGGTGCGCCGCAGCCCTGGGCGTGGGGAGCACTGTCAGACTAGTGATCAGACTGTTCTTCTAGTCTTGAAATTCAGAACTTTCCACAAGAAGAAAGTACTTGTTCAAGGGACACTTTTAAAATGCTCCCAGGACACACTTTTGAAATGCCTTAAGTTCACCAAACCTAAGTTAGTTTTTGAAAGAAAAATGGCAATTCTTCAGCATAAAATTTTATCATGTCCCAAAGTGCTGTTGAAATACTAGATTTTATGCCAGAAACAAGTCTGTAAGAGACAAACTCCCAAGGAAACCTCTGATCGCCTGTCGTGCAGCCGGGCTGAGGAGAGAACAGTTCGTCCTCGATGGAGGGTCTCGCCCTAGACCCCCTCGTGTCCGTCTGCCCATGTCAGGGGCTGGGCCAGCCCAGAGCTCTCCAGTCAGGCTGCTCAGGCCACTCACGTGACCTGCTACACTTTGTCCTTTGGATGACCCCATGTGGCCATTTAGTTTCGTCTTTTCCTATAACCACCCCCCAACACACACACACACACACACACACGCACACCCCTTTGGCTCAAGAAAAAATTACTTTTAAAGGCCCCTTGGCCTCTGTAAGTTTGGAAGGGCAGTTAGCAGTGGGTATGACTGTAGTATCTTCACCATGCTCTTTATGGAGAGAGCCACGTGGAGTGGTCTCAGGTATTTAACACTCTGTACCACCTGAGGAAACCTCCAGACTCCCCACACCACCAGATTCTTCACATGTAAAATAAAAACATTCAACCAGACCTTCTCTAAGCCCCTTTCAGTGTTAACATTTATAGCCTAGACCACTTACAGCTTGTTTCAGTAAATGGCCCTTTCTCATTTGAGGACCACTAAGGTGCCTCATATAAATTCTCACTTAGCTCTCACATTTCAGGATACAGAGGGTTTAGAAGTCGTCTAGCTGGCCCTAAGGCATCCTGGTAATGTTTTTGGAAATAAGATTGGAACCCAGCTCTGTCCCGCTGCAGAGAGGCTGACTTCTGTAGTGTCGGCCATCTTTAAGCAGCACCATCCCCTGCTTTTCCAAATGGGAATTGCTCCAGTGGGAATGCAGTAAAATCATTTATTTGGTAGCTTAGGAATACTTGAGTAAAAAATTTTTTAAAAAAAGGAATACTTGAGTAGCTGGAAAAATCACAAATTTTTACAGTTCTAATCACAATAAGTAACATCTGTAGGTATTTCAGTATATGATACATGTATTTAAAATATTAAATCATTAAATAACAATAACAGTTCAGTTCCAATACTTGGTGGTATTTGACTCTCACTTGCTCTTTAGATGGTAAACCAGAAAGATCTGGAAAGAAGACAAATAGAAATCAGTGAAGCAATGAGGATACTTAAGTCTGAAGTGAAAGATGAAATAAGAGCCAGCCTAAAGAACCTCAACCAGTTTCTCCCAGAACTGCCAGCAGACCTGGAAGCCATTCTGGAACGGAACGAACACCTGGAAGGAGGCTTGGAGAGCTTGAAAGAAAACTTTCCATTCGCCCTCAGTGAGAAACCATCACCTTTTGAAGAGAAACTGAATTTTTCTCACGTTCACATAATGGTAAGGGCTTATTTATCCTGCTGTTCTCTGGACTTCCTAAAAGGGCCCTTTGGTTCCCACCTCCCCCAGATAAGTCCAGACATGGAATGGAGGGTGGGAGGGAAAGGCGGGTTGGTTACCGATGGTGGTGCTCAGATACTCTCTGACGGTTCCCTTTTCCTCTGAAAAAGGATGAACACTGGCGTGGAGAAGCTCTCCGGGAGAAACTGCGTCACCGTGAAGATCGACTCAAGGTTGCCCTTTTAGAAGAAAAAAAAAAAAACTATAAGATGCTTGGCGTGGTGAGGAGATGGGGACACTGCTCTGTCGCAGCTGTCCCAGCAGTCCTGTAGGTTACACGTTCGAAGCCCAGAGAGGTTGGCATCACAGTTAGTCAGCAGCGGGGTCAGGGTTCAGAACCACGAGCTCTGGTGCTCAGCCTGGGGTTCCTTACCCTCGTAATGCTGCTCTGCCTCAGCTGAAACTGACTGGACCTGCAGACAGAAAATAGAGATGTACTCATAAAAACAAGGCTCCCAGGCCCGTGGTTGGGGAGGGATTGGGGAAACCAGAGAAGTAGGCTTGGGTGTCAAATAAGAAGCTGTTTGGCTCAGGATATGTCGAACTTGAAGGCTTCATGAGACACACAAGGGAAGGATGTCTGTAGGCAGCTGAAAATCGGTGTCTAGAATTCAGTTGTAAGGGCTGACCTAAAAATGTGGGGGTGTATAGTGGGGAGCTGAAAAATGAGAGTGAGGTGGATGGAGCAAGAGAGGACAGAATGCGTCTTTGGATATTGGCCACTTGCATCGAGGTCTGAGCGGGAGCCACGTGCAGTTCTGAGTGAGATAGCCTCCTGCCGCATGTGGCTGTTTAGATGGAAATTTACTGTCGTTAAACCAGGTTAAAAATTCAGTCCAGTTACCACATTTCACGTGCTCACAGCCACACATGACCAGTGGTTACTGTAGTGGGCAGCAGCTACAGAGCATGGAGCATTCCTGTCGTCACAGAATGCTCTGTGGGACAGACAATGCTTGCTGTCAGCTTTAGCTGGAGGATCATTTCAGAGGCACAGCGGGGAAGCCAGAAAGCAGTGTGGGGTTGAGGATTCCACACATTGTGAGACGCTCTGAAGATACCAAGTGTAAAGCAGTTGTCTAAGTCTGAGCAGTGGAGAGCTGAGGCAGGCTTCTAGCGAGGAGGAAGCTGAAATCCTGTGTTGTGACCGTGGCGCGGGCAGGCTGAGGTACGGGTCCAGGTGACAACGACACACAGAAGCGCCTTCGGGCACTTGCCCGCACCCCCGCCCCTTTTTTTTAACTTTTGAAGACAAGGATTTTCAGCAGGCACTTCTATGTTCTGACGGTCAGATGTGCCTTTCAGATGCTAAACGTGAGAAAGCTACCCAGTACTAGTTCTGACACAGTCCCTCTGAGTAAAGCCCTACATCTTCCCCTGACGCTTCCAGGCCCAGCTCCGAAACTGCATGTCCAAGCAGGCGGAAGTGTTAAGCAAAGGGAAGCGGCAGACGGAGGGCACGCTACACAGCCTGAGGAGACAGGTCGATGCCCTGGGGGAGCTGGTCAGCAGCACGTCTGTGGACTCCATGTCATCAGCCACCCTGTCTCAGCTCGAGTCTTCCCTGGCAGAGGACTCCCGTCTTGGACCAAGTCAGGTAGGAGGAGGCTCTTCACACGTGGTCTGACTTGTACCCAGAAAGTGCCTGAAGGCTCTGAGGCCCGCAGCCTGCAGCAGACTCAGGACACGAAAAAGTGAAAGTGAAAGTCGCTGAGTCCTGCCCAGCTCTGCAGCCTGTTGACCATACAGCCCACGGAATTCTCCAGGCCCGAATACTGGAGGGGGAAGCCGTTCCCTTCTCCAGGGGATCTTCCCAACCCAGGGATTGCACCCAGGTCTCCCGCACGGCAGGCGGGTTCTTTGCCAGCTGCGCCACCAGGGAAGCCCGAAGGGCCTGAGTCTCCCAGGGTTTGAAGGTGGGAGGACACAAACATCACCTTCAAATCTCGGGGAAACCTGTCTGAGCGAAGACTCACAAAACTTTTCATGGTCCCTGGGGAAACTGGAATCCATTGGTTGGTAGTAGATGTGTAAAGAAGATAAGCTGATGATTTAGGAAATCAACTAGGAAACAGGGACATAGTTAATTCTCCTATGAAGGCTTTCCACTTTTGGATTTCCTTATTGTCTATTTGGTAAATACAACGAGCTTAGGGAATTCCCTGGTGGTCCCATGGTTAAGGATTCTGTGTTCTCACCACTGGGTTCAGCCTCTTGTTGGGGAGCTAACATCCCGTAAGCCATGTGGCACAGTGAAAAATAGGAGTTTAGACCTCTGAAGCCAACTTGTGTCCCAGTTTAGTCTGTCCGCTTGGGAAAGGTGATTGTGCCAATTGTTAGGCCTAAGTGTGAACACAGTTTGAACTCTTAATTCAGTGTCTATTAAAAAAAGCACAACACTGAATTTCATGTTTTCTGTGAGACCTAGATGAGGTCAGTAATTGTTTAGGAGGAACATAAAATATATTCATGGAATCCGTAAACAGTAAGACAGTATTCCTGTCAGACAGATGATAGCTACCATTCTGTGTGCCTAGTGTGTGTGGGGGGGCTCAGCGGTGAGGAACCTGCCTGCGATGTGGGAGACCGGGGCTCCATCCTGGGTCAGGAAGACCCCTTGGAGGGAAGCATGGCAACCCACTGCACTGCTCTGGCCTGGAGGATCCCGCAGGCGGAAGAGCCTGGTGGGCTACAGAGTCAGACATGACTGAAGTGACTTAGCACGCACTGTGTGTACTAAACACTTTACATGTGTTGCCTCATTTACATCCTGGAACTAGGATTTATCCTTCTATATAAAGAAATTGTAGAACACAAAAAATGATGTCAAGGTCACAGTGAAAAACAGAACCAGGATTTAGAGGCTGATCTGTCTTTACCACAGAGCAGTGTTTTGTGTGTCTGAGCCCCAAAAACATTCAAGGCCAGTGTGCGTCTTGAATAGACACACAGCTCAGTCATTAGCAGCAGAGCCAAGATTTGAATATGATCACCTTAAATTTTGCATGGTGGCACCCACGTCAGATAGAGGCCCAAACCACCATGGGGCTCAGGCAGGCCGTGAGGAAGAACATCAAAGGCACAGAGCTTTATAGAGATGCCGACTGGAGGCAGGAGCCCGCAGAGTGGCGACAGGTACGCAGGGGTGTGGGCGCCAGGCAAAGTTCTCGGCTCCCGTGGCAGCCGGGAGCCCTCAGGCGCCCCGGGCCCAGGAGGGGAACAGAGGCGGCGACGGAGGCACCGTGCGTAGACAGGGGCTTGTTACCCTTACGCTGGCTTCCGGAGTCTTCATCTAGGTGTACGTGGGATGAAAATCTGAACTAGGTTGGAGTTAGGGGGCTGGCTTCTGAGCCTAATGTTGTATCTTCCTTCTTTCCAGAGCTCCTTCCATCAAGTCCTACAAGGTCCATCACAGTCAGTAGACAGTTACCGGCACTGATGCTGTCCTCAACTTCCTGCTCACAGGGTACGTTACAGGAAGTTCATTTATTTATAAATAACTAGCACTTTCAGTTGGCAGATGTTGAATTCCAGCTTATCATACAGTCTTAAGAAAAGTAACCTAACTTTTATCCTGGGTAATTTTGTGTAGTGTTTCATCTTAAAACATCTTTCCAAAGAAGTACTCAAATTTGTGTTTTTCCTGTTAGCCATGATGCCATCACCTAGTTCTGTGAATTTAGCTAGAACCTGTCCTTACTGTTGCAGGACGAGTGCCTCAGCCAGATGGAGGAAGAGCATCTTGCCTAAATATGAGCGAACCACCTTCTCCACTACCTCACTAACGTCACCGTTAGAACACCACTTGGTTTTTATCAGGATCCAGTCAATTCAGATGCTGCGAACTCCACTGTAGTTGATTCCACTTCTACAGTTAGTCAGCGTTTTTGTAAGTCACCTGTACATATGGGAATACTGTATACAGTTTAAACCAGGGTCTCGTATGGCTGATGGTTTTTTTTAACCTTTGAAATGCATATAATAAAACCCATGCTGATCTGAGTCTATAAACTGGTATATCTATAGTTAGGAAAAAACAACATACTTAGGATCCTTATTTATAGTGCCAAGAGTTATTTTTGGATTTTGTTTAAAATCTATTTTCATATGAAAATAAAAGATAAAATAAATGTGGGTCTGACATCTGACTTTACATTTCATTCAGATGGTTTTCCATCTCTGTCTGCAGGTTGAAATATGTTGTATCCATCAATGAATGTATTTTACCATTTGAAAATACCTATTATAAAACTGTAATATATACTTCAGATATACATACTTCCGATGCCTTTCCTCAACGAAAAATATTCTTCGGTGGAAAATTAGGAGAACTTTGGAAAATCCGCATGCATTTTTAGTCGTTCAGTCACGTCCTACTCTGCGACGCCCATGGACTGCAAGCCCCATCTCTTGTCCATGGGATTACTCAGACAAGGACACTGGAGTGGGCTGCCATTTCCTCTTCCAGGGGATCTTCCTGACCCAGGGATCGAACCCGTGTCTCTTGCACTGGCAGCTAATTCCTCACTGAGCCACCTGGGAAGCCCTTGGAGAATCTGACCCAGTGGTAAATTCAAATTGTGTTCAGACTTTAGGTTTTAAAATATTCCCAAGAACTATTTTCTAGGTTCCTGGACAGCTTTTGAACCAGAACAGGTATTACATACCATGTTACTGTATTACAGTATAGCACTATTCTCTGACCACCTCCTGAGGTTTATATTCCTAAGAAGTTGTTTGCCTAGAGCTGGACCATTAAGATCTGGGACAGGGACTGACATGGAATAAATATGATTAAAGACAGTGGAAATGGCATAAAATTAACATCCAGTAAGTTGTAGAAAGTATCTATTTCCAATGTAAAATTGATTTGATAGTGTCTTTTGTACTTACATTCTTTGTTTCATTTTCACAAGTCTTGGCAAAATGTTTAAAAGCCTGGCCTATTCAACAGTTACTGAAATCCTTGCGTTTCCTGGTCTGTCCATGTGCTGAATGAGGGTAAAATATTTTCTTCCTCAGCTGCCACATGAACAGGAATCATTTGGTCTTCTGTGAAGGGTGTGAACTGAGCCACATGTTTGTAAGAAAAGAGCACACTTAAAACAACAGGTGTGTGAAGTTCCCAAAACGACAGTCTTACTGAATTAGAAGATAATTCATGTATGAAGCCAAACACCTGGTTTCAAAAGACATCTTTCCAAAGAAACTCCACTCCAACTAGTATTATATAAACATCACCAACCACCAACCCCCCCAAAAAAAACAAAAATCACTGCATCAAACACTTTATTGTCCATGAAAAATACTTGATCATCATACTGGAATGTCTAACGCAGAGAGTACTGAGCACCAATTACTAATCAGGAGGGCCTCACAGGTGCAAGGGCGACGAGGAACCCAGAAAAGCAGGTGACCACACAAGTAATAAGCTCTCCATGGATTAAAACTTAAAAGAATTTCACATTCTCTCCAAGGTGTACTTGCCCAATGTCTGGCACACGGATGTTACAACAGTCTGCCTCTCTCTCTCTGAGCACCCAAGTTTGTTACAGGGGATTCCACATGCCAATAACAGGAGCTGGTCCTAAGCAGAGTCGAGGGAGAACGCTGCCAGCCAGCAGACGTGTGATCCCACACTGAGAAAGGCTCAAAGACACTGCAGGTGTGATTTGAACGCACGGGTCAGACTGGAGCTCCAGTGCCGAGTGGCGTGGATTCATATGCTCCTTACGTAGACGTCTTTTTAAACAATTAAGGGCAGTTTTGCAGTAAAAACTGGCAACTTAATGCCAAAATAACTATTTGCCTGAAGAAAATATGAAATCCTGTTATAATTTAGAAAATAAGGCAAACAATTTTAATCTAGATACAGGTACTTTATTTACAAATATTTAGATTAATAGCATTTTGTTACATCGAGTGAAGAGTACAGCAGTCTGAGTAAACCCTGTCACAGCACAGTTAAGACCCACGGTCACTGCCTCTGGGAACCAGGGCATCGCACCCCAACAGGCCGCAGGCCTCATCTGTGACGGCTACCTCACACCCGGTGGGCGGTCTGCTTGCTTTGTTTTGTAAATATATACACACACACCAGCAGGTCATGGTCCCTGGGCGAGTCCCTCGTGATGCAACAGTGTCAGCAAAACGGATCACTGCACGTCCTTAACAGAACATACCCGATACACTCCACGTATCTTGTTTTTTAAAAAAGTTAAACAAAGACAAAAATAAAGATGAGTCCACAAATTAACCAAATCCTATTTTCTGCACATTCCAGTTTTGGCTTTTATTTAACATTGACTATACAATACTCTGGTACTACCACATGTTTACAACCCAGAAAGCAGTATTTTTTACTTTAGTGTCTGTAAATAGGGATTTAAAATGTGTATTTTAAACACAGCAGTTGAGCTGAGGGTACATTTTATATAATGAGGTTTTACCTATCCTACTTCAAATAACTTCTCAATTCCCAGCCTGAACCACAAACTCAATTAGGAATCAATCAACAGAAGTAAAAAACTTGGTAAAACCTAAGTTTGTTGTCTACAGAAATAAGACTGTTTCCCTTGCAATACAGGATTCTGTCAGTGGCCACACCACCCAGTGCAAAGTAGTAACTTACTTTGTATCAGCACAAACACTGAACACCCTTAGAAACACCTTCCCCCTTACAGAAACAATGTATGCCGACGTGACATAAATATACTATGAATACAAGGGGTATCTTAAATTATTTCACTGTAGTGTTAAAAATGCACTATTTAAAATCCCTTAACAGCAGACCTGCGGTTCTGGCTGTCTGGTTCAGAATCTTACCATTCCAAGATACAGGTATAAAAGCTTAAAATGTGCAATAAGAAACCCAGCCTTTTTTCTTCTTCTATACAGTAAGGCAAGAAATGCAGCCTGTAATGCAAAATGTTTACAAAAAGAGAAAAGCAGGTTAGCACATTGTTGATTGCACAAGAACAGTTAAGAAAATCAGCAGGTAAGCCACAGTGCGAAGATGGAACAGAATCTGCTAGTGTTAATCTTCTCACGCCAGGAGCTCTTTCCAGCATAATGTCCCCAAACACTGCCAGCACCAAAGGGTGGAGCCAGTAGATCGTGTGAACAGAAGTTGTGTCTATTTCCTCGTGTGAAATGGAAGGGAGTAACATGGTCACATATAGGTCCTACTGTACAAACTGGTATTTTATACTGTTCCAAGGCCAGTAATCAATTTATTTTCTTCATTAAAATAATATACACAGAATGTATTGTTAGTTCGGTTCCTTCAAATTTTATACATATTTACTTTCTGCTAAAGAGAAAAAGATAAAATGGTGTAAAAAAAAAAAGGATAAAGCTATTTAATTAAGCATAAGAAAAAAGATAAATGGATATTTTCCCTGCGCAAGGCTAAGACAAAAGCAAACCGCCTTAAGAAAAACGCCACCCACACAACAGGGAATTTATCCGACAAAAACAAAAGGCTTTGAAGAACCCTTTCTCTATCATCAGAAGTCATTTCACAGCAATAAATTTATGGGTTACAACAGACATACCTGAACAGTTAAAGATGGGAAGAAAGCTTAAGATATCATCAAATTAAACCGTACAATGAGACAAAGCCTTGCCAAAAAGAGGGAGGGGTAAAAAAAATCAAGTCCAGCATCAGTGCTCAGTTTAAATCATGGATTGGTGACATACCTATCACGAGGACAATCAAGGGGGAAAAAAAAGTCTAGATTTACCATGCAGGAGAGATTTATTACTCTACTTGCCTTTGATAACCTGATTACATCTAGTTGTTTAGCAGTTTAGTATTGTGTTAAACTGTTTTTACAACAGAGTTGTTTTTTTCTTTTTAATTAAACCCAGTAAGATGTACAGAAGACAGTGAGGCAGTAAAAAGTACTGCTTCCGACAGACAGAGGTGAAAGGTCGAACGAGAGCCCTGCGAGGTGGTCACTAGCAGCCACAGCCTTCCCTCTGGGGCTGCGGCTCGCTGGTTAGCCGGCCCCCCTGCGGGGCTGAAGGTTTGTGTTGTACACCAGACTCGGCAGCGTTCAGATCCAAGCTTCCATCCTGGATGTTCTGATAGATCTTCTTGGCTGCCTCAAGGAAAGCATCTTCTACGTTCTCTCCCCTAAGAGGCAATCGACAACTTTACTGGCAAACCATAGTTTTCTACAAAACATAAGACATTATACAATGACCTTTTGCTAACCTTTAGTCAACTGCCATGATGTCTTCAACTTAGCCACTGTCATCTAATAAGGGATTACCAGAAGACTGAGCTAAGAGAACGACATGGGAAAATATTTTCTGTGGAAAGCATATAAACAATACTAAGAGCTCTTTCTACAAACCCAATTTGAAACTGTATGTGCTCTAACCATTAAAATGCTATATACTAACATATAACAATAATTAAAGCAGGCCATAATACAGGGTATCCTAAACTGAAATAAAATTATCTCCAAACAGTATTCCAGGATTTGTATGGTCTGATTAGCCAAGCATAAACTGTACTGTTCTTATCATGCTTAGCCATGTTCACGTTTGATATCGGCCCTTTTAGGACCAATAGTACAGATGAGGCTAATCAAAAAGGGGCTAGCTTCTTACCACTACAAGGAGTATTTGACTTAATAAATGAAGAACTACGATAGGAGTGCTGGGGTTCAATAATGAACGTGGAATAACAATTAGAAATGTTAATTATGCTTCTAATTACTCTTAAGAAGACACTGAATATTTCCTAAAGTCATGCTTTTACTGCAATGACAAGTATTAAATCAACAGGTTGACCAACCCTGAGCCCAAGATGCCAAATTCAGCCCTGGTTGTAAAGGTCACTTTTAGCCTTTACACAATTTGTGTTAACACAATTTAATTTACTAACCTGTATTACCAATGGGTATAATCAAGGTATAATATTTTAGGGAAAGTAAACAAAAAACATTTTGAAATGTGAAACAAGCAAAGGGATTTTTGCTGTTTTCGCTGCCGTAAGCATTGCACATTTACATATTATACATTATATGTATATATACATTATACATTTATATATATATGGTTCTACTTTTGAGAAATTTGAATGTAATAAAAATGATCTACTAATTTTAGTCATACTTACGTTTTTGCACTTGCTTCAAGGAACAATAAACCTAAAAATAAAATTCAGACTATGAAGGACATTTCAAATTAACTCACAAGGACATTCTCTTTAGTGACTTCTGAGTAAAAGTTTCCCATCAGCTTTCAGTACTCCTACCACAGTATTTTATGAAAGACTATGAGTTGGAGATGGAGGGAATCTTTATGTCATTCAATAATTCTACTGCCCTCAAAATGAAACTCAAATAACAAATGCATTTTGTTATTTCCTCGTTCTTCAATTTGAGCAATTTGCACTTAAAAAAAGAAAAAATTGTCAAATAATCTGCACTGTCAAAATCCCACTTCTTAGAAATTCTCCCATGTGTGACCCAAAAAAGCCATTAAGTCTCAAAATAAAACCCACCGTTTTCTTCAGCAAACTGTTTGGCTTCCTCATACGTCACATCCCTCTGAGCCTCCAGATCTGCTTTATTCCCTATGAGGATTATCACCTGGATCGTAACCGAAAGAGAGACGTCTTACACAAAAGCAACCTTTAAATCAGACATGAACACTCTAAAATTCAGGTCTAAAAAGGAAACTAAATACTAGCAATTACCCATCAGACAATGACTATAGAATCATGAAGGTATTTCTATGAAGAGGGACAGGGGGATGTCTTCCAGGACACTGCCTGGAAGAGAAGGTTTCTGCCTTTCATTATATTTTCCAAAGTTCCTGGGACCCACAGAAAGCTTTGAAACTACCAGTTCAACTTCTGAGGCTAAAAGTAAGGAAACTAATACTCAAAGCAAATAAGGACTTGTTAAAAGATCACTCAAGAGTCCGTGGTAGGCAGACATTAGAATTCAGGTAGAAAACCCGAACTGTGACCTTCAAATCCTGTCCTCCCCTACACTATCCCTATGCTAGACTAAGTCTGTAGCAACTGATAACAAATGACTGTATCCATGACAGGGGACAAGAGGGGTGGGAGAACATATGTACAGTGACTTCAAATTCAAGGCAAAATATGTTCCCCTTCAAAACTGATGTGGTAAATCCAGATACTTTAGAAACAGATGGTTTCAACTAAAAGGGTTGTCCATCATTAACTTTTTTTCATGTGAAATTTCAGCCCCTGGCCATCCTTTGAAAAAATGGTGTCCATGAACTGTAACTATTTTGACCCAAAGGTCCACCTTTAGCATTCTTCAATCAGTGCGGACGAATGCCCACTGAGGATGGGAAAACGTTTTCACATACAGTCCACTAGTCCACTCAAGAATAAGGCAATAACACTTAAAAAATGAAATCAAATTTTGTAAAAAATCAAAGCTGGTAAAGCCACAAGGGCTAGGCAGCACAGGGCCATTATGACGCGGGCACTCAGCCTAAGAAATGCCTGCTTGGTGGAGACAGCACTGCCTGCTCTCCATTCCTTAAGCATTTCCAAACCACGCTTCCCATCTCCATGAAAGGGGAGGCGTAACCTGGCATGCTAACAAGACAGAGGTACAGCATACACTATCAACAAAATGAGAAAGTGTGTTAACTTTAACACAGAAATCAAAGGCAAAGTTACAGAGAACGTAACGTTTCCACTGGACCGGAAGGGATTTTTTTTTTCTTTCAAGATTCTGGTAAGATTTTAAGAGGCATAAATGAAACCAAGAAGGACATGGCTAATTTTTTTCTATTATGCTCCTCTAACGACTCTCTACAATAAGTTGTTTTCTTGCTGTTTTTAATATTTTACTAGAACATAACAAAAGAATCACAGAAGTTTACAGAAGAGTAGAGCTCTTATATACCTTTCACCAAGCTTCCCCAATACTAGGATCTTACACACTTACTGCACTCTCTCAACACCAGGAAACTGACATTGGCACAGTCTACAGTCCTCACTGAGATCTCAGTTTTACTGTGTATAGGTCTATGCAATCTTACTGCAGGTATAGATCTGTGTCACCACAATCAGCTTCATTGCTGCAAAGGACGTGCTCTGTGCTGACCTCTTTACAGTCAGCTCACACCTTTCACCCCCATCACTAACCCCTGGCAACCACAAATCTCCTCTCCAACCCAGTAACTTTTCCTTTTAGGAATGTTTTATATAAATGGAATCATACAGTATGTAATCTTTCGAGACTGATTTTTTCACTCAGCACAACACCCATGAGATCTATTTATCTACACGTGATTCCCTTATATGGCTGGAGAGTATTCCCCAGAACAGACGCACCCGACTGTCTCACCCTTCACCTTCTGATGGCCATCTGGGCTGTTTCCAGTGTGTGACTGTTGCAAACATAGCTGTGTGAATATCCACCTGTAGACTTGTATGTATTCCTACCATGGGTTTAATGTGACAATGGATAGGAAAGTTCCAGACACAGTTCCTGGCATAAAAGGCAAACCATGTTACCTGACTCTTAAAATAATTAAGTTGCTGTTCCCTGATGAAAGCCAATCTTACCACTGATTACATATTTACTAAACCAGGCCACTGCCAGGTTCTGGGGTACAAAAGCAAGTGAGACCCAGGCCTTACTCTCGCAAAGCTCAGGCAGTCAGAGCGCAGAGTCTTTCCTCACTGTTCCTGGAATACCGTCCACAGAATCTACCAAAACCTTTTTACTCCTCCAGTCCCAGCTCACACACAACCTCCTCTATAAACCTGGATTCTGCAGACGGCACTGCTCACACTGAGCACCCCACACACGGCGCCACCCATCGCCACACCAGGCGCTCTGCTCTTCAGAGGCTGGCTGTGTCCCCGCAGGAAGTCTCCCTGCTGGACTATGCTTTTATTGGCCAAAGACCCACATTCTGTTTCGTATACTGCAGAGCCTAGCATGGCAGCTAGTCCTTAAAATCTCAAATAAATAACTCTCTTTCAGACTGGCTATTTTTTTATAACATGCAGAACTGTTTTTATTTTTAATTGAAATTGTACTGAGACTCATGTAGTTGTTAAGAAATAATAGAGATCCCGAGTACACTTTGCCCAGTTTCCTCTAATGGTAACATTTTATGAAACAATGCAGATTAAAGTGAAAGTTTCAGATTTCATAGCCTCCATCTGACATGAAATCACCAACCCACTCATAACTTTCATTTTTCTTAAACCACAAACATGAACAAAAACCAAGTGCGAAACCTGGCATAATCCATATTCGAAAAAAGGTTTTAAGTTCAATTAATTTAACAATAAACATCCTCTCATTCTTAGTACCCAAATACAAAACAAGTCCACTTAGCAAATGGCTTTCCTTTCTGGGTCAACTTAGATCTTAAGCTTTTTGTACAACAGACATCATTTAACTTACAGTATTTGGATTGGTGAGATTCCTTGCATCTGTCAACCAGCTGCTTAAGTGATTATATGTACTTCTTCTGCAAAAATTAAAGTTTATTTTTGTGACTGCCACATACAGTTGCCATTTCAATAGGGAAAAAAAAAAAGAAACTTCATCAAATATATTTTAAATATACACTTAAAAAGTATTTTTGATTTGACTAGACTGTTACCCTAGAGAATTGTGGAATGTAAACATACACTTTTCAAATATCTAGCCAAACCTTTTGTTTTAAATAAACAACTCAATAGTCAACAACTTTGCTAATGACTTACATGTCAGGAGTAAATTATTTACATTTAAAAACATAAACAGACCAATAAGCAAGCAAGGAACAAGATAAAAAATTGATGGAAAATAATTCTGAACTCTGAATTTTAAAAATCGGCTTTAAGAAGATTAATATATTTGACTCGAAACTGAAGTCCCCAGGTATATCAGAGAGTGAGTTTATCCTAATTGTACCAGCAGCTAAATCATTTGGGGATTCAGAATGCCTTATTTCTCCATTTTCTCCAATCTGAGAGTTTAAAAACTCCTGGCTCCTTTGCATTAGCCAACTAGGACCTAAGACAGCAAACAAATCCAAATAATTTAAAATAATACAGAATATACTACTACTATTAATTAGACTTTACCAAAAAGGTCAAAAACATTAAAAAAATTTTTTTTGAATTTTGATGGTTAAAAATATCTCTAATCTATACAGACTCACAGAACATTAATCTATCAGGTGAGGCAACAGAGGCTCATAAAGAGGCAGAAATGATTTCAGAGCCAGGTGCAGGACCTTTTACAGACACTGTGTCCTTCAAGTGTTTCGAGTTCAGTCTAGTGAACATACTCCATCATCTCCAGCTGCCAGTGTTCATATAAAATCTGATATACAAACATTTACTCCTTTCCCAGAGAGAACTGAAAAGAATTCCTTACTCAGAATTTCTTTTAACTGTGCTGTATCACATTATACACAAACCACCACCCACATGTCAAAAAAAGTCACATAAAAATTTCTTTCCCAGTGTTTTCAACTTTTCTAAGTAAACGATCAAATATAATTTTTAAAAAGCACAAGCCTTATCACTCATATCTCAGTAGGCTGGAATTAAAAAAAGCACACACATAGAAAAAGCAAAACAATCTACAATATTATAGATACATTTAAGTACACATCACCACAGTTAAATTTTACTAATAATGCAGTTTTCAACTATGCAGAGCCTTCAGGAATGCATCCCTCATAAAAAGATGTCCGTACAAATGGCCAGGTTCTTTAGCTGTCTTCCCACAAAACTATTTACCAGTTGCCTGGCTCCAATGAAGAGCCTTAAGGCTGTCCCCTCTGTTTTGCCCTGAGACCACCCAATTCAAAAATTTAGTAAAACTTCAAGCACTATAATCATAATCATCCACTATCTTTATTCTAAATAAATAAAACCACCTTAGGAAACAGTAAATTAAAGAAACTTAAAGAGTCCCTTTACAACAGAACTTCTCATTGTGACTCTTCAAGAGCAATGTAAAGTATTTCCCAAAAGGAAATATACTTGAAGTCTATCACTTGGTCCCACTCAATGAATGCTACCCGCTGCAAGGTGAGACAAGAAGCACTCTGCTTCAGACACTGCATTAATATGAAAGGTGGTCTAATTCATTCTCTAGCTTACAGCAGACAAACAGCACAGCATTTAACGAAGGGGCACACTTTCCCCAAGTTAAACATTTAAGGTCCGGTTTTGTTATCCTGCATCAATTACTTTTGAGTTTCCATAAATAGCAGAGTTGAAATAAATTTAATCTTGCAGCATGAAGTATCATGAGCTACTTCAATCCATTTTAGGACACAAAAAAATTTAATAAGCAAATATTTCAGATTCAAGTATGAGAATTTTTTATAATCTACCACGTTGGATTAGCAAAACTACTTAATTCCTTTGCTTGGCCTTATTCTGAAAAGGCATGAACTTTAACACTGCTGCTGCTAAGTCGCTTCAGTCGTGTTTGACTGTGCGACCCCACAGACGGCAGCCCACCAGGCTCCTCCGTCCCTGGGATTCTGCAGGCAAGAACACTGGAGTGGGTTGCCATGTCCTTCTCCAATGCATGCATGCAAGCAAAGTCGCTTCAGTCGTGTCTGACTCTGTGCGACCCTATGGACAGCAGCCAGCAGGCTCCTCTGTCCACAGGATTCTCTACGCAAGAGGCTGAATAGAGTAGCTCTTAAAGATTTGCTTGCTTTCCTACTGAAGTGAAAATATTTGGTGTGAAATATTTCACTTCAAATAATTCAACTGATACTGCTTTTCAGAAAAGTATTCTTTCACTAGCTCCACCAGCATCTCCTAAAGTTTTCTTTAGTCTTACCCACTTTCAGATAAGGAAATCAACATGTTATCAATATATCAAATCTCATACACAGCAATTTAGAGAAAAAAAAACCATAAAGTCCAAATAATAAAAAGCTCATTTAACAGATACACAATTACAAACTATAGAATGCCTAACAATTAAAAAAAAAAAAAATCACACTGCCTAAAGTAGATTTCCTTTTTCAAGAATGAAGGTTGAAAATCATGAATCTCTTACCTAGTGATGTCATACACCATGAGTGCTCCCGCGGCTCCTCGGTAGTAGCTTCGTGTGACAGCTCTAAACCTCTCCTGTCCTGCTGTATCCCAGATCTGCAGTTTGATTTTTTGGCCACTAACTTCAATTATTCTTGTACCAAATTCAACACCAATTGTGTGAGGACAGTCAGCCATAACTGTTCGGGAAGAAAAGAAATACAATATTCCAACTTGCAGAAAGCTTCAAATTAAAATCAATGGGAAAATGATCCATTAGAAAACCAAAAGACTCATTAATGCTTGTAGGCTATAAACAGATTAAAGCTTGCATGAAAAGAAAAAAATTAGCAAAAACCCTTAAGTAAGGAGTCACAGGGATGTGACTGGAACAAGGCTTAGAAATTTCTGCAAGGAACCAAATAATAAATATTTCACGTTTTGCAGGCCAAAAGACCTCTGTTACAAGGACTCCACTCTGCTAAAACACAAGAGCAGTCACAGACAATACATAAAATAGGCATGACAGCATTCCCGTAAAACTTTATTTCTAAAAACAAGCAGTGCCTGGACTTGGCCCACACGTTACTATTTGCTGACCTCTGGACTAAAAGAATCTGCTAATTAAAAATAAGGATTTTAATAAACTCTTCGTAACAACATTATACTATTTAGCCTTCTGACAATTCTAACCTTAAAAACAAATTAGTGGTTTCAGGACTCTAGTTGTTTTCAGTCAAACAAGTATTTATTCTGTAAAATGTTATCAATACTTCAAAGATGGTCATGAAATTTAGTATGTATTATAATTATATATTTGCAAGTCTAATCCAATAGGACAAGTCTATTAATCCTTTCTTTATAATTAGGCCGCTGAAAACCTATATCCACTATTACTCCTCTACAGTACACAGACTGCTAAACACTTCATAAAATGTTACATTAAGCTAAAAAATGCCACAGAAATAATTTTAACTATTGGAAACAATTTCAACTATATTTAGCCTATCAGTTACATAAAATAAAATGGCCCCTTCTCCTACCACACAAGACAGAGTAGCACTTTGAATCTAAAATGACCAGTCATGAATGCAAAAAGAATTCAATTTTAAATATTTCCAATCTATTATTATTTAGTTATTAGCAAATGATATATGAGCACATTTCCCCTAATAAGATAATTTCTACAATGGAAAGTCAGAGAACAAGAAAAAGATAATTTAAATTTGAAATTATAGTTTTTTTTTATTTTTTAATAGTATGTATTTTTAAAACTTAAGTTTATATCATCAAAACTCTAGTCAATCAAACTATATATGGCATTAAAAAAAACAACACCATACATATATTTCATTTTGTCTGTACCTATTTAAAAAAAATTCACTTCCTAAAGACAAAAGTACATATACATTGGGAAGTTATATTTTATTGCATAGAGTATACTGAAAATAACACTTTTTAAAAGGTAGGAAAGTGACAATAAGAATTTACCAATGTTTTATCTTACACATTGAACTTACACTTTTTTTCTGTAAATTGGTGAAGCAAGCAAGATTTTCCTACTCCCATGTCCCCTGTTTTAAAAAAAAAAAGTTTCAAGTGGTAATTACATTTCTCAATTTTATCCTCTTATAATTATATGCAATGACTGCTATACCTCTTTTACCATATTACATCACAAACCTCTGGGCACTTAAAAGATTTTCATTTTCATAATTTATAATGAGTTCAAAAGATCCTAAACATAGGTTTTCACTGTGATATATAAATTGACTATTCCCAACCTTCACTGGTGGTAGAATTTGGTTATGAATTATGTCAATAAACAGACACCAGCTGGGAAAAGCTTTTTAACAGAGAAACTGCTGTAACAGTGTTTTTTACTTTAAACTATTTCAACTTTTTGTTTGTTTTTTTCCTTAACCCATGCATAAAAGCCAAAAACTCCTAGGAGTGACCAACAGGGCAGCATATAACAAGTAGAAATAATAAGCTTTGGAAATTTGATTCACTAGATCCCATTTTAACTCATATTTCTTGTAGAATTTCACAAAAGAATATGCATCACATGAAAATTATAACAGAACAGGTATCATCTCTGACTGCACTAACAGCAATTTAACCTTTAAAGGTTAAAGGATGTATTACAATATAGTCACATAAGCTCAATATTAAACCAAACTAATATGAAGAATTAACAGGAAAATACGTATATTTCAACTTACTCTTACATATGGAGAAACAGCACTGTTTTAATTTGAACTAAATCTTCTTGAAAGTTGATTAAGAGAAAAACTACCATTATATGTCATGTATCTTACACAATTATTCTGAATTTTTATCAATTTTTGGAATCCACGGGGCTCTGAGAAATTTCATGATATTTTTGGAATGTATCAATGCTCCTAGGAAATTAATCTCATTCCCAGTATTAACCTTCAGGTAGCCCTCAAGAAAAAGCAATATCACTTCAAAGGTAGCCAGAATTGTACCCAGCGTCACAAAGCAACAGGTACATCATTGATGAAAAATAAATCCTACCAAAGGAGTTTTAATTTTGCAGTGAAAAAGACAAGTATTCACTTCCCCTGGGGTACTATGTTAAATACTAGCATATAAACATTTTGCATTTTAACCTTTGGAGAACAAGAGTATAAGTTAAGTAAACTTACCAATAATAATATATTTAAAGATGTAAGAGTAGTTGTATGGTGCAGTTGCCATGGTGGCACTAGAAACAAACAAAACTGAGTTACTTCAGGGAAAAGTGTGCTCGCGTTACCCAAGCTGTGATCCTGCCCAGACACACAGATACACCACAGTGCCCATCAACAAAACTGAGGTTACATGTCAGAAGAGCTGCACTCCCCAAACTAATCAAACACACAAACTCTCTTGGATGAACACTGCTTCAACACTCTCGCGTATTATCCACAGAAACAGAACATATATGAAAACAATTCCAATAATTCACTTTAGGAAATACCAGATAAGAAATGCTACTCTGGAAAATTTCCATCAAGGAAATCTTTATAAACTTAAGTTTAAATAATATCATCATGAATAGTCCTCCCCTGTTAAGGTCTCCATTGCTGTTAACTCATCAAGTCTAATGATCTATTTGTTTGGAACACTTTGATTTTACAATAGAATGCTGTAAAAAGTAACCACCAACTTATAAATACAAAAAAACCTTTTCACTCTGCTTGAAATAATCATAGCACCCGAAGAAAAAGTAATCATATTATTTCTAAGCGAAATATCAGAAATAGAACCACATGAAACTGCTTTTGTTGTAGATTTTTTTAAAAAAGCCAATTATTGATAATTTCATACAGTTCCTAATATAGCATTTGAAGGTTAACAATATACCAAATGCCTGTTATGTATTTTTCCAGGACTTAAGAGAAATAATGAAATAGTGTGCTTGTAAAATTTGAAAGTTTATGTATTACAACATATGTTTGAAGATCACAGCTCATTTCTCACCCCCAGAGAAGACTTTAACCTAAAGAAATCTAATTTCTCTCCTACTTTTAATAACTTTAAAAAAACCTCTCCAATTTATTCAAATCTTGACTGTGTCTGACACTGTGCTAGCTCCTAGAGAAATAAGAGGTGAATTCTAATACTGGTAATAACTTACAATAAACTTTATTCCCCAATAAAACTGAAAGAAAAAAATTTATTCTCAAAGCAGTTTTCAGCTGAAGATAAAAATTCTTTATAAATATGAAGGTTTAACCTCATTTAAAAAAAAATGGTTTTCCAATATTTTTTTAATCTGGTTTTTACTGTTCTAGCCAACTGTCACATACACAAGCCAGATATTTAACAGGATTGGGGAAACTCATTTACTGAAATTAACAGCTTACTACATGTTATATTTCAAATAAAATTTCTAAGTAACTAATAAAACTTAACTTGCAGAAAAAGTACATATTTAAAATAAGTGAATTATTTTTATTAGGGAAGAGAAAGCTGTTAATTACAGTAAATTACCAGATAATCATTTCACACAATATAGGCTTCCTACTTAGCTGTATGAATTACATTCAAAAGAACTGGGACATGCTGTAACACATTTATCATCAGTCACATCACAGAAAACTCCCTTGACCAGTTCTTTCAGAAAAGAAAAGTATTTCTAGTTAAAGTAACTGTGATTCTGAACATCATACATTACTATGATTGATTTCCTTTTTCCAGAAACAAGAATGACCTTGGTCCTGAGGTTCAAACTGGTCTGTACTAGTCACCAAATTTTGAAGACAAGGAAAAGAATCATCTCTCACAATAAGAACGGTATATAAAGGTTATTAATTTCTTTTTGGGCTGCATTCCCTTCAGGTTCCTCTCTTCTAATTCATTTTTAACTTCTCTTTTAAACTTCTTTTTCCCCATTCAAACTTGGGGAAAAGTAATTAGTCATCTTTAAATCACTGCTACTCTCATGGGTCTCCTCTGATGTTGCTATATCTTTTCTTTCTTCTAACTTAGTTATAGCAGTACATACTATGCTTCCTTTCATTTTATTATGTTAAAACTGTGGACTCTTAACAATCCCAGTTTCTACCTGAAATGCTCTAAAGGCTAATCATGAAATTATAAACCAATTCTAGTTGCACTAATTTGTGTACTTGCTAATTAATCATACAAGTATTTGTTAATATCTGAGATGCCTGATTTTGAAATTTTATTTCCAACCATTAATTAGTAAGCTATTTACAAATAAAAGAGAATTATCATGATTTCAGACTGAAAGCCAGCACCCTGTTCTCCACCTCACCACCCAATTTTCTGGTTAAGTTTCTTAAAAATTACAATAAAGATCCTAAAAAGCAGAGTTAAAGGAGAACTACCCAAACTAACTAATTGCAGTAGAGAGGCAGGCAAAAACTATTAAGCACTGCAGCCACTAACACAAGGTTTAGAAAGACTCCCATAGTTACTGACATAGTTCACTCAAAACTATGTATTTGCAACAGAACCATGCTCAAGTGGCCCCTTTTAACTATGCTTGGGGCTTCCCTGGTGGCTAAGGTGGTGAACAATCTGCCTGCAATGCAGGACACCTGGGTTCCATTCCCGGGTTGGGAAGATCCCCTGGAGAAAGGCATGGCTACCCACTCTAGTATTTTTGCCTGGAGAATTCCATGGACAGAGGAGCCTGGTAAGCTACAGTCCATGGGGTCGCAAAGAGTTGGAGAGGACTGAACACTTTCCCTTATTAATACTGTTTTAGCAAAGGATTTCTCAACCTCATCTTGTGTACATAAAACATATATCACTATGAAGGTAAGAAATATATTTAAATGGAGTATGCTACTGAATGAAACTCTACAACGGGTGCTATTTTTTTTCACTTCACAACAGCATGGATCTATTTCCAGGTCAATATATATAGACCTAATGGTTACTAAATGCATGTTAAACACTAATCACTGTTGTGTCAAAATAGAATCACATTGTCTCCATCTACTGAATCAGATAGTGTTCCAAATAGAACTATACATATAAATGACTAGTTTTGAAATGTACAAATACAGAGGAAGGTAGGCACTTTCAAATACTGTTCTTGTGGGAATCTGAAGTGCCAAAATATTTTGACTAAATAAAGTACATCGGTACTATGAAATGATACACATCTAATTGAAAAACCATTTAGATATATGCATTAACCTGGAAGCATATTCACAATTTTAACTGGAAAAAAAAAAAAGCATGCTGCAGAGTTCCATGAGATAACATATACCCATTTTTAAAGACATACACACACTCAATCCTATATGCATACAATATAGGATACACACCAAACTGTAAAAAATTAACACATGGAATGAAAGAGAAAAAAGGAAGGGGAAAACTATTAACTTTTTTTACATATCATTAAGAAAGAAAGTGAAGTCGCTCAGTCGTGTCCAACTCTTTGCAACCCCATGGACTGTAGCCTTCCAGGCTCCTCTGTCCATGGGACTCTCCCAGGCAACAATACCGGAGTGGGTTGCCATTTTCTTCTCCAGAGGATCTTCCCAACCCAGGGATCGAACCCGGGTCTCCCACATTGCAGGCAGACCCTCTGAGCCACCAGGGAAGCCCTTATCTATCACTGAGAGGACACTATAAGCATCTGCTGTATTCATTAGTAATACTCTAAAATATTAAAAGTAAAAAAAAAAAAAGACTGTTAAAATATTTTAAGCATCTTTACATATAATTCTAATGCAAAACAAGAACAAGCAAAAAACTCCAGTCATAATATTTCCAACATTACTTCCACATTTACCAATAACATGGGGAACATCATATGAAGTGACTCGTGATCAGATTCAAAAAACAAACAAAAGGGGAATTCCCTGCCCATCCAGGGGCTATGACTCTGCTTTCACTGCTGAGGGCCCAGGTTCAATCCCTGGTCGGGGGAACTAAGATCCTAGAAGGCCGCTGGTGCTGCCAAAAATAAAAACAAAACAAAAAACAAAAAAACTAGAAACAGCTCTAACTCCCAATAATGGAGTGTATTTTTTCATTTTCTTATGGTTTGATTCCTTGCTGTATTAACTTACACACTTGTCTAATCCTTTCACAGCTGTTACACAGCTATTTTATTCCACTCTTAGGACATAAGGTGTTACTGTGTAATTTCTATGTAACCAATTCAAGACAACAAAGGAAAAAAGCAACCCCTAAATAAAAATATTCTGGATGACTTAAATTCTGACCCTTACTGTTTAAGTGAGGCTTTTTTATACATGAAAAATGCTGTTAAAAACACCTGAACCAAGATAAGCTGCTTTTGTGATCCCAACATAAAAATATTTTTTAAATTATGTTAGGTTTTGACAATACAGTAATGATTTAAAAAATACATATATATATATATATATATATATATATATATATATATATTTATATATGGGCCCTCCCTTCATGGAACTCAAGAAGAGAAGCACTTTGGTGTGTTTCCAAGACCACTAAAGTGGACTGCTACTTGATTTGTCAGTCAAGTGGACACAAAACTTTGGGAGTTAATCTATTAAACTAATCAAAATATGCGGTCAATCTCCTGTCCTCAACCTTAAAGCAACCTCTGAAAATAACCCACTCATTTCCGAGACTCACCTAAAAATCACCTCAGTTTTGACAAGATATTTAATGTCACACTTTTTTATAACTTAATGTGGTAAGAAAAAAGTTTTTCTCCATGTGTCAAGAGAAAGACAAAATTTTTCAGCTAATTATGATGGCACGCTGTGAATAGGAAATAAATACTGTACCTCTGTCCACAGAAGGAAAGTATTCATGAGAAAAAACAAAACTAAAACTCTGCACTTAGAATTAAAAGGATCAGAAATACTGAAAAATTTACTGAGGAAAGGATATCTGAGATTTGATTCAAAATAATTTGGTAGACGGAAAATAATCTAAAGTAGAGTGGGAAGGACTTTCCTGGTGGCGCAGTGGATAAGAATCCACCTGCCAATGCAGGGGACATTGGTTCGATCCCTGGTCCAGGATGATCCCACTCACCCGGGAGCAACTAAGCCCATACACCACAATACTGAAGCCCCAGCGCCCTGGAGCCTGCGCTCCTCAACAAGAGGAGCCACTGTACCAAGAAGTCTGCACTGCAATGAACACCCACCTCAGTCAAAAAATAAAAATCAATTTTAAAAAGTAAATAAAAAATAAAAATAATTATAACAGAGAGTGGATATATGTGTATGTAAAACAGATTCACTTTTCTGTACAGCAGAAACATTGTAAATACAACATTGTAAATCAACTATAGTCCAATAAAAAGTTTTTCAAAAATAATAATTTGGTGGAGAGGGTACAAGTATATACAGATGAAATAAGACTGAGCACTGGTGACACTGGATAATGGGCATGTGAAAGCTCAATATACTACTCTATTCTGCATACGTTAAAAACTATCGAGAAGAAAAAGTTTCTTAAAAGTATAGTACCTTTGATACCTCTACTGGTACACTGGTGTCTCCAGCAATGCACAGCATTCTTAATCATAAAAAAATGTCTCAAGTTTAAAAAAAATGAAACCTATCTCAGTAGCCCTAGTTTTAAAGTAACTTATTTGCCTTACACAAAGTTTCCTCTAACTGTATAATATCTTACTAAAATTATGCAAAGATATTTAGTACTGATAAAAATCAGTTGTAAAAACACTCCATATTCTGTTGCAAGGTTGCAGTATGCACAACAATGAAGTTTAACATGAAATGTAAAAAAAAAAAAAAAGTTTTTGAGTGTAGCTTTAATTCCAAGGGAGTTTTTTAGGTTATTAAATTTCTAAGTGTTTTACATCTTTACAGTAACTGCCATTTACTGAGTGCCTACTATATGTCAGCTACTTTATAAGCAATCTCTAATTCTAAAAACTCACTTTACAAATAAGGAAACCAGCTCAGAGAGGAGATACATCCATGGCCACACACTACTAAAGGGAAAGCTAAGGTTAAGGCTCGATCTAACCCTACAGCTCTCCATGCTCCTCTCCCTCACTCAACAAATACCAGCCTGGCGCTGTCAGAGACAATGGGAGCTGACCAAACTTCAAGCAATGTGCTAAGGGTTTTAAACCCCACTTAAATCTTCACAACAACTTTAAAACGTAGGTACAGTTATCCCTTGTATGGATAAGGACGCTTAGTCTGAACAGGTGAAGTAACTTGCTTGAGGTCACTAGGAAGTGGCAGTATTGGAGCAGGAACCTTCCAAAGCTCCTGACCACTACAAGTCTCAAAGGCATGACCAAGTAAATGGGTGTAAGCAGAAAACTGCAGAAAAATTCTGCAAAGTCTTGAAGAACGGGGGAGTGGGAGCTGGGTTACTGCAAGGTCAAATTTGTCCTCGACAACCACACCGAAATACTAGGCAGTTCTGACAGGAATGAAGCGAGCAGTAAACTTTGCAGGACTTCAAATCTGGACTCTCGACACTCGCTGTGGGATCGCCAGGAAAGCATCTGCCCTCTGGGAACTCCAGTTGCTTCTTCAAACATAAAACGGAAATCTTGTCATCTTTCCTCTGGGGTTGTGAGAGAGAGAACTAGCAGTGTAGTAGTGGGCAACAGACCTTGGGTTACAAAGGAGAGATCAGCTGTCATCCAAACGCAAACGTAGGAAAAAGGGAATGAGACTGCAGCTACATTTTCAGTGGTCGTGTCTGTAGCCCTGGCCTAACCTGAGTTTGCATGTACCATCGTTAAGCAGCCACATCGCACTTCCACACCTCAGTTTCCTCACCTGGGGGATGAAGATACTCTACTCACCACCCAGAGCAACGTGAAGCAAGCTAAACCTGCGGGTCTCGATACCTAAAATCCGCGTCTAGCACACAGTAAAGAGCAAACCACCGAAACACACTTGGCTCCGCCTTCTTTGCTTAAATTCTAGAAAGGCCAAAAACTTTTTGTCCTCGTTATTTCCACACGCTACCCACGATCGAGACCTTACAGGATGCCACAGACATTACAGAGCTTCCCCCAAACCAGAACCTCGCCGCACGGACCCCCAGACCCCCGCCCAGCCCGAGTCCATGACAGTCTACCCCCACCGGCAAGGACGCCGGAGTCGGTCCAAGACGCCGGCGGGGCTCCGGGCGGCCGCCTTTTGTGCTCGGGGCCCGACGTGGCCGATGGGCCAGGAGACGCCACGTCCGGGGCTCGCGGGCTGCAGGGCGGCGCGGCTCGAGCGGACAGACCCGGCGGGGGGAGGTCGGCGGCGGCAAGGAGACGGGGGCCCGCGGGAGGTGCGAGTCGGCCCAGGCCGGCCGGAGAGGCGGGGAAGGCGACGCCGCACACACCCTTCCACACGCCGCGCCCGGGGCCCGCCGCTGGGCGGGGACGACCGGGGCTCCCGCGGGCGCCTCGCGGGGACACCCTCGCCCCCGCACGGACTCCTGTCAGGCCCTTCGCCGCGGAACCCACAGCCGACCCCGGGCTCGCTGCGGCCTGACACCGCCCGCCCCGCGACGCCTCGCGCCCGCGCTCCCACCCCGCCGTCGCCCCCACCGCTGGCCCCGGGAGAGCCCAGCGAGGAGACCCCGGCCGGCCGGACACTGCGGAAGGCCTGGGTTACCTGGGGGGTTGCTGGTGGCTGGGCAGCTTTCCGGGCGGGAGGGGGGCGTCAGGACGAGGAAGAGGAGGGCGGGCGCAGCGGGAGAGGGGCGGGGGCGGCCGGTCGAGGCCCGGGCAGGCAGCGGGCAGGCCGAGGAGCTGCAGACGCGCCGGCGGCAGTGGCGGTGGCAGCGGCGACTGCTCCCGCGGCTCCCTCAGGATCTTCCTCGGGCTGGTCCAAGATGGCGGCGCTCCCTGCACAGGGTTTCCTGTCACCCTCGCAATGGGTCGGACCACAAAAGAAGGGGGGAGGAGGATGCGCGCGCAGCCGGAGGAGCCCGGAAGAGGGTGGCCGGCGCCCGGCCTGTTGGCCACGCCCCTTCCCTAGTCCTCCCCTCTGGACTCGCCGCGACGCCGCCGAGCCCGCCCCACTGGCCCTCGCGCCAGAGGGGGAGGAGGCAGGCACTCACGCGCAAGCGCAGTCTCTTGCCCTCCCTCTCCCGGGACGCTACTGCGCAGGTTCGCGTAGGACCTGCTGAAGTACATCTGGGGCGTGCAGGTCTAGGATTGTTGAGCTGGGGACTTTTTACTGTTTACCATTTTTACTGTCAGCAAACTGTCACTTAATGCACGCGTGCCGTACATCGGCCACTATGCTAAGCACACATTTACTGCACTCATTCAACATGTATGTATTGAGCGTTTCGTAACTAACGGTGAACACGCTAGGTCCCTGTCCAACTGCCCCAGGAGGGGCATATCCCCATTTTTACTGATGGTCAAACGGAGGCTCAGACTGAGCAAGTCACTTGTCCAAGATCATGCAGCTAGGAAATTACACTTCCTGCTCAGTTTCACCTCTGTCCCTTACAGGCTCCCTTTGAGGGGTACCTTTAATGAAAGAGAACTTGTGATATTTTTCAGAATTTGGCCACCACCTACCCTCTTCCAGCTTAGTCTTTTCTATCACTTTCCTCAAAAGTTTAGTGAGAAACGCTGGGCTGAAGGAAGCACAAGCTGGAATCTAGACTGCCAGGAGAAATATCAATAACCTCAGATACGCAGATAACTCCATCCTTATGGCAGAAAGTGAAAAAGAACTAAAGAGCCTCTTGATGAAAGTTCAAGAGGAGAACAAAAAAGTTGGCTTAAAGTTTACCATTCAGAAAACTAAGATCATGGCATCTGGTCCCATCACTTCATGGCAAATAAAAGGGGAAACAGTGAAAACAGTGGCTGACTTTATTTTTCTGGGCTCCAAAATCACTGCAGATGGTGATCGCAGCCATGAAATTAAAAGACGCTTACTCCTTGCAAGGAAAGTTACTACCAACCTAGACAGCATATTGAAAAGGTCCATCTAGTCAAGGCTGTGGTTTTTCCAGTGGTCATGAATGGATGTGAGAGTTGGACTATAAAGAAAGCTGAGCGCTGAAGAATTGATGCTTTTGAACTGTGGTGTTGGAGAAGACTCTTGATAGTCCCTTGGACTGCAAGGAGATCCAACCAGTCCATGCTAAAGGAAATCGGTCCTGAATATTCATTGGAAGGACTGATGCTGAAACTCCAATACTTTGGCCACCTGATGCAAGGAGCTGACTCATTTGAAAAGACCCTGATGCTGGGGAAGATTGAGGGCAGGAGGAGAAGGGGACGACAGAGGATGAGATGGTTGGATGGCATCACTGACTCAATGAACATGGATGGGTTTGGGTGGACTCGGGAGTTGGTGATGGACAGGGAGGCCTGGCATGCTGCAGTTCATGGGGTCGCAAAGAGTCGGACACAACTGAGCGACTCAACTGAACTGAATGTGCAAGACCACATTCTGACTTTCATGGGCCCTGGGCACTTTTGCTTTGTGCTTGTGGATATATGTTGCTTAAAACTCAACATTCAGAAAACTAAGATCATGGCATCTGGTCCCATCACTTCGTGGCAAATAGATGGGGAAACAATGGAAAAAGTGACAGAGTTTATTTTGGGGGGCTCCAAAATCACTGCAGATGGTGACTGCAGCCATGAAATTAAAAGGCTCTTGCTCCTTGGAAGAAAAGTTATGACCAACCTAGATAGCATATTAAAAAGCAGAGATGTTACTTTGCCAACAAAAGTCTGTCTAGTCAAAGCTGTGGTTTTTCCAGTAGTCATGTATGGATGGGAGAGTTGGACTATGAAGCCGAGTGCCAAAGAATTGATGCTTTTGAACTGTGGTGTTGGAGAAGACTTTTGAGGGTCCCTTGGACAGCAAGGAGATCCAACCAGTCCATCCTAAAGGTAATCAGTCCTGAATATTCATTGGAAGGACTGGTGCTGAAGGTGAAACTCCAATGCTTTGGCCACCTGATGCGAAGAACTGATTCATTTGAATCAGTTGAAAAGAATTCATTTGAAAAGACCCTGATACTGGGAAAGGTTGAAGGTGGGAGGAGAAGGGGATGACAGAGGATGAGATGGTTGGACAGCATCACCAGCTCAATGGAGAGGAGTTTGAGTAAACTCCAGGAGTTAGTGATAGACAGGGAGGCCTGGCGCGCTGCAGTCCATAGGGTCACAATGAGTCATACATGACTGAGCAACTGAACTGAACTAAACTGTGGATTTATGTATTTATGTAATATGTAATAGATGTTTAATATATAGTTCATACTTATGGACACTATATTGACACTATATGGACAGAAGAGCTTGGCAGGCTACTCTCCATGGCGTCACAAAGAATTGGACACGACTGAGGCACTTTCTCGGAGAAGGCAATGGCACCCCACTCCAGTACTCTTGCCTGGAAACTCCCATGGACGGAGGAGCCTGGTAGGCTACAGTCCGTGAGGTCGCTAAGAGCCGGACACGACTGAGCGACTTCACTTTCCGTTTTCCCTTTCATGCATTGGAGGAGGAAATGACAACCCACTCCAGTGTTCTTGCCTGGAGAATCCCAGGGATGGGGGAGCCTGGTGGGCTGCCGTCTCTGGGGTTGCACAGAGTCGGACACGACTGGAGCGACTTAGCAGCAGAGCCACTTTCTATTTCACTATACTTGATAATTTGATATAAAGCAATACTGAAATCCATTCCAGCCCTGTAGGTCTATGCTTCTATTCATATATTCTTTAATTCCAATAAATATAGTTTGTTTGTGGTCACAGTTTAACATCTCTGAAATCAAATTTGCCTGTACCAAATAAAGGAGAAAGCTGTGAACCAATTGACACTTCCTGTCCAGCTACTAACTTGTGTCTGGCTAGTAAGTTTCTATATACACAGTTGTCATCTGAACTGAAACTGCTAATGCTTATTGAGGGCTTCCCTGGTGACTCAGTGGTAGAAAATCCACCTGCCAATGCAGGAGACTGGGGTTTGATCCCTGGATCAGGAAGATCCGCTGGAGAAAGAAATAGCAACCCACTTCAGTATTTCTGCCTGGGAAATTCCATGGACAGAGAAGCCTGGCAGCCATGGGGACCACAAAAGAGTCTGACACAACTTGGCAACTAAACAACAACCACCTTGCTTGTTGAATACTTACTTTGTTCCGGAAACTGTCCTAAGAAGGACACATATTTTCTTATTTGTTACTTACAACATCCTCATGAAGTAAGTGCTCTATTCACCCCATTTTATAAGTGAGAAAATTAAGTGTCACACAGGTCTAAAGTCATAAAAGTAAAAATTGGTACTGGGATTTGAACTCAAGCACTCATGACTTCAGATCTCCCATCCTAAGCACTACTTTGTACTTCATTGTTTATTTGCACCTGTAGCAGCTTAAATGTAGATCCCTAAGGTTAAGTTTGTGTCAAGACCGTTACACTTTGATGCTGCATTGAAGAGAAACATTGTTGTGAATCCAGAATGCCTATCATGTGCTAAGCGATGCAATTGAACACAGTAGAAATTGTCAATTCTTGTAATAATTCACAGAGTTTCCAAAGTAGGAAGAGTCTGTGTTTCACTAATTGCAGCATAATTAAGATGCAATGTCCCTTGGATGACAAACATTTGTCACTGTTTCTATTAACTTTTTCTTTAAAAAACAAAACAAAATTGTTTGTATGAAAAGCGTATGCACAAAATATCAGCACTGTTTGTAAAAGACTAAAGACCATCACTAGGGAACTGTTATAAATTTTAGTGCGTCCATGTTGTGGAATATATGAAGCAATAGAAAAGAAAGAGGCACTTGTACATGTGCTGACATGGAACAATCTCTAGGAAATACTTCAAGTGAAAAAAACAAGATATGGAAAAGTAAATAGCATGCCAAAGTGTATTAAATTATAAAAGGAGAGGAAAACAGACATATATTCCTGTGTAACTGGATATGGAGAGAGCTTTTTCCTGTTGTCCTGAAACTGCTGCTGAAACCCAAAGCTGAACCGAGAAGGCCCCAAGGAGTCCACATTCTACATTTAAAGAGCTGCCAGTGGCTGGAACCAGCTGTCTTCCAGCAGGGCTTTGAAGAGCCATTACTCTACCAGCCCTTCATCAATCCCGATTCTACTTCTCCCCACCTATTCCCCATTCCCACCCATCTCCTCACAGACAAAATATTACCAGTGGTCAGTGGGAAGAAGGGATGGAGAGATGGGAGGAAAGCCAGGCTTAAAGACAAATACGGTTTTCTGAAAAGAGACCCATCTCTTCCCTCTCCCTCCATGGGAAGGGGTGGACAGGGGGAGTTGTAGTCTCTTAGATGCAAGAGAGAAGGGCTCAAGAGAATCATTAGTGAAGAGTGGGCGTGCCTTCAGGAGGAGGAGCAGGCTGGCAGCCCCCAGATGTCTGTTACTTACTAATCTGCTCTGCCCATTGCTTCCTAAGCAAAGGAAAATGAAAATGGAGAGAGGCCACATGGAAGGAGACTTTGGGTGACATGGTGGAGGGCTCCTGGTGGAAGAAGCTGAACCTGGGATCACCATGCTCACACACCCCTTAACTTCCCCATCTTTGACTGACTAACACAAGCTGGCAGTCAGCTGGAAGATACAGCCGATGTATGAGGCTCACTCAGTCCTAGAGGAGATGCCTAGGAGCACTCCAGGGACTGATTCTTTGTCATATCTGCATGTTCTTGTTTCGTTGATACAGGTACTGATTCTTTGTCATATCTGCATGGTCTTGTTTCATTTATACCTGTATAACTTCTTTTGTAAAAATAGATGTTATTCTAGTCTTTATCTTTTTCCAGAGCCTAAACATTTAAGTTCATTTTCAGATCTATTTGTTGTTTAGTTAAACCAAATTGATTCATCTCCTTGTTGGTTTTATAGGCTTAATTTTATTTGTTAATTTTCTTCATATGTTTTAGAATTTTGATGCATAGACTTATCCTGGATTGTACATTCTTTTTCCTCTCTCTCTCTCTCTTTGCTCACCCCATTTTTATGTAGTGGTTTTGGAGTTGCCATCAATCCAGAACCAAATATTAAAATATTGATGTCCCAGTCCCTGAGGTAATATTGAAGATACAGGAAAAATAATACAATTTGTGCTCTAATGTCTATTACCATGTGTTACCTAATTTTAAAAAAGCAAATATATA